CCGATCCGAGTAGAGGAACACCAATTTTATGACCATTAAAGCGATTTTCGTCAAACAAAATTTTTCAAAAAAATTCAATTTTTCTTAGGCACACTATTTTATTGCATTTTCTTGCACAAAATACACCTAAAAGTGTAGAAAAAAATTGACAGCCCGATCCGAGTAGAGGAACACCAATTTTATGACCATTTAAGCGATTTTCGTCAAACAAAATTTATCAAAAAAATTCAATTTTTCTTAGGCACACTATTTTATTGCATTTTCTTGCACAAAATACACCTAAAAGTGTAGAAAAAAATTGACAGCCCGATCCGAGTAGAGGAACACCAATTTTATGACCATTAAAGCGATTTTCGTCAAACAAAATTTTTCAAAAAAATTCAATTTTTCTTAGGCACACTATTTTATTGCATTTTCTTGCACAAAATACACCTAAAAGTGTAGAAAAAAATTGACAGCCCGATCCGAGTAGAGGAACACCAATTGTATGACCATTTAAGCGATTTTCGTCAAAAAAAATTTTTCAAAAAAATTCAATTTTTCTTAGGCACATTTTTTTATTGCATTTTCTTGCACAAAATACACCTAAAAGTGTATTAAAAAATTGACAGCCCGATCCGAGTAGAGGAACACCAATTTTATGACCATTTAAGCGATTTTCGTAAAAAAAAAATTTTCAAAACAATTCAATTTTTCTTAGGCACACTATTTTATTGCATTTTCTTGCACAAAATACACCTAAAAGTGTAGAAAAAAATTGACAGCCCGATCCGAGTAGAGGAACACCAATTTTATGACCATTAAAGCGATTTTCGTCAAACAAAATTTTTCAAAAAAATTCAATTTTTCTTAGGCACACTATTTTATTGCATTTTCTTGCACAAAATACACCTAAAAGTGTAGAAAAAAATTGACAGCCCGATCCGAGTAGAGGAACACCAATTTTATGACCATTTAAGCGATTTTCGTCAAAAAAAATTTTTCAAAAAAATTCAATTTTTCTTAGGCACATTTTTTTATTGCATTTTCTTGCACAAAATACACCTAAAAGTGTATTAAAAAATTGACAGCCCGATCCGAGTAGAGGAACACCAATTTTATGACCATTTAAGCGATTTTCGTCAAAAAAAAATTTTCAAAACAATTCAATTTTTCTTAGGCACACTATTTTATTGCATTTTCTTGCACAAAATACACCTAAAAGTGTAGAAAAAGATTGACAGCCCGATCCGAGTAGAGGAACACCAATTTTATGACCATTTAAGCGATTTTCGTAAAAAAAAAATTTTCAAAAAAATTCAATTTTTCTTAGGCAGACTATTTTATTGCATTTTCTTGCACAAAATACACCTAAAAGTGTAGAAAAAAATTGACAGCCCGATCCGAGTAGAGGAACACCAATTTTATGACCATTAAAGCGATTTTCGTCAAACAAAATTTTTCAAAAAAATTCAATTTTTCTTAGGCACACTATTTTATTGCATTTTCTTGCACAAATTACACCTAAAAGTGTAGAAAAAAATTGACAGCCCGATCCGAGTAGAGGAACACCAATTTTATGACCATTTAAGCGATTTTCGTCAAAAAAAAATTTATCAAAAAAATTCAATTTTTCTTAGGCACACTATTTTATTGCATTTTCTTGCACAAAATACACCTAAAAGTGTAGAAAAAAATTGACAGCCCGATCCGAGTAGAGGAACACCAATTTTATGACCATTTAAGCGATTTTCGTCAAAAAAAATTTTTCAAAAAAATTCAATTTTTCTTAGGCACATTTTTTTATTGCATTTTCTTGCACAAAATACACCTAAAAGTGTATTAAAAAATTGACAGCCCGATCCGAGTAGAGGAACACCAATTTTATGACCATTTAAGCGATTTTCGTCAAAAAAAAATTTTCAAAAAAATTCAATTTTTCTTAGGCAGACTATTTTATTGCATTTTCTTACACAAAATACACCTAAAAGTGTAGAAAAAAATTGACAGCCCGATCCGAGTAGAGGAACACCAATTTTATGACCATTAAAGCGATTTTCGTCAAACAAAATTTTTCAAAAAAATTCAATTTTTCTTAGGCACACTATTTTATTGCATTTTCTTGCACAAAATACACCTAAAAGTGTAGAAAAAAATTGACAGCCCGATCCGAGTAGAGGAACACCAATTTTATGACCATTTAAGCGATTTTCGTCAAACAAAATTTATCAAAAAAATTCAATTTTTCTTAGGCACACTATTTTATTGCATTTTCTTGCACAAAATACACCTAAAAGTGTAGAAAAAAATTGACAGCCCGATCCGAGTAGAGGAACACCAATTTTATGACCATTTAAGCGATTTTCGTCAAAAAAAATTTTTCAAAAAAATTCAATTTTTCTTAGGCACATTTTTTTATTGCATTTTCTTGCACAAAATACACCTAAAAGTGTATTAAAAAATTGACAGCCCGATCCGAGTAGAGCAACACCAATTTTATGACCATTTAAGCGATTTTCGTAAAAAAAAAATTTTCAAAACAATTCAATTTTTCTTAGGCACACTATTTTATTGCATTTTCTTGCACAAAATACACCTAAAAGTGTAGAAAAAAATTGACAGCCCGATCCGAGTAGAGGAGTCACCTATTACTATTTTTGTTTTGGTTATGCAGTATCTTGGTTTTTAATATTTCGATGACCGCAATCGAACTGAACTTCACCGACCTATTATAAATTATTATTATGTGTTTACTATTAATTTGAAAAATTAAACTAATATTTAAAAAATAAATTTTGCTATTTGCTAGGTAAATATTTTTTGGCGTAGTAGAATTATAATTATAATAATTTTGCATTAGGGAATTATATCCGAGGAACCTTTTTTTTATAATTATAAATACACTCTGTTGATAATAATTAAGATGATGGTAGTGAAAAATTTTCAAGGGGGCTTCGTTCAGTGCTGAAAGTGTGCGCTTTTAAAGACTACAATTGTGCGTGTAAATATATATATATACGGACACACATCGAAATGATGTTCGCGCCGCGATATAAATCAAGCATTTCCGACATTGGCCGTCATCCACAGTAAACTTTAGTCATTAAGGAAGCTGGCTTCTCCTTTAGATTTCTCACTATACTATGGTCGACCGGTTTTATTTAAAGAGGTTCTGCTTGAAAAGCTTTTAACTCATCCAAGTCCTTTACTATATATCCCTTTAAGATGATGTGATGTGCCTTATTCACACATATAATATTCTCTTATATACGAATTCATACTTTTGTATCTGTATATAATTATTAGAAATACTTATAATACATTTTTTTGTACTTACTGAAAACAATCAGATTTGTATTTACCTTTGTATAAAAGTTATACTATTTTTGTTTATTTTTTTACAAATTTTAAAATACAGAATCTTTCCGTTTGTACAAAATTAAGAGGGATCTCTAAATCCCTTTTGTTTAATTGAGTGCGTGAAAAGATGAAAATGCGTCCACTTTACGCCGCTTCAGTGAAAATGAAGAAATTTGCTTTGTTTTTTTTATGACTACATATTACCACGAATGTATAGTGAAACATAAAGGTGTTAAAAAAGGTGAGGATTAGAATGGCGCGAGCCGTTAAACCGCACGACTGCCACAAAGCCACGATGTTCATTTTTGATCAGGGGTGGTCCTGGCGGAAGTCTATTGACTGTATGGCGCGTTGTCGTTTGGTACGTGTAAATTGGTGGCGTCGTCATATATATTAGCCCCAAAGAATACACATATACAACATCCTTCCGTGTTTTGTCAAAATGCGAGCACCAGAAAAGTTAATAGTATAGATTAGGACGAGGAGAGAAGTGCTCCTGGGATTATAAGCAGGTAGACAGGAGACATTAGGATCATTTTATATGTATGCCACTATCCATAGTGCGTGCCCAGATTCGATACCAATTGTTCATCTTCGATTCTATGTTAGCCGCAGTTTTTTTCAAAAAATCTTCGCGTGATGCCAAAAGGCGCACGGCCAAACCTTTCCTATTGTGTATAGTTGAAGATTTATCGAACCTAGTATTATATGTCCAAACGTCAAAATAATACTTCTCTCGAGACTTTTAAAAGTGCGATCCTATTCACTGTGTTTTTTTTCATTTTGAATTTTGTTGGTCGAAAAAAATTGTGATTATCATTGGAGAATTTTATTTTTTAATAATGGTAAATTAGTAAATATTTTTTTTGTTCTCGTTTTTTAACTGAATGTCCCTGAAGGATGCTAGATGTCACCTGGAAATCAAAAAATAATTCCCAACCGGAGAGCTGAATATAATGATATTAAACCGCTTTCAATAGAATTAAGAGATGCGATCATGCGTGTGAACTGATTTGTTTGCATGTGCGTAAATTTTATTTACCTCGAATGAAATTTATATGCTTTTGGTCCTATTGATGAAGTGGTTTGTCGTGTACAACTGAAAATTGTAAAATTCAAATAGGGTTCCTTGTGGCACGCGGCTCCTTTTTCTCGACAAAGTGCACGCGCTCACCCTGCCACTTGAAACTCTCTCTCTTTCTCGACATTAATTTTGTTTAATCAAACACCAGGGATTTCTCTCTATTGTTTGTTACGCACTGCAGTCGAATTGAACTTTTTAAACATTTAGCGAAAAATCGTTTGACATTTCTTCATTTTACACTTCGATAAATTACATCTAGTTTATTTTATTGAACTAAAAAAATTTGATTCATTTAAACTCGGAAATAAATAAATATTAATATTTATTTATTTTTTTTTTGTCGTATGATAATAAATTATTTTACATCATCTCTAAATTAAATTATTGATGACTAAAAAAAATACTTGAAAAAATAATTAATTAAAAAAAATACTTTGTGAATAAAGTAAGCAATAATATTACAAATAATTTTTTTAAAATTATAATTATAAAACTTAATTGTAATTTTTCTAAAACATTGAAATTTCTAAAAGTGAAATTTGAATCTCTACTAATATTATTTTTTTATCTGTTTCAGAACTAAATGAGGATCCTGGCGCTCTCTGGTGAAACTTCATTCAACATTTTCTTTGGATATTATAGGTAAGCGAGACATACCATTTTATCGACATTACTCTTTTTTTCTTAACAATTATTAATATAAATAAATGGAATTAAAAACATTCAAAAATGGAATAATTAATAAAACGCAAAATTAATTTTTATGCTAAACATGGAAAAAACGTAATTCTTTTAAGAAATCTTCTTTTAAAAATATTAGGCGCCAAAAATATTATTCTTAAAAGAGTTTCGTTTTCTCGATGTAATAATGTAATTATGGTTAAAAAATACATTATAATTTCTAAAACTTAAGTAAAATTTAAAAAAAATACAGTAACACACACTGGCTTTCTAGTTAACAAAAAATATATACACAAGCTTAAGAAATAATTTGTATATAGTTAATTCAATGAAATCTTTCCTGAGATTTAAAAATAAAAAACAATCATGTTAAAATTAAAAACACACAGTACTTTCAATAAAATCTAAAATGTTTGGTTAAAACCGACTAGAAGGCAAAGTGAAAGTACCAAGTTAATAATACTGAAATTGGATAATCTTGAAAGTCCACTTGCATTAAAGCAAAATCCCATGTTACATTCGTTAGCTTTTTTATCAAGTCTGTCTTTTATATATTCCCAATTGCATAGTCCAACATTGCAACCTTCATATCTCACAAGTCTCTCTGCCCAATGGAATATCACTTTATTAACTACATTTGATGAAAATGTATCGTTACATCTGAAAAATATTTTAATTTTATTTTTAAATATTTAAATTAAATTTTTATTTTTTAAAACCTACTTGTAAAATGCAGCTACTAAATTAGTGGCAAATGGACCGATAAACGATGTTCTCCAATGACGTCCCGCTGATTCTTTAAAATTATTCGCCATTAGGGGTTGTGGATCGTTATTGAATCCCAAGGCTGCGAGTAGAGTTTGAAGAGTCACTGTATGCGCAAAGTAAAAAATACCTTTTGGCTCTTGAAAATAATTATCTCCTTCCAGTTTTCTGCAAAAGGAAATTTTTAATTTAGAATATAATTAATGGGATTTTAATAAAAGAATCGCGACTTTAATTGATAAATACCGAAAATGTTGAAATAAGTCCTTCATAAGTGGACATCCGAGTTTAACATTTTTTTCCCGACCAGGTCCAACATAATAGTAATAATCTAAATCCTCTCTAAATTCAAGAACTCTGAGTTCTCTTTTGCTAAATGCTGCACACCAAGGAGAAACTTTATCTATTCTCCAGGCTTTCTCGAATCGACACATATCGTACATTGAATCCACGGAATCTGTAAGAGATTTTGATAAAATTTTATGTTTAAAAATTTTTAATTTAGTTCCTTTTTTTTAAATCATTTTCCGTTAGACTTTTTTCTAAATAACAATTTTTTACCCAAGGTGATATTTTCTCGAAAACCAAGTCGACGGCTAACGTTATAAAATAAATTTTGCATCTCTGGTCCATTATTAAATTTATTACGTTCCTCGAGATATTTGAGAGTTGAGGTTTCCTCTTCCCATGAAGGACACTCTTTATTTGGCTAAAATGAAAAATTTATTTATACAACAAATTTGAAAATAATTTGTTAATTTCGAGAATTTGTAGGAAAAATATATGTTTGCAAATATTAAAATTTTCTTACTCGCAATAATGTATCATTGTTAGGTGCTTCTCTCGGATTTACTGCATTTTTAGCACCGAATAATCCTTCTACAAATGCTGACATACTTTCTTCTGTTCGTTGAGTTTTAGTGGATCTGAACTAAAACAAAATCAACGATTTTAATTTTGAATATATAATTTTTGCTCATGGTTGATATAATAAAGATAATTTAAAAGAAAAAATTTAGATAAATTCTCGTACCACATAATTGTTCATACTATTGTAATCAGTTGGTGTAAGAAGTTCCGGAAATGCTGCCTTTAATCGCATTGCCAATCCTTTTAAATCAGTTTCTCCCTGAGGTGTTAAAAAATCTGCCATACCTTCTCTAACATTATCATCCAATTTCCAATTTTTGAAATTATCCAAATCATAGTCGCAAAGGTGTCCCACTGTAAAAAGAAAAGAAAAAAATACTTTTACATATTTTCTAATGAGTTTCAAAAAAATTTGCGCATCTTTCTGTGCATTTTTCCGAATGTATTTTTAAAATTTTGTATGCTTTTCAATCAGTCACTGTCTAAATGCCACAACTGTTTGTTGCAAATTTGGCTGCAAAACTTTAGATAGAATTTGGTCGATATAGTAGATATTTTATACAAATTATAGCGGTAAAAATTCTAAACTTTCTTCACGTGAATTTTATCATATAGTTGTTAAATACGTATAATTATTGACAAGAGTTGACAATTTCCGTATTGAAAATTAAAGTACAATTTCACGTGTAATGTATATAACACATGACGTAAGATAATTAGTGTCTTGGTGTATGCAACTTTGCAGTGTATATATTGACCCACTTTTCTTATAACGCATAAAACATGCGAGAATGCCTATGGTTACAAATACTTATTATGTCACACGAGCGTTTAAAGAAATAATTATTATAAATCCACTATACAACCAACTTGAGAAAATACAATTTAAAAATAATTTTAAAAAACTAATTTGTTTTTGTTAGAAAAATTTCATTTCATTTGAAAATGTTATTAAAAATTATTTTCATAATACTTGTTTAAAACTCACATCGCTTTTCTAGATGATTAGAAACAATTTGATCGCGAAGCTTATACAATTCTTTCATTTTTGGAACTGTTTTTGATCCAGGGTATCTTGTTCCATGTCTTGAGACAACAAAAATTTGAATTGGTCTACAATCTGAAAATATCAAAATCTTATTATAGAATATAATTTATTTGTTTATTTATAAATTTTTGTTTAACATTAAATTTAACATAAATTATAAATTTATTTTCAAGGAGGCTTTCTTTTCTTTTGTCATTTCAAAGAAACATTTATCTCGATATTTTATTTAAATAAATGATTTATTTAAATTATATACGTGCTTACTTCGTTCAGGTTTGAATTCTCCATGCATAAAATTATAGGCAGATTTTGTTGCAAAGTACAAGTAGGGATTGTCATCATCGGCAAGACAGTAATCAGATTCTCGAGCAGTAACAAGACATGCCAATAATGTTAGAAAAATTGTTATAATATACATGATGTTTTCCTCAAATCTGCAAAAAAAAAAAATTCTTTTGAGTAAAAAATTTATTGTTCAAATTTTCTATTAAGAAAAATAAAAACAATTTCTGTTTTCTCACTATAAAATAATATATAAAAATTTAAATATATGACATGTGTTCTTACAAAATGCGCGGAATTCACACAACTAAAAATAAATTCTATATTTTCATAAAGTATAGTAATTGGCAAGATAAAAAAAAATTAATGGTCACAAATTTCCCGTGAAAATTTACTGCAAAACACTTTTCTGACTAATTAAAATTTAAAAAAAAATTTTTTTGGTTTAAAATTAATTAACAAAAAAGAATTTGCTAAAAAATTATTATTTATTATTATTATTATTATTATTATTATTATTAAATAATTATTATTCGAATAAAGATAAATAGTTTGTAGTTTAATATATATTTACAGTGAACAATTTATATAAATTATAATAATAGGCAACAATCATGTGAATACAATGACAACTTTTAATGTTCACTGTAAATAAGTATTATTCTTATCATGAAAAAAAAATATGGGACATCAGAATTATTTAATTTATTCAGTTTCCTGGTATACACGTAAGAATTCTTGCGTTTTGATGGTCACAGCTGTAAATAGAATATGCCCATTATATAATTCAAAGATATTCCATGATTTCATTTAATTTTCGTATTTGCAAACAATAAATTTGAACGCGCATTCAATTTATGTTTACTGGATCTCTAAAATATACTATCATCACTGTTGTATATATCCTTGATTTAATTATAGTCTAGAGCTAAACTAGGACAATTATTATAAAAAATTATAAAAATTCAATATTTATAATATTTTAACCATAAAAAAAATTATTAATTGCAAATTTAAACATGAAACTAAAAAAAAATAAGAGAAAAAGAAAAAACTGTAGAAAAAGAGAATAATTGATTATCTAATTATTACTGTTAAAGTTTATGTTAATTATCAATTGCTAATAGTAGTTATTGAATGATAATTGAAAAATAATTTAGATTTTTTGCATTCTTGTTAAAATCAACTTATTTTTAATTTATTGATTAATTTAATGATTTAATATAAAAGAGAAAGGCTTGCATTGAAATCAAGGTATATCCGCATTTTTATTTATTTAAAAAGACAAACATATATTATCTAAAAACATTTTCTATAATGCATCTCTAAGAGAAACGTGTATGTCTTTTCTAATTTTTTTTTACAACTGTCACTTTCAAAGGCTTTGAGTTGAATCGACCAACTGTAACAATATTACATGACTCGTTGACCCACCTATAATGTTACGTGTACCTTCATGTATATTTTTTATTAATAATTTGAATTAAACAATTTTTTTATCATAAAAGTTAATTTTAAAATAAAAATTTTATCAAAATTTAAAACAAAGGGAATTATTTAAATGGAATATAATGGGAGATAAAATCATCATTAGTAGAATTATTTAAATATTTTTTGTTTTTTATGTTTAGTGTTAATTTGTCGCGCTAGAAAATATGCGACACTAAATGAGTCTTACTCTCTTTGCACTTTAGGCATTTATCGTGATAAATATATGAGAAAATTCAAATTCCTCTCATTACAAGAAGTTTTATAAATTTCAGACACTTGAACTTAAGGAAAGTTTAATTATAACAATTAGAATTTTAATTCCATGTAATAAAAAATTTGAAATAAATACAATGTTTCGTATAAAATTAAAAAAATATATATAAATGAAGGTATAATTATAAAAAATATCAATTAAGAAAAACATAAAAATACTAAGTCTAATAATTTTGTTAACAAAATAAATTATTTTATGTCATATTTTATTTATAATAAAATAATTAGTAATAATAATAAATAAAATGAATGATAAATATTATTATTTAAAGACTGTAAATAAAGTAGATGAGTCTTTGAACTTTGGATAAAAATAACGAAGAATGAGTTCACAACTAACATCTAGCAGTTTTTTTAGTGACTGACATAAATTCAAAAAACAATTACAGTTCAATTTCCTGACCAAACCCATTTTAATTGATCGAAATAAATTTTTTTAGCCCAATGACTTTTTATTCGCGAAAGTGGAAGGTGAAATTTTAATAATAATAAAAAAAAAATTTTATTTATATTTTTTAAAATTTTTATTTAAAATTGCAAAAAAAATTTCAATCCTTTTTTATATAAAAAAAGAATTTTTTTTCTGAATGAATAAATAAACAATTTTCAAAAAATTTATAATTTGAAAAGTAATAATATTATGTTTATATATTTTAATAAATTAATTATCATACCTTATTTGCTCAAGTAATCCTTTTTCTTTTTTCTTTTATATTGAAACACACGAAAGAATAACCGTTCTTGTATTCGGGGCAAGCCGAATACAAGAAAGAAAATAATAACGAAAAAAATGTTTGTATTGTTTTATTTAAAAAAAGGGGACTAATAATATTAATATATCGTAATGATTAAATGTTTCTGCGTCTATCAAGACTTCTAATTTCATTTGAGACTGAGCTTATAGTTAGTGAGTGGCAGGTTTTGAGAGTATGAAACAACTTCACTTGTTCAAGTTTCCCACTCTTTCGCCTCTCTTATTTAATGGTTTTTGTATAGTACAGTTGTAATTTCCTTCTACCTTTCCCGTTAAAGATAAACTTTAATTGTTCTTTATATCGAGAAAAATTGAACTTTATTGAATTGATTAAATAATTATTTTTTAATATATTTAATAATATTTAATACTATTTAAAAAATATACTCTTTTTTAGAGCATTTTTGTTATAGCAAAATTTGAACAATCAAAAAATAATTTTGTCCAATAATTTCTTTTTTACTAAAGATAAAGTCAGTCAATAAAATAAATGTACACAAAAAAACAGATGTTTCCTTAATATGATAATCAATTTGCGTTATAAATATTTACTTTTTAGAATCAATATAATGCCGAAAAGAAATGATATATGTTTTCAAATTAGAACACTGAAAAACTGATGGATAATTATTTATTTTTTCAAGAAAAAAAAATATTTAATATTTTTAACACTTATTCACAATAAACTCCATAAACACAACAATAGGCAATAAAAGTAAGAGTTTCCAAAACATATTTAGCATAATTGTCTCTTTGACTATCCCAGACACATGCCATTGATGATGTTATGCCCTGATTTTCTTTTTCTACTATAGTTACAACAACTACAATTTTATATCTACAAAATAAAATACGAAATTACTAAACATAAAAATTAATTAAATAATAAATTTAGCATTTATATAAATTGATTAAAAATTTATTTCAATCAAATTTTATTGTTTTTAAATAATGTATTCGATTGAAATAAATTTTGTAGTATAAAAAAATTTTACATATATTTAGTAAAAATTATTTTGCTGTATAAAAATACCAACCTATCAAATTCTAACATTTCCACTCGATTTCGAATTTCAGTGGCAATTTGCGCGCACAATCTAGGGCTTTCATTTGCATCATAGGATGCATTTTCTAAAATATTATTCATCCATGTTTCTAAAATCTTCTCCACTGATTCGGCGCTAAATGGATTTTGCGACTCCAATCGATAGGAATTTGCTATCTAAAAATAATTCAAAAATCACCTTTTGCATATATACAATTATTCTTTCCTTTATTAAAAAAATTGATTAAAGAAAATATTTTCTTTTACCGAAATTTAAACAAATAATAATAAATTTATTTTTTGCAAATTTTAATGCAAACCTGATCGTTCTCGTAATTAATCCTATCAATGACTTCAATATTCGTCGGCATAATTCAACTTTCTTCATTTGGGAAATAATATACTTTTTTCTCAAAAATAATCTCCTTTTCTCTTTATATATAAAGAATACAAATTAAACTGAATTTACTTTTACATTTAATAAAATTGATTTACTCCTTTTTGGGTGTCTTGGAAACCAAATAAATTACATTGTGTAATCAATATTGTCATGGTAATAATTATACTTTAAATAATTTCTTTTCAAATTGGACATAAATTATAATATTAAAAAAATTAAATTAAAAATTATAAATGAAAAGAATTTTCAAAAAAATTTGCTTAATGAAGGAAATAATGCATTATTTAATTTTATTTATTTATTTGTCATAGATTCACATATTGCACCGCATATTTTGAAATAACATCTGACAAAATCAAGGAGAATTATATATATTTGTATATAATATAATTATCCTTTTTTTTTACATTTATTTGTATATCAATTTTTTTTTTTCTAAATAAAACGAACCCGTATATTCATATTTATATAGAGTATATCTAGATAACAATAAAAGCACTTGTCTTTAAGTATCTTTTTTTAAACTTTAAAATCCTGAATTGATATTATTTTTATTCCTTACCCGTTTTCGACGCAATTCTGAATTACCACTCATTGTTTTGTCACAGATGTGCTTCAATTTAAAAAAAAATTTATTTTAAAAGAAATTTTTTTCTTTAAATTAATTTTTGTATTCGAAATCTTTTTTTCATTTTTATAATCGATAATAATTTTGAAGATAAAAGAGAAGTTCTAGATAAGTAATTTTTTTTTTGTTAAAAAATAATTTCCCTTTTGAACCTGCGCGAAAGGTAGTTTTAAAAAGTATATCACTAAAGCTGTAGATTTATACTAATTCAATAGCAGTCGTTGCGCGCACAGTCAACTTTGATTCGTATAATATCTATATATTTTGTCTGATCTCTAATCAATAAGTTCAGACGAATAACAAAAAAATTAAAATTTTTTCTATTTCTTCCCCTCATTTTTTCAAAAACTCTACTCACTATATTTATATCAAATTTTTTTCTACGATTTCGAACAATTTCGCAAACAATTCTTATCTATTTTTTATAATCATTTTCATTAAAAAAAAAAATTGAAAATATGATTATTTTTCTAAAACATATTCTACTGTCAACAGTTCAGTTTGAAATTATTTTTTTTTTTTTATTGTAAAGATTCTTTATATGTATCCAGATGATGGAAAAATTCATCAAAAGTCTCTTTTTATCATAATTTTCACATTTAGTAGCTGTATATAATCAAATAACACTAATGGTTTTTTTTCTTATTTGCAATGAATAGCTTTGGTGATAAACAACAAGACTTATTATTATAGTTTTTTTTTTCTTAATATAACTTTTAAGAGTATCATTTAGGATTTTTTTTGATGAAGAAAAATAAATCTGTTTTTAAGTTCATATCTTTTCATTTGCGATTCTTTTAAAGATCGCTAATTCCTTCGTGCTTGTACTTTTAAAACTACGAACTTGTTTTTAAACAATTTATAATATTTAAATTCAATATTTAAATAAAATTTTAAATTAAATATTTTCATTGTATAATTTTTTTCGATCTTATGAGATCTATGTAAAGTTTTTTAACAGTAAGAAAAAAAATCTTAATGACCTTTTTTAAAATATCAAGGCATTTATCAAAAATGTTTTTCAAAAAACATTCTATGACAAAAGTTCCACTTCTGCTTGAATATTTTGTCGCGCCTGCTCTTCAAACTTTTCTCGAAATTCCTTCGTTGCAAAGATGTTTGGAATCTGCACAAAATTCTGTAGCACCTGTTAACCCAAATTTTTTTAGTCTGTAATTTTATACTGCTCTTAAAATTTTTCTTCAAAGAAAATATTTCTAAATTTAAAAATAAATATTGGCTCTCATTTATATTCTAACTGTAGGAAAAAATATTATGAATTTTTTTCTTAAGATTATTATCTGTAATTTTTTTTTTTGTACCTTCAGTCTCAGTGCAGTGTACATGGGTTCACTGAGAAAGGAATATTCCCCACGAATTTGTTCTCTGTATTCTGCATATTTTTCAGGTACAGATCCCAAAATAGCCATATCTAAATCTAATAAATAGTGAGCATCTTCTCCTCCAAATGCGCCTCCAATTTTATGTGCTTCTGTACTATGCGTCGCTGCTGCTCTCAATAGAGCGCAAGTCTTTTCTCGTAATTCTCCATCCTAAAAATAAATATTAATTTAGAGCGTAAATTTTGATAGAAAGTGATTGTCTTTTTTTTTAATTTTTAGAGATTAAAAAAAAAGACAAATGTATTTCTATTGTATAAATATATTATTAACTCACTGCTGGGATTCCAACTTCATCAGCAAATGCTGAAAAGTGTTCTAAACTTTTATTTTCATCGTCTAATGCCTTTGGATCATATTCGAAACTGAAAATGATGAAAAATCTTAAATTTTCTTTTTGTGATAATATTTTTACACTTTTTTTTTAGAATATTTTATTAATAAATTATAATTAATTATTATGTATAAAATATTTATTACACATACTTTTGAAAGAAAAGCGCTAACAACATAGCCTGTGGCTTGTTAATGCACTCCTTTATTTCATAAAAATGATTGAGCTTCTCGCAAAGAGATTCTACATTATGATAAGTCCTTTTCTCTTCGGAATAAGCTTCCTGAAGTCGAGTAAACCAAGTGTCACAAACTTCACTATCTAATCCCTCAGTTGCTTCTTTCCAACTATCTTCTAAGGAAACCATATCGTCTAAAAAAATTAAACCAATTGATTAAAAAAAAAACATTTTCCAAATTTATTAACAATATAAACTATTTAGGTGTAAATTTTTTTTTTTAATAATTTGAATTTCCAATAGCTTATGTTTTCAAATTGTCAAAATTCGATTCCCTCCATAAAAATTATGGATTTGAATTTCGAATTTTTGCACACCATTTTAAAATATTAAATTGATTAAATTTAATTAATTAAATTTAAAGCTTAAAATATTTTTTCTTTAAACATTTTTCTTTTTAAAAATAATAGTAATTAAATTTTCCAAATAATTTTTGTAAAATTTTCAAAAACACTTCAAAGCAATGAATATTAAAAAAAAAAAATTGTTTCTTATATTAATATATCTAATTTATTAGCAAAATATTGTATAATTGTAATGAGAAAAAATTCTTATTTCATAAGATATATAATATAATTAAAAAATACTACTTACATTATTTGATTAGATGATTTGGATTTTGGGGATAGGGATATAATAAATGTTTTAATTAAGACCACATTTGCTATTATCAATGTATCGAACAACTGCCTTAGAAGAAAGTTGACAAAACAGTCCTCCTACTCTTTATTGATCCGAGCGCTGGCAGCGCTATAACTTTGATAATAATATATATGTACATATAAAAAGCGTAATTATAATTTACTTCTATATCAAATTATATATATTCTTTTATAAAAAAGAAAGTTAAATCACTTTCAAATTTTTTAATTGATTGCTAACATTTTTATATTTTAATTGAAGCTATAAATGAGTTAAAAAGAAAAAATCTATTCTTCATAAAAAAAACGTTTTATTACATATTTAACATTTTTAATGTCACATGTTCAACAAAATAATCTCTATCAGTAATTATAGACATTTATTAATTTTTCATCTAAAAGTAAATTTGCAATTGAAATATACCTTCAAATTTAGCGCTATAATGTTTGTTGACACACGACACACGTGACTTCATTTGACAGCTGTCAGATTATTAGGTTAGGTTGCTCCCTTTACATACTTGCTCTTGTGTATTACGGGTAACATACCCTACAGGAAAATTGTATTACTTTTTCAACTTTTATTTTAACCTATAAAAATATAATATTACATTAATTAGTGAAGAATAAATTAATAGCAATTGAATAATTAGTGAAATTTTAAAGAATTTATTTCAAAATAAGTACTCATTTAGCTTTTATTATTTTTTAAATACATCCCGGGAAATGATCAATTGCTCCATCTGGTGGAATGTGAAGTAATTAAAACTGCTAGGTGGCCGATGATGGAGACCACCTTTACATAAAAAAAAAAAAATCGAATGTGTCCCCTGTCAATCTGTCAACAATTCAACAATCGTTTTAGTTATGCTCGTTGTGTGTAAATTATCTAATTGACCATATAAATATCAGGTTTTCTTTTTTGAATCATGGAAATAATATACGTGAATTTAAATTGGGTGTTAGTATTGCAATGTGCACTTAATTGATGTTGACAACCTAATAGTCAGGATGCTTACGTCAATCTACTTTCACAAATTTAACCTGTTATTACATTACTTATCTTACTTATCAATTCTGCCCTCCACTATATGTTCGTTGGATAGAATTTGAACTGGGGATCAGTGGGGTCAGGTGTCATAGTTGACGATGCAAAATAATTCCAAAACCAGAGAGATGTTCATTGTCAGAGCTCTTGAAAAAATCCTCGCCGACAGAGATGTCAAAAGATCACATCTCTCACAACTAAGAAAAGCTTGCGAATCAGCACTTGGTGAGTGATTGAACAATTGATTGTTCTATTTAGAAACTTTTGTTTCGCTGTTCAATTTTTTCTGTTTTAAGACGTCCCAATTATTGACAAAGTAATATTTATTTGATTTATTGTTTGTCACTTTTTCTTATTTAATTGCAGAGGATTTGAGAAATGAAATCAAGGATGTTCCCAATTCGCAGAGTGAAGAGGCAATTTCAAATGCGCTCCCACAGCCAAAAAGTGATTCAAGTGTTATTTCGGCGGAAAAATATTTTCTTCCCTTTGAATTGGCGTGTCAAAGTAAATCGCCAAGAATTGTTGTCACATCGTTGGATTGTTTACAAAAGTTGATAGCGTATGGTCACCTGACAGGCAGTGTTCCAGATTCAACAGATCCAAGTAAATTACTTATCGTTCGAATCGTGGAGACAATATGTGCTTGTTTTATGGGCCCACAGACGGACGAAGGTGTTCAATTACAAATTATTAAAGCCTTGTTGACAGTCATGACAAGTCAACATGTCGAAGTTCATGAAGGAACTGTACTTTTTACAATTCGCACTGTTTATAATGTTTATCTTGCTTCGCGAAATTTAGTCAATCAAACGACAGCACGTGCCACACTTACACAAATGATAAATGTTATTTTTGCTCGTATGGAAACGCAAGCCGTAAGAATTATAATAATTTGATGATTTTTTTATCATTAGAGAAAAAAATTCTAACTTGATTTTTGTAATAATTTTTTAGGAGGAGGAACACATTAAAGCGGAATTAGAACAACCTACTGATCAATCGGGAACTTCTGGGACGGAAACAGAAAGTGAACAAGTAATTAATGAAGAACAAAGTGGAGAAAATGTCCAAGAGTCACAGATTGTGGTGAAATCAATTTTAGATGATGTGGTGAATACAATTATTTCTGAAGATCCACCAGTTCCTGTCACTTCTGAAACAATAAGTTTGGATCAAGTTCCAACGGATGACAATACAGATGAGACTGTCGCCGAAAGTGATAATATCGTAACGGCCAAATTCACTCATGTTTTACAAAAAGATGCCTTCTTGGTTTTTCGGGCACTTTGCAAACTTTCTATGAAACCTCTGCTCGATGGAATTCCTGATCCAAAGTGAGTAAAATTAATTTTTAAATATTTTATTTACGAAACTTTGAGTAGAAAATAAAAATAATTTTTAAATACAGATCTCACGAGCTACGATCAAAAATACTGTCGTTACAATTGCTGCTGGGAATATTACAGAATGCGGGACCAATTTTAAGGTCCAATGAAATGTTCGTAATTGCAATTAAACAGTATTTATGTGTGGCATTATCGAAAAATGGTGTTTCTTCAGTACCTGAAGTTTTTGAATTGTCACTGGCGTTATTCCTTGCATTATTAGCTCGTTTTAAGGTACATTTAAAAATGCAGATTGAAGTATTTTTCAAGGAGATTTTCATGAATATACTCGAAACTTCAAGTAGTTCCTTTGAACATAAATGGATGGTGATACACGCACTCACTCGTATTTGTGCAGATGCACAAAGTGTCGTTGATATTTACGTTAATTATGACTGTGATCTTTCTGCTGCTAATTTATTTGAAAGGTTTGTTATTTAAATTTTTTTAAAAATTGATAATTTAATACTGTTTATGTTATGAAGGTAAAGCAAATTTTAAAAATGTGATTCGTTTTCAGGCTGGTTAATGACTTATCGAAAATAGCGCAGGGTCGACATGCCTTGGAACTTGGTGCTTCACCAAATCAGGAGAAATCTATGCGCATACGAGGTCTCGAGTGTTTGGTGTCAATTTTGAAATGTATGGTCGAATGGAGTCGTGATCTCTATGTTAATCCGAGCATTCCAGCTGAGCAACAATTACCCTCGGAACCGCCTGATCCACCGCTTGATCCACCCTTGCCTCGATATGGAAGCGCGGGTAGTTTATCTTCAGCCAATTCTAGTCTCGTAGGAAATAAGGAAGTTCCCGATTCTCCGGAACAATACGAGGTACAAAAACATCAGAAGGAAGTTTGGGAAGCTGGAATTGAAATGTGAGTTTTAACAAAATTAACTTTTCAAATATGAAAAGAAAAAGGATTTGTATTAAATTTTGTATTTTTTTTAAAGATTTAATCGTAAACCAAGCAAAGGAATACAGTATCTTCAGGAGCAAGGTCGTCTTGGTACATCACAGGCTGATGTGGCAAGATGGCTTCACGTTGACGAGCGACTTGATAAAACTGCAATTGGTGATTTTCTTGGCGATCATAATCATAATGTTGTTATGTACAGTTATATAGATCAAATGGATTTTGCCAAACGAGAATTAGTTCCTGCTCTGAGATATTTTTTGGAAGGATTTAGACTTCCGGGTGAAGCTCAAAAAATTGATCGTCTAATGGAGAAATTTGCTAGTCGATACTGCGAGTGTAATCCTAAGTATGATATTTCAATTAATTATTTTCAGAACATAATCATTACACTACACAAAAATTTCAGTTTGGAAAATAAATTTCTTTTTCTTATTTCAGTAATGGTTTGTTCACTAGTGCCGATACTGTCTACGTTCTCGGCTTTTCAATAATTATGCTTACTACCGATTTACATTCACCTCAGGTCAAAAATAAAATGACCAAAGAGCAATACATCAAACTCAATCGACGAATTAGTGATAATGAAGATTTGCCAGAGGAGTATTTGTCGAAAATTTACGATGAAATAGCGGGCAACGAAATCAAAATGAAATCAAATCCAAATAGACTTGGAAAACAAGGTAATAATACATTTCTAATTTAAAGGCAAAAAAAATTATTTTAAATAATTATGTCTTTTGTTTTCTAAAAGAAAAAAGTGATAATAATTTATAATTATTGTTATTAGTTATATCTAGTGAAAAGAAACGTCGTCTTTTGTGGAATATGGAAATGGAAGTCATTTCAACGGCAGCGAAAAATTTAATGGAATCGGTTAGTCACGTTCAAGCACCGTTCACTACGGCAAAACATTTAGAACATGTTCGTCCAATGTTCAAAATTGCGTGGACACCTTTTCTGGCAGCTTTCAGTGTTGGTCTCCAAGATTGTGACGATCCGGAAATTGCCTCTTTATGCTTAGATGGTATTCGTTGTGCAATAAGAATTGCTTGTATCTTCCACATGACGGTGAGTTCAAAGAAATAAAAATTAAATTAATGAATTACAATATTTATAAGTTAATTATGGGAAAAATAATTAATTTTAGTTGGAACGTGATGCGTATGTTCAAGCACTGGCGAGATTCACTCTACTGACGGCAAACTCGCCAATAACGGAAATGAAATCAAAGAATATTGATACAATAAAAACTTTAATTACCGTTGCGCACACAGATGGAAATTATCTTGGTAGCTCTTGGCTCGATGTTGTTAAATGCATATCGCAATTAGAGCTTGCTCAATTAATTGGAACTGGAGTGAGACCTCAACTTCTGGGACCTCCCTCAAAACCTCATTTTCAATCGCCACTCGCTAATCTCACAAGTTTAAGTTACAATAATTCACATCAACCCAATAGTTTAAATCTCAGTTCACTGGATCGTAAGTCTTCCTGTTACAAATCGTTTCATTAAAAAATTTATATTTAAATTATATCAATTTAAAAAATCCCTAATTAAAAAAAAAATTCTAAAATAATTTGTAATTTAATTTCAGCGAGTGTAAAAGAGTCGATTGGTGAGACGAGTTCGCAGAGCGTTGTCGTGGCAGTCGATAGAATATTCACCGGTTCAACAAGATTAGATGGCGATGCAATTGTGGAATTTGTCAAAGCACTTTGTCAAGTATCACTAGAAGAATTGGCACATCCAACGCAACCACGAATGTTTTCATTGACAAAAATAGTTGAAATTTCTTATTACAATATGGGTCGTATCAGATTACAATGGTCACGTATTTGGCAAGTGATTGGTGAACATTTTGATCGTGTCGGCTGTAGTCCTCGGCAGGATATTTCATTTTTTGCCGTCGATTCATTACGACAATTGGCAACAAAATTCATCGAGAAGGGAGAATTTGCAAATTTTCGATTTCAAAAGGAATTTCTCAGGCCATTTGAGCATATTATGAAAAAGAATCGTTCGCCAATTATACGCGATATGGTTGTAAGATGTGTTGCACAAATTGTACATTCGCAAGCGCCAAATATTCGTTCAGGTTGGAAAAATATATTTAGCGTTTTTCATCATGCGGCGAGCGATCGTGACGAGTCGGTTGTTGAACTTGCCTTCTCGATGACTGGAAAAATTATTAGTGAGTGTTTTTAATTAAATATTTTTATAATATTCTCGAAAATTAAATTCTAAATAATTAATTAAAATTAATTTTTACAGATGAACTGTACGCAGATGACTTTAGCATCATGGTAGATTCATTTCAAGATGCAGTTAAGTGCCTAAGTGAATTCGCCTGTAATGCGTCCTTTCCTGACACAAGTATGGAAGCGATAAGACTGATTCGATCATGTGCCTGTTATATCGACATGAATCCGAACATGTTCGCTGAAGGCATGATGGATGACAATGGAATGGTGTCTGAAGAAGATCGAGCCTGGGTAAGGATTTAGTTTTGTACAAATTTTATATTTTTGTTATTATTGATTTTGAAATTATTCGATTTAAATTTGAAATTAATTTACAATTCATTCATTTTGTAGGTGAGAGGCTGGTTTCCCTTGTTATTTGAACTATCGTGTGTCGTTAGCAGATGTAAATTAGATGTCAGAACGAGAGCTTTGACTGTACTTTTTGAAGTTGTTAAGACTCATGGCTCATCGTTTAAACCGCATTGGTGGAAAGACTTGTTTCAAGTTCTCTTTAGGATATTTGACAATATGAAATTACCCGAGCAACATACAGAGGTAAATTATTAATACATTATGTAATTTTTCAATTTTCATTCCATAATAAAAATATATTAAATTTAAATTAAAAAATTATTGTTAGTGAATAATTAAATATTTATCTTACAGAAGGCGGAATGGATGACAACAACGTGTAATCACGCACTCTACGCGATAGTCGATGTTTTCTCGCAATTTTACGAGATTCTCGGACCTATTCTTCTCGAACAATTGTATGCCCAATTATTATGGTGTGTTCAACAAGACAATGAACAATTGGCAAGATCGGGAACTAATTGTCTCGAGAATTTAGTCATCAGTAATGGAATTAAATTTGACGAGCAAACGTGGGATAAGACGTGTCGTTGTGTTCTCGATATTTTTGAAAGTACCCTACCAAATGCACTGCTCACGTGGAAACCACAATCGCCGAATAAGGAATCTGATCTCGATGTCATCACTGGTGATTCCGATCATATTGGTATTTTGAAGAGAACCAACAGCAATCAGAGTTTAACGAACGGCGAGAATCATCGAACGAAAATTTTCTCCGCTCTACTCATAAAGTGTGTCGTACAATTGGAATTAATTCAAACAATTGACAATGTTGTCTTTTATCCAGCCACCTCGAGAAAGGAGGATCAGGAAAATCTTGCTCTAGCTCAAGCTGACATGATGAATCATAAATCAAGTGAATTAGGCGGTAGTAATGGTGGCGATCAACAGAAAGAGGAACAGGGCATGTATTGTTCATTAACGGCAAATCATTTATTACGACTTGTCGAGTGTCTCTTGAAATCTCATCGTTTCGCGAAAAATTTCAATTCAAATCATGAGCAACGAAATGTTCTTTGGAAGGCGGGATTTCGTGGGAATGTAAAACCAAGTCTTTTAAAACAAGAGACACAATCGCTTGCCTGTGCGTTACGTATACTTTTTAAAATGTACAGCGACGAATCACACAGAAATGATTGGTCAAAAGTTGAAACACGTCTCGAGGAAGTGGCACGTGAGGCTTTGGATTACTTTCTCGCTCTTTCAACCGAGGCTCATCGTGACGCATGGACACCAATTCTCCTTCTCTTGTTAACGAGGATTTTGAAAATGTCTGACAATCGATTTGCAGTGCACGCATCAAATTGCTACCTGTTGTTGTGTGAAGTTATGTGCTTCGATCTTAAGCCTGAATTAAGATCTGTTCTGCGAAGGTTTTTCCTCAGACTTGGTCCAGTTTTCAGAATTACACAACAATAGTTACTAAAAAATTACTTTGCTGAATGCAAGGAATTGTACTTTACAACTGTATCATTCTATAAATATTATTATACAAATATTATATATTATTTGAAAGAAAACAAAACCACAGAGTAGTGAATTATAAATAATAATTATTCTACTTCGCTATCGAGGAATGAGTCAAAATAATTTTTAAAAATAGTGGTTTTTTTTCTTATATATACATATATATAAATAGGGATTATTTTTCAAATTATAGTATACACTGGAGGAATGTACATTTGTACTCGACTAGAATGTTTATTATCAGTTAATTAATTTATGGCGCCTATTTTATGATAAGTTTAGTGCGATCTGATTTTAATAAATTTGTTTGGTTTTAAACCAAATTACAATGTTAAAATATTGATTCAATCAATTTTTATTTACAATTACAATATTATACAGTATATTTATAGAATATAAATTTATTTATAAATATAATTCAAATTTTTTATTTATTTGTTATATTTATATTTGAATTTATATTTGAATTTAATTCTATATTTGTAAAAAATAATTCTTTATTTTTTACTATTTCAGGCAAATTTCAAACTGAAGTTAAAATTAAAAGGAATAATTAGGAATTGCGCCACACCATTCTTGTATGAAAACGAGAATATCGTTGAGATTAGAATCGGGTGGTGCCTGTCGAGCAGCACTGACCAGTTTATTCCAATCTTCCCGATCAGCAACGCGACTAGTGCCTTCGAATCGAACAACCGGTCCACGAATTGGATAACCAGTGAGTGCACACTCCTGAAGTGGATTCGAATTATCAGTGGAATTGATTAATGATCCGATATAGGTTCCACGATGATCGGTCGGCAATCCTTGTTCTACTTTTTGATCCACCGATACTGTTAATACCCATTCGCGTACCTCTTCTCGTTCATCTTTTGACAAACTCAATCGCGAGGGTAGTGGAACCTCGAGAGGAAAATCAGTCACCCTCAAGTCATCAACATCCAAAATACTTCCATCGCCTTCTTCGATGCATTCCTCCAAATCGAGGAAATGATTCAAGAAGATAAAAGCCTCACTACTCAATCCTGCTGATCTCGCATCAATGCCGGCTTCATAGTAACAACGATCAGCCAATAACATATCGGAATATCGTAAAAGAACGATTGATGCTTTCACCGTGAGTCCAGACAGAGGAGGAAACGATCTCACAGCACAACGGAAACTCGAATAATGTGCAGCACGAAAAAATCTTTCGAATTTTTCCACATGTTCCGATGATTCAATATTTTTGATCAATTTCATAAGAATATCGCGTAGCTGCGATAGATAACGATACTCGTTGTGTGTTTCTTCGGAATTGAGAATTGTTTCAGCCAGATGATAATAGAGATTGTAATTTTGCGGAATTGGCGGCGTTCCATATTGAACGTATAATTGTAACGATTGAATTGGCGAATCTGATTTGAGTAATTGTGCAGCTCGAAGAGCAACATATTTATGTAAAAGTGTAGAACTTTTTGCACTTGCCGCTTCAAATACCTGGGACCATTGACCTTTACGAACGAGAATTTCCAAAGCGGCTTCGGCATCAACTTCAGCCAATTTGTCCATTTGATCTTCTCTAATCATTGCCTCTTTGTATTTTTCCTCTAAATAATATTCCAAATCGGGCGCAAGTTCTTGAACGACTCTTTTTGCTCGTTCCCATTCATTAATAGCTGCCAATGAATTTATTGCATCTCTCAATCTATCGGCTTGAAGAAATACCTGAAATTTATCGTCAGTAATCTCTTTGAAAATTATTTTGATTGATTAATAAATTTTTATTTACCTGAGCAGCAAGAGCATATTCGCCGACGGCGAATAAACGTGTTCCTAAATCGCCGCCAATATGAGCAACAACGTCCGGTTCTGCCTGATGAAGAAGAATATCTGCCGCTTGAATGAGAGCGGGTCTTGACGCTTGTGGATCAAATAGAAGAATATCGAGTGCAGCGCGAATTTCACCAACTTCGAGCCATCGACGAGCTTCTTCGAGATTATTTCCACCATCAATTTGCGAGGTTTTTTGTCCCAATTCTCGTCTTAGTGCCGCTTCTTGACTTGGTAAGTATTCACGACAGACTCTCATTGCCTCTGACCACATTCCTCCATTCTGCAAATAAAATTAATATTGGTTAAAAATCAACAGTTTCTATTAGAAAAATAGTAAAAACTACCTTGTAGTGATCGATGATCACTTCTGGCTTATGCGCTCTTAGAAGAAGAGCTTCAGCAGTACTGTAATCCTGATTTTTAACAGCCTCTGCAGCTCGGGCAACGAGAACTTGGGACAAAGCTTCTTGACTATGATTTTTGGCGACCTCCTCCGCAGCTTCCCAATCTTGTGTATGAATATACATTTGTACCGCCTCTAGTGCTTTATTAGCACGAATAAATTCCTTTTCTGCCTCGGCAAATTGTCCTTCGTCCTCCAAATACATTGCATAACGATAATGAACCTCTTGCTGTTGTTCCACTGTTCCGTACTTGACAACATCCAATGCCCATTCAAATAGACTAGCTTCACACGCAAGTTGTAAACACGAATCCATGTAATTTAATCTACCGAGTAATTTTGCTCCCAGTTCCGGTGCTAACGTTCGTGCCCACATGAGTGCAACCTAAAAAAAACAATTTAATCAAATTCTTTCCAATTTTTTTTCAAAGATTAATTACCTGTTGAGCAGCCTTTTCACTCGAGGCACGTTTTGCCACTCTTAATGCATCCTCCCACATATTTGCCGTTCTATAGGCTGTCACAGCACCTTTCCAATCGCCAGCACCCAAGAAATGTTCCTCGGCTTCGCGAATTTTTCCCGCTGCCTCTAATTCTCGAGCGAGATGTCCATGAGTCGTTTGTAATAAATCCGATCTATGCTTAGCAACAAGACGAATCATATCGGCTCGATGTCCAGCTTTTCTATACATTGCAATTGCCGAATCATGATCACCTGTCGCAACATATAATGCCTCGGCATGTCGAAGATCACCCGATGCCTGCAGTGCTTGTGCATGACTCGCGAGTATTTCATTTGCCTCCGTGGAATTCATTTGACCCAATGCAACTTCCTGTGCTCGAGCCCAATCGCCCGCTTTTATGTGTGTCTCCACTGCTCGATGTGGTTTTCCACTCCGGAGAAATAGATTTTCCGCCAAATTTTTTTCACCCACTGACGCAAAATACTCGCCAAGTTTCTCACACTGTTTCCTTATTTCCGGATCATCGTTTTCAATTACCTTGATTATAAATTAAATTTCTAAATTAAATACTTCAATTTGAATTATAATTTTTAAATTATATTTGTAGAATATTTTCAAACATACCTGAATGATTTGCAGAGCTTTCCGCCACTGATGAGCATTGACAGCAGCATTCAGAGCAAGAGACGTCTCACCGGCCTCGATGAAATGATTAATTGCCGCATCATAGTGACCAGTTTCGACCAAATGATGTCCCCATTCTTTTTCAAGACTCACAACAGAATTTGGCTCAGCCTGTCGCGCAAGATCGAGAGCTCGTGAAAAAACACCAGCCTGAGCGTAAGCCTTAATCGCCGCTGGATAATCGTTTGTCTTCTCGAAAATTTCGCCCGCCAATTCCATGAGATAAGTCGACTTGAGTGCCTTGATAATCTCATTAACCAAGGAATTATCATTTAGTAGATCTTCATTTGCAAGTATCAATCTTGCAGCACGTCCAGGTCGATGAGCTTCCAGGTACAATTTTATTGCTCTTCTTGGATTATTCGATTCAATTATACCCGCAGCCTTTGCCGTTTGTCCACTGTCAAGTAACCATGACAAATGTTTATCTCTCAATTCAGCAACTCCATCCCAACCGCGATTTTGAGCCAACTGTAAAGCATCCTCCCAATGCCAATATTTCTGATACATTTCGAGTGCTTTTTCCAATTCATTTTGTTCAAGATAAATAGCTTCAGCGGTTTTTAATTCCCCATTAAGAATTGCCAATCTTGCCCAACAATCGGGACTTGCTAGTACCTCATTACCTGTTTCCTCTGCATAATCCTCACCTATCTTCATAACTTCTTGAAGAAATCGTGAACGAGCAACATCGCCAAGTGCCGCGTAACATCTCGCCGCTATGAGAAAATTTCGCGAACTCATTGCATTTCTTGCAACATTTTCCCACATTGCCTCGGCTTGTGGTCGATCACCAAATTCTTCGAGAAATAAAACAACTCTTCCAAAATCATTATCGTGAAGTGCTGTGCCAAATTCGATTAAACCTTCGTCTAATAAATAGGAAGTTTTTACTCCCAATTCTTCCACTTGTACGGAAGTTTGACCATTTTCACGAATTATTTCCGTTGCTTCGCCGCGAATTGAAAGTAGTGTTGCTGCCTCCGGTGCATCGACATTGTACCAAATTGCCAATGTTTGACCTGATTGAGCCACCACCACGTCGCTTTCTAAACAATTTTTGTTTTATTGTTAACAGAATAATTCTATTTTTTTGTACAACTTACCAGGTATCCAAGATGCAAAACTAGTTCCTGTTAGAAGAAGATCTCTCCCACCTTGATCATTACATAGCCAAAGTCTTCCACGTTTGTCACGTGAAAGAATTTTATGACCAGTTTCACTTAATTCTAACCAATCGACACGTGTATCATGATTAATTATATTAAGCGTTGTTCCTGTTGAGAGATCCACCACTCGAATTGTTTTTGAATCCAATAGATAGGCCAATCTATTATTAACTGGCATTCCAAGAATCATTCTCTCGTTGACACGAACGCTTACCACTCGAGGATTGAATGCTTCAGTTCGTACAGAGCCCAAAATCTCGTTCTTTCCATATTCAATGATACTCAATTCACCATTCAAAAATACCAAACAAACATTTGCGTATTCAAAGAAAAATTTTTCCTTGTTACTTTTATGATTCCATGGTATTTCACTCATTAGACCTGAATTAATATCACAGACCAATAGTGAAACTGATGTCCTTGCAACAATGTGATTATCCCTACGACCCATTACTTTAACATCTTCTATTTCGTTTCCCGTCTGTGATCTACAAAACAAATAGTTCTTATTTTTTATCAATTAAAAAATGTATTTTTTTAAGAATGATAACAAACCTGATGATCACTGCTGCAGTTTTATTGTCCAGCCGACGAACAACAACTTGACTTGGACCAACGTAAGAAACTTCATGACTGCCACGAATTATTGAACGTCGTAGGATTGTTTCGAATTGTTCAACAGCACCGCAAAGGCCACCAATTACAAGACGAGAGCCATCACGTCGCCAAGCTAGTGCTGTGACTGTATAAAAATTGGGTAAATTACGACAATTCGTTTCCTCCCAAATTGAACGACGAGGACTCCAATCGATGATTCGAATTTTATCCCATGAACCAACAGCTACACTTTGTCCACTTGGACTGCAACATGCAACTGTCATTTCTTTTTCACTTGGATCACGACTGTAATCCAATGATTTTACAACTTTACCACGAGAATCGTAAAATGTGATTCTCTTGTCTGAGCCCGAGGCTAAAATATGTCCTTGAGGCCACGCCAAACTATAGGCAGGAACATTGTGCACCAATACACGACCAACGGGTTCTGTATTTCCATCATCGGACACAAAGTATCTTATAATACTTCCATCTGCATGACTTGATAAAAATCCCGTTCCTCTTGTGCTTGAAAAAAATTATTTTTTATTAATTTTTATTTATATTCAATTAAATTTTATTTTATTTAATATTTAATTTCGTTTATATAAGAAATATGTGGATTCTTACTTTGTAGCCAATGCAATGGTCATCGAATCAGCAGCGTATAAAGTTTGAGCTTTATTAGCTTTCACTAAAGCTGCTCTTACTTTGCCATCAGCTAATCCAACAACAACTGGACCCTCCAAAGGCCAAATGAGACAAGTCACAGACGATGATTGATTGAATTTGTTGCAAATCACTTTTTTCTCTCCCCTGCAGGTAAAAAAAATATAAAATATATTATTCAGATATATTTTTTTATTCTAAAAGGTTAATAAATTTTTACCATTCTTCTCCGATTTTATAAACATAAACTATATTGTCAGTTTGACCAATTGCAATTTTTGTCGAGTCTGGCGAAAATACGATTCCCCTGACAAGGTAGCTTTTCTTTCCAAACTGTAAAATTTAATTTTCATTGAAATTTTATTATTAGTATTATTAGTATTAATTAAATTAATTGTTAAGTAAAGTTTTTTTAAAATAATTTTTCTTTACCCTTGGATCAGCGGGTTTTGTGGAAAATTTATCCCTCCTGACACCTTGGTCGTCGAATAAATAAACGGAGCGATCCGATAAAGCGACAGCTAACTTTAAATTATTAGGTGACCAGGCAAGTCCTGCTATTCTATTTTCTTGATCCTATAAGTTAAAGGAGAAAAGCATTAAAATTATGTTTAATTTTATTTGTTTAGAAAAAAAATATCATAAAATATTATAAACATTTATAAATACGTAAAAAACAACCAGAAAACTATTAACTATTAAACTATTAAATTAACGTACTTGAGCAGATAAAATAGACCCTAAATATTTCAACAACATTTTCTTTTTACAAAATTAAATTCTTTTTCAGTATTAAATACTTAATTTCTGACAGAAGTTGCCATGTTTTTATTTTTGTATTGGATTTTGTTGCTTAGCAACCAACACAAGAAATTAATTAATACAAAAAAACTATAATAGAAGTTGATTTAAAAATTAATCATCTTTTGAAAATACATAAAGAGACAAATTTTGACAATTTGCGCTCTTATAGAAGACATTTTTTGTATTTAATTGTTTCTTTTTTGTTAAATTGACATTTGAATTTAATTTTCAAACACGTGCTTAGTCACGTGGTAATGTAAAGCCAATAGAAAATCATTATTAGGAATAATACTTTCTCATTGGTTATACGTCATATACGTACAAATATTTATGATAGAAGTGTCTTGTCGTTTTTAAATGATTTTTACTATTGAATTATACCAAATTTACTTTATTTTTTCTATTGAAGTTAATTTGTTATAAGTTTTTAAGTTATATTAAGTGTTTTTTACATACATATGGGTAATGTCTTCAACATCATTGCGTGTAATTGTCAAAAGGTAACTCAAACATAACCTCAAAACGTGTATTTTATTGCGACAAAAAACGTTTAGTAAATTTTTAATAATATTTTTAATGAAAATTGTTATACGACAAGAATATAAATATACATAATTTTATTTTTATTATATTAATTTTTTTTATTAAGTTTAATTTAAAAGATTTTGCTTATTGAAAATAATTAAATTATATTTTTAGTTTTCAGAATACAAAAGGCTTCGAAAGCTTGAAAAGTTTAAGATCTATTAGTACACATTGTAATATGTTTAAAGATCAAATAACATTATTAGACGATCGTTGTCGACTGCCAGAAACGGATACCTTACACTTTGAAATAAATAGTCTTTCATGGCTTCATCAAGCTGCTCCAGGTTTTCCTGTAAATGGATCAAAGGTTTCATATTCCTTTTTTCTTAATTTATAATTCTATAACTTATAATTGTAATAAATTCTAATTGAAATGATTAATTATTATTTTTCAGGTCACAATAATTGAAGAGCCCGCTGTATTTTATTCCACTTTATTAGAAAAATGTAAAACTGCCGAGAATCGTATTGTTCTATCTTCCTTATATATTGGAAATGGAAAATTGGAAACTAAACTAGTAAATAGATATATTTTTATTTATAATATAAAAATATTTTACCAGTGATTCTTTTGATGTAATTTTTAATTTATATTTATTTTTGTAGATTGATACTATAGAAGAAACTTTGGATGCTCGTAATGGTAGTGTAAAAATAAATATTTTAATAGACTATATGCGTGGTTCACGAGGTAAACAAAATTCCCGTAAATTATTACAATCATCCTTGAATGGCAAATGGAAAAATTGTTGGAATGTTTTTCTCTATCATACACCAAAACTTCGGGGTTTTTTAAAAGCAGTTACGCCCGATCGTTATAATGAAATGATTGGTTTACAGCATATGAAGTTGTATTTATTTGATGATACTCTTATAATCAGTGGGTTGGTATTTACATCTCTATAATAAGCTACAAAAAAATATGAATTTTTAAATAGATGATTTTTTTTAATTTCAGTGCTAATCTCAGCAATGATTACTTTACAAATCGACAAGATAGATATTTCATGATTGAAGATTGCAAAGAACTCTGTGATTTTTATAGTGAACTTGTAAAAAAAGTTGGTGAATTTAGTTTTCGTCTTATGCCAGATGGAAGTGCAGTTCCTAGTTCCGTGGATTGTGATCCACTCAAAAGTCCGGCAAAAGAATTCAATAAATCTGCCGCTGGAAAAATACGAACTTTATTTCAAACCGAAATAACGAAACGTTCCGAAATCAATAAACAAGGTGAAAGAAAAAAGATTTTAAAATTTAAAATTGAATTGTTGAAATAAAAAATTTGTGTTTTTTAGTAGAAAATATCGAGGCCGATACGTGGATTTTTCCTTTGGTACAAATGAGTCAGTTAGATATTTGGCACGACAGTGAAGTGACACTTCGACTTTTACAAACTGCTCCTTCTGGTGCAACATTGAGACTTGCTACTGGTTATTTTAACTTAACAACCGAATACCGAAATGCATTATTGGGCGATTGTCGAGCTGTTTGTCATCTTCTCACTGCACATCCGACAGCAAATGGTTTCTTTGGTAAATGTATTTATTACTGTATTTAATATAAATTAATATTAAAATTAATAAATAAACGGTAAATAATTTTTCTGCTTTTAAATAAATTGATTGGCTATAATTTTTAATTTTTTCAAAAGGTGCTAAAGGAATCGCAGGTGGTATTCCTGCCGCATACACAAAAATTGAGGAAACTTTTTGTAAATTATCGGAAAAATTACATCAAGCAAAAAGAATAACTTTATGGGAATTCAAACGACCAGGATGGACTTATCATGCAAAAGGGCTTTGGTATACTTTACCTAATCAGCAAAAACCATCTCTTACACTTATTGGATCACCTAATTTTGGTATTTATGCTGAACTAAATATCTAGAGAATAATAATTAAAAAATTGAATTTCATTTTTAGGCTACAGATCCGTGATGAGAGACCTTGAAACTCAAATTGCAGTGGTGACGAAAAATGAACAATTACAAAATTCACTTCAAAAGGAATATGAGAGATTGTTCAAGCTCGCTACACCTGTCAATTCAAAATCATTTCGCCAAGATGATAGAATTCCTCCAGCGTGGGTTCGTGCCGTTGTTCTTCTATGTCGGTATTATTTTTAATTTTACTAGTCATTGGTAATTAAATTAAATTAATAATTGTATATATAGAATTTAAAAAAACTAAAATTAAAATACACAAGAAACGTGTAAATATTAACTAACTGTAGTTGGAGATTTTTTAAACTTGCTTTATTAATAATTTAATAATTTAAGTTAAAAAAGCTTGAAAAGTTTTCGAAAACTGTCAAGTGTGATAAACTATCAAAAACAATCCCAGCGCTCCATTTTGGTGGCAATTTTTAGAAGTAATCTTTAGCTTCAATATTTGCGACACACTCACCATAGTTTCCAAACATTAACCTAACCTCAACTGAATTGTTAAAAACACGTGCTCTAAAAATGAAGTCTGTGTCAAAACAAGGAATATCTTTTGATGGAACTGTGAGTAAAAAACATTATACATTCTGATATTTTGTTTAAAAAATTTAATTATAATGCATTTTTAATTGTATAATTTATTTGCAAGGATACTGCTTCCAAAAGTAAAAGAATAAAATTCGATGATGAGGGAGAAATTGAAGCACCTAAAAAACGAAAATTACTGCTAGAAAGTGATGGCGATGAAGAAGAAGATGAAGAATTTATATTTCCAGAGGATAGTGAATTTAAATCTAAATCGAGAGCTAAGGTAAAATTTATTTAGTTTTTATGTTCTCTATTATTTCCTCTTACTAAATATTTAAATAAATTAAGTTGGCAAAACTTCAATCCTCAATTGGAAATGACGAACGATTTGCTGTGGATGAGCGTTTCTTGGATGATGAGGACCTCGAAGATAAACAGAAAGAAGAAGGAGCAGAAGAAATTGATGAATATGACGATGAAAAAAAGAAACAATTAGAAATTCTAGGAAGCATTCTTGGAAAGCCCATAACTGCTAAACCGAGTCAAACTGAAAATGACAAGAAGACAAAGACTTTGAGCAAAATGGTTCGATATGATCCGACTGATGAACAGCATCAAGAATACGAAATTTTACCCGAGAAACAAGAAAAAGTTAAAAAGAAAAAGAAGAAACAAGTTGAAATTGTTGAAAAACCGGAACTGCCAGAAGTTTCGAAAGAACGTTCTTATTCAATTCCTAATGTTAAATTATTATCATCCGTTTTCGGAAAAGAAGAAAAGACTAGTTTATTAGAAATATTTGGAAAAAAATCAACAGAATCAGGTATTGTATTTCATAATAACTAATTATTTCTGAAATAAACATTTTTAGTGTGATTTTTTATAGAATCCTGTTATAAATATACAAAATTAATTAATATTTTTTCAGATGACGAAAAAGTCGAATCCTCACATGAACGTGATACAAGAAATAAAATATTTGGATTCAGTTCAAGCAAAGCTTTCAAGTATGATACTTCAGATGATGAAGATGTTAATGAAGATTTGCACAAGACAGACAGCAAATTTGAATCAGAAAAAGTAGAATCTACAAATTTCATTGGTAGCACTGAGAGATTTTTGTTTGTTATTGACGATCCTCGATTTCAAGGTAAGAAAATTTTCAAATGATTTAAATTGAAATTGATTTAACGTTTACTTTTTAAATATCGCTGTTTAGAATGTGAAGAATTTTTCAAGAGGCGATCAGAACATAGTGAAGATTTAAAGACTCTTCGTCCCAAATTAAAGCAAACAATACGAAAAAGGATACGAACAAATTTGAAAAAAAATTCTGCTCCACACAAAAGGCTGAAGAGAAAGTATTAGTCTTCTAATATAAAGGTAAATGTATATAAATTATACATATTATTTTTATTTGAATTTGTTTGTCATTTTTTATAATAGTTTAAAAAAAATTGCCCATTCATTTTTTCGTATGAAATATTCATACGGTTTCTTAGAAATAAGAAAATACAAAAAATTCGTTCTATCAAAATTTAACGAAAAAAATGTATTTATGCGAAGCGCTACAGATAACTATTTTTCTTTAGTAACAGCAAGTTTAGTATAAATTAAAATCGATTTTACATATTCCTGCGATAAAATTTATTTAGAATTTTGACAAATAATTCATGAGGTAGTCCGCAAGACATTTGTTTTATATGAGTTATGATTAAATTATAATTCTCTTCTTCGTAAACGGAGTAAATTGTTTGCAATCCTAATTCATGATATAATTCCTTCACTTTTGAGACTTTTTTCATATCATTTTCTCCATAACATTCCTAAAATCAAAAAATGTTTATAATTTTTTCTATGTATCAAAGATCTTTTCTATTTAAAATTTTTCATTACACTGAAAATTTAGTTCTTACCTCTAGAATCTTTCGTTGTGCCGGAGTGACTCGTTGCAAGGCAACAACAACTAACCATGAGCATTTTCCTTCTTGAATATCTGTACCAACTTTTCCTACTAACTTAGGATCTCCAAAACAATCTAAATAGTCATCTTGAATTTGAAAAAAACTGCCTATCTCAATTAGAATATTTTTAGCTTGTCTAAATTTTTCATTATCTTTAATTCCAGCCTTAAAGGGAGAAAAATATTTTAATTAAATCATCAAAAGAAATAATTTTCATTATTTCAATTAGATGAAAAAAAAAACTTACGAGGTGCATAGCTAATATTACTGGCAAAACGCACGTATAATAAGCAGTTTTATATTTTATTATAGCATTGTATCGATCCATGGTAAATAAATTTAAATTAGGCTTTTTTCCATGATTCGTCGACAACAAATCTAACGATTGTCCCAATGTTGTCATATATATAATCTAAAAATATTTTTTTTTTAGAATGTAATAATGATAATCATAATAATAACATTATCATTATTAGTATTATTTTTTTTAGTTTCAAGATTAAAATTTAATTTCTTTCTCACGAAACAATTTTTAAGTTTAGAGGATAATTACTTCGTGAAATGCATCAACGAGATTTAGATAGCAAGATTTTCCCTTGAAATGAATTTGAATAAGTTGATAGATCATTTGTTCAACTAAAATTCCATCATTGACGGCTGAAAGTCCGATATCATTGAGACGATACCAGCACGGTTGTCCTCGACGAGTTGTTGCGTTATCCATAATATCATCCTCCATCAACAAAAATGCTTGCATCTGAAAATTTCAATATAAGGTAACATTCAGATAATTTAATTATTTTTGATCCCAAAATATTATTTTTTATTTATTGTCGTAAAAGTAGATTAATTTTTTTTATACAATTTCATTACACCATCCCAGAATTCGTGCTAATCGTATATTTTCATCAGTTAATTGATCAGGAACAAGTTGTTTATATGCATAAATTAGATCTGTAGCTCGAGTCATTTTACCCTTTGGAACATTATAATGCAATACCTGGGAGAAAAAATTTTCATTTTTATTATAAATAATATATTCAAATGAAGTTGAATAATTTTTTTTTATGTTAAGAATATAAAATGTAGTATTGACTACAAAAATGACATTGATTAATCTATATAGATTTAATTTTTTTTTTATTGAAAAAGTATAGACTGTTAAGAACTTAGAAATTTTAATAATTGAAATGATTTATACAACCTTTTCCATCCATTTGGTCACATCAGGTATATCTGAATGACGACCGGCGTGTGTAAGATCTTTAACTACATTTGGCCATAAAGCCATCAATTCTCTACATTCATCTTTATTTGTCACCAAATCCGATTGAGGCGCATTACTTTTCATGTGAACATTAGTAAGCCTGGAAAATATTGCATAATATTATTCTTAGTGACACATTTTTTGTCATTAGCGAATGATAAGCTAATGTACACAACACACTGATGGTTTTATTAGCAAGTAAAATCATACTTATCGCTCATTTTAAACGAGAAAATTGTAATGTTTAACTGAAAGATGCCAAAGAACTACTAACCATATTTGTCATAGTGAAGTTTCTTATATGATAGAGGCGAACTTTAAAATTATAATAAGAATAAGAAAGGTCATAATGACGATGTGTTACAAAAGATTTATTACATGAATATATTTTTAGAGATACATAATTTTTAGTTTTTACATGTTTTACGAGCACTGACATGAAAGTTATATTTTTTTCATTCCATATAATATATTAGATCACATATAGCAATAGAAAATATGAATAAAATAATTACGTTAATTAATGAAGCATTATATAATTAGAGTGAATTAATTATATATTATTTATCGGAATATGATAAATTTTTCTATTTTTTTTTTTTATTAAAAATCACCATAGCTGGTTTATTTTACAGATCTTTAACAGAATTATATTTTGTGGCAAACAAAATTAAACTCGTCTAATTTAATTTAATTTTTTTTTTTATTTATTGGACACTACTATTTTTTTAATAGATTCTGAACTGAAATTATCAATTGCAATTGGTTTTACATATTTCTGCAATAAAGTCTATTCAATTGTTTGAAAAATAAATCATGAGGTATTTCGCTAGGTATTTGTTGTATATGAGATTTAATTAAATTGTATTTCTCTTTTTCCCAAGCGGTGTAAATCGCTGGTAAACCTAACTCGTGATACAGTTGTTTCACTTTTTCAACTTTTTCTGGATCATTTACTCCATAACATTCCTGGAACAAAGTTTATTTAAAATTTTATTGTGTTTTTAATTTCAATTTTTTCTATCTTCAATTCTGATCCTTATTTCGTTCGTTTTAATTAGGGAAAAATTATTAGGGAATATAAAAAAATTTTCGATATTACCTCTAAAATTTTTCGTTGTGCCGAAGTGACTCGTTGCAATGCAACAACAATTAACCAGGTACATTTTCCTTCTTCAATGTCAGTTCCAATTTTCCCTGTTACCTCAGGATTTCCGAAAAAATCAATGCAGTCGTATTGAACTTGAAAGAGATTGCCCAACTCAAGAAGTACAGTTTTAGTTTGTTTAAACACATCATTATCTTTAATTCCGGCCTTAAAATAAGAGAAAAAATACAGACAAATCAATTGTTACAATCAAGAAAAGAAATTAAATTTTTGAGAGAAAACTTACATGGTGCATAGCTAAAGTGAACGGCAAATCAAATGTATAAAAAGTAGATTTATATTTTACTATACTATTGTATCGTTCCATAGTAAACAAATTTAAAGAAGACTCTTTACGATTCGTCGACAAGAATTCTAATGTTTGACCTATCAATATCTTTTGAATATTCTAAAAAGAAATTTTTTTCTAATTATTTACCATTAGTTAATTTATAATAATTAATTAATCTCCTTTGAATAAATACAGTTCTTTAAAGTTTATAGATATAATTACATCGTGAAATGTTTCAACAAGATTCAGATAGTAATCTTTTTGCCTGAAATGCATTCGAAGTAATTTAAAAATCATTTGTTCTAATAAAAGTGCATCATTAACAGCTGCAAGTCCGATATTGTCCTGGAGATGCCAACATGGTTGTCCTCGACGAGTTATTGAGTTATCAATGATATCATCCTCCACCACTACAAATGCTTGCAGCTAAAAATAGATTAAAATCAAAGATTTTTTTAATTAATAAATTATATTTATTTAATTCAAATTATTTTTGCTATCATAAAAGTATTAATTTCTTTACGATTTGACAGCACCATCCTAAAGTTAGGGCCAATCGAATATTTTCATCAGTTAATTGATCAGAATGAGCAAGTTGTTTATATGCATAGACTACATCTGAAGCACGTGTCATTTTACCCATTGGAACATTATATTGCAATACCTCGAGAAAAATTGTTTAGTATGGTTATAAATAATATTCAATTAAGAAAAAATAATGTTTTTTCCATTTGGTATACCTTTGCTGACCATTTTGGTACATCAGAAAAATTGAATTTACTACCAAATTCTGTGAGATCTTTGACTATATTTGGCCACATAGCCATTAATTCTGGATTTTCATCATTACTGGTAACTACTTTCCTCTGAGATACAGTATGTAACATGCAAACATTAAAAGGCCTAGAAAATATTACTTTTTAAATTTAAAGCTAAAAATTATATTTTTGAAATTAAATTTGGGTAATCTACCTTTTATAGCAAATATTCATCAGGAACTTTGTCATTGTCATTGTAACTATTTTAAATCTATATTACATAAAAAAAACTTCACTATGAAAAAAATTTAGTAGTTCTTTGACATCTATAGGTTGAGTATTACAATTTTCTCGTTTACATTGATCGCAAAAAGATTTTATTAAAAAATTCAATAAAAATTAAATTACAATTGTATCACATATTTTTTGTCTTATAAAATCATACTTATCCCTTCGTTCAATACAAAAAATTGTAATGTTCAACTGATAGATGCCAAAGAACTACTAAACATATTTAGCGAAGTTTCATATATGCTAAAGACACTTTAAAATTACGATAAGAATGAAAAATATCATGATGACCCTCTGCTACAGAAGGTTTACTGCATAAATATATTTTCAGATACATATTTTAGGTTTTGACATGTTTTGCGACCATTTTTACCTGGTGAAAGAATTAGATACATGTAATTTAATTTATTTTTTTTATTTACTTCTGGCCCTTGATAAATAATATTAAAAAATAACATTTGTCAAATAACAGCTGCTTTATTTATTTCTGCGAGGAATTTTATTCAATATTTTGAAAAACAAGTCCTTAGGTATTTTGCAATCCAGTTTTTCTACATAAGATTTAATTAAATTGTAATTCTCTTCTTCGTAAGCAGTGTAAATCGCTGGTAATCCTAAGTCACGATACAATTGTTTAATCTTTTCAACTTTTTCTTGATCATTTACTCCATAACATTCCTGGAACAAAGATTATTTAAAATTTTATTGTGTCTTTTATTTCAATTTTTTCTATCTTCAATTCTGATCCTTATTTCGTTCGTTTTAATTAGGGAAAAATTAGTAGGGAATATAAAAAAATTTTCAATATTACCTCTAAAATTATTCGTTGTTCCAAAGTGACTCGTTGCAATGCAACAACTACTAACCAGGAACATTTTCCTTCTTGAATATCAGTACCAATTTTTCCTGTTACTTGAGGATTACCGAAACAATCTAAATAGTCGTCTTGAATTTGACGGAGATTTCCTATCTGAAGAAGTACAGTTTCAGCCTGTCTAAACATATCGTTATCTTTAATTCCAGCCTAAAAAATGAAAAAAATTAAGCAAATAAATTATTTAACTGAAATGAATAATTTTATCTTGTAATTAAATAAGAAAAAATTACAAGATGCGTAGCTAACGTAACTGGCATAACGAAAGTATAATAACCAGTTTTGTATTTTGCTATTGCATTGAATCGGTCCATGGTAAATAAATTTAAATTAGGCTTTTTTCCATGATTCATCGACAACAAATCTAACGATTGACCCAGTGCTGTCATATAAATATTCTAAAAAGGTTTTTTCTCGATTATTCACTATTTGTTAATCTATAATAATAATTCTGGTTTCAATAAAGTTTTTTTTTTTAAGTTTAGAGGTAATATTACTTCTTTAAATGTTTCGACAAGATTTAGATAGTAATCTTTTTGCCTGAAATGCATTCGAAGTAATTTAAAAATCATTTGTTCTAATAAAAATGAATCAATTATTGCCGCAGATCCAACACCGTCCTGAAGATACCAACACGGTTGTCCTCGGCGAGTTACTGAGTTATCCATAATATCATCCTCCATCAACAAAAATGCTTGCAGCTAAAAATAGATTAAAAACAAAGATTTTTTTATTTAACAAATTATATTTATTTAATTCAAATTATTTTTATGTTATCATAAAAGTATCAATTTCTTAACGATTTGACTGCACCATCCTAAAATTCGTGCCAATTGAATATTTTCATCAGTTAATTGATTTGGATGAGCAAGTTGTACATATGCAGAGACTAAATCTGAAGCACGTGTCATTTTGCCTTTTGGAACATTATATTGCAATACCTGAGAAAAATTTTTTCAATTTTATTAAATGATAGTCAATTAAAAATAAATTATACCACGAGAATATTTTTATATTACTAAAAAATTATTCAGTAAATAGATTGATAGATTCAAAATTAAAAATTCCTTGTTGTTTTTTAAGTACCTTTGCCGATCTTTTGAGTACATCAAAAATATATGTGTTACGACCAGCCTCCGTTAGATCTTTAACTACATTTGGCCATAAATTCATTAATTCACGGTTTTCATCCTCATTGGTACTCAATTTCTTTTGAGACGCTGTATGTATCATGCGAATATTAAAGGGCCTTGAAAAATTTGTTTTTCTTAGACACTCAAGTAGAGAAATATTTTTTTCAATCAAAAAAATCTTTTCCCTTAAATTATATTTTTTGATTTACTTTTGAGATCTCTAATGAATATTAACAAATTTTCTATAAAAAAAATTAATTTTAATTTAAAATAACATATGAGAAAAAATTGTTTTTTTTATTTATTTATTTATATTTAAAAATAAATTTCCTCCCTCAGTTAATTAATAAATTTAAAGAAATTATTTTTTTTATTGAAATAAAACTATATATTTCTGAATGAAGGATCACTTCAATGAGGGTAAAACATTCGTTAGATAAAATATGTTTTCGAAATTAAATTTTAAAAATAAACCTTTTGTAGCAGATATTCATCAGGAACTTTCTCATTCTCAATGTGTCTATTTTAAATCCGAGGAACATAAGAAATTCCACAATTTTTTTTGTTTAACTGAAGGTGCCGAGAAAGTATACTAAACTTATTTCTCATGGTGAAGTTTCTTATATGGTAAAGGCAATCAATAAAATTATGATAAGAATAAAGAAGGTCATGACGACCCTGCAACAAAAATGTTTATTGCATTAACATATGTACATAATTTAAGATTTTGTATGTTTTATGCATCACCCTAAGCAAAATAAATAAAAATAAACTGTCTAAATTGTCGCTGGTTTCTTTGATTTATTTTAATTAAAGTAGAATAGAAAATTCAGTTTCACATATTTCTGAGATGAATTTTATTCAATATTTTGAAAAATAAATCGTGAGGTAGACCGCGTGAAATTTGTTTTATATGAGATTTAATTAAATTGTAATTCTCTTCTTCGTGAATGGCGTAAATCGCTGGTAATCCTAACTCATGATACAGTTGTTTCACTTTTTCAACTTTTTCTGGATCATTTACTCCATAACATTCCTGGAAGAAAGTTTATTTAAAATTTTATTGTGTTTTTTATTTCAATTCTGATCCTTTTTCGTTCGTTTTAATTAAAGAAAAAATTAGTAGGGAATATAAAAATTTTTTCGATATTACCTCTAAAACTTTTCGTTGTGCCGAAGTGACTCGTTGCAATGCAACAACAACTAACCAGGTACATTTTCCTTCTTGAATGTCTGTACCAATTTTTCCTATGAATTTAGGATCACCGTAACAATCTAAATAGTCGTCTTGAATTTGATAAATATAGCCCATCTCAATAAGTAATTCTTTGGCTTGTCTAAACAATTCTCTATCTTTAATTCCAGCCTGAAAAGTGCAAAAATTTAAACAAATTACTATTTTATTCAATCAAAAGAAATCATTTTTGATTTCATAAGAACTATATTTACAAGATGCATAGCTAAAATAACTGGCATAGCTAATGTATAATGACAACATTTGTATTTTACTATATCATAGTATCGGTCTATCGTAAAAAGTTTCAAATTAGGTTTCTTCCCATGATTCGTTGACAACAAATCCATTGTTTCACCTATTACTGCTTTATAAATATTCTAAAAACATTTCATCCTAATTATTCATTATTAGTTATTTTTTTTATAATTTGGTATAAATAATTTTTAAACTTTAAATTGTACATCGTGAAATATTTCAACCAGATCAAGATAGTAAAATTTTTCGCTAAAATGCTTTCGGAGTAATTGAAAAATCATTTGTTCTACTAATAATCCATCCTTAACGGCTAAAAGACCAATATCCTTCTGAAGATACCAGCAGGGTTGGCCTCGACGAGTCTTTGAGTGATCCATAATATCATCCTCTATCAATAAAAATGCTTGCATCTATAAATAGATTTAAATAAAAGATTTTGTCAATTTGTGAATTAAAGTAATTTAATTCAGATGGTCAATTATTTTATTTTGTTATTCATAAAAGTATTAATTTTTTTTACGATTTCAGTGCACCATCCTAAAATTAGTGCCAATCGAATATTTTCATCAGTTAATTGATCAGAATGGGCAATTTGTTTGAAGGCATAGATGAGATAAGAAGCTCGTGTCATTTTACCCTTTGGAACATTGTACTGCAATACCTAGGGAAAAATTGTTTACTCTGATAATAAAAAAAAACTGAAGATTAATAATATATTGTAATTTAGAATTATGAATATTTATTTCCAGTATTCGTTTTATACCTTTTTCGACCATTTGGGCACATCAAAAATATCTGAACTACCACCAGTCTCTGTTAGATCTTTAACTACATTTGGCCATAAATTCATCATTTCTCTATTTTCATCTTCACTGGTACTCAATTTCTTTTGAGACGCTGTATGTACCATGCAAATATTAAATGGCCTTGAAAATATTATTTTTCTTAAACACACAGGTAGAAAAATTGTTTTTTTTATGTTAAAAAATAGTTTTCTTACAATTTTATTTTTTGGTTTAATTTGGAGATTTTAAATGTAAATCAAAAAATAAATTGTTATTGATTTAAAAATAGAAACTAAAATAAAATAAAAATAGACTTTAAAGAAACGATATTTTTCATTGAGAAAAAACTATTTTTCTTAATGTAATGCAAATGTATTTCACTTCTATGCGGGCTGAACTTTCCATACCTAAAATATGTTTTTGAAATTTTATTTGAAAAAATAAACCTTTTGTAGCAAATATTCATCATGAATTTTCTCATTATTATTATATATTTGAAATCTATATCACATAAGAAACTTCACTGAGAGTAATGTAGTTCCACAGTTACCTGTTTTTATAATAACTAGAGACTAAATTTGTTTCTCATGGCAAAATGAATATATACTAAAGGGGAACTTTAAAATTATGATAAGAATAAGTGAGGTCACGATGACCCTCTGTTTCTGTTTGAACAGTAGGTTTATTGCATAAATATATTTTTCAAAGATACATATTTTAGATTTTTTACATGTTTACGATCAATAACATTAAATTTATTTCAAATATTATGTTAGGTCTATTTTTTGGGAATTCAATTCTATTTAATTCGTTTCAGTATTTTAAAAAATAAATCATGGGGTATTTCACGAGGTATTTCTTCTATATGAGTTTTAATTAAATTATAATTCTCTTCTTCGTAATTAGCGTAAGTCGTTAATAATCCTAAATCACGATATAATTGCTTCACCTTTTCAACTTTTTCCGGATCATTTACTCCATAACATTCCTAAAAAAAAGTAACATATTCTTTTACAAATTTCATAAAAATTTTTTTTCTATTTTCTATTCCAATTCTTTTTTTAATCTTCGATCCAGATCGTTTTTGTTTGTTGCAATTAAATTCTTCCATTTCGAAACAATTTTATTACCTCTAAAATCATTCGTTGTTCCAAAGTAACTCGTTGCATTGCAACAACAGCAAACCAGGTACATTTTCCTTCTTGAATGTCTGTACCAATTTTTCCTGTTTTCTCTGAATCTTCAAAACAATCTAAATAGTCATCATTAACTTGACAGAGATTTCCCATTTCGAAAAGTAGAGTTCTAGCTTGTCTAAACACATCGTTATCTTTAATTCCAGCCTAAAAAATAAAAAAAATTAAACAAATAAATTTTTTTAACTCAAAAAAATAATTTTGTAATTAAATATGAAAAAATTACAAGGTGCATAGCTAACGTAATTGGCATAACGAATGTATAATAACCAGTTTTGTATTTTGCTATTGCATTAAATCGGTCCATGGTAAACAAATTTAAATTAGGTTTTTTTCCATGATTTGTCGACAATAAATCTAATGATTGACCCAGTGATGTCATATAAATATTCTAAAAATATTTTTTATTAAAAGTTTTATAATAATTAATCTACTATTAATGAATGTTTTTTAAAGTTTACAGTAATTATTACTTCGTGAAATGATTCAACAAGATCTAGATAGTATGATTTTTGCTTAAAGTGCATTTGAAGATATTGAAATAGCATTTGTTCTATTAAAAATCCATCTTTAATGGCTGCCAGTCCTTTATCGGATTCTAGATACCAACACTTTTGTCCTCGACGAGTAACGGAGTGATCCATAATATCATCTGCGATTACTAAAAATCCTTGCATCTATAAATAGATTTAAATAAAAAAAAATGTCGATTTGTAATTTCTAGTAATTTAATTCAGTTGGTAATTTATCAAATTCTTTTTTCTTATTGATTTTTAATCATTTTATTTTTTTTATTTATAAAAGTATTATTTTTCTTACAATTTCACTGCACCATGCTAAAATTCGTGCCAATAGAATATTTTCATCAGTTAATTGATCAGGATGAGCAAGTGATTTATATGCATAGATTAGATCCGTAGCACGAGTCATTTTACCCTTGGGAACATTATATTGCAGTACCTGGGAAATTTTATTATTTTAATTTCTATTAAGTTTTTTTATATATTGTTTAAAATTTATTTTAATAGTATATTATTTTAACATTGATCTTTGTTTTGTTTAGGATTTATTCGTCATTTTGTTCACCTTTGCCAACCAATTTTTCATATCAGGCATATCTGTATGACGACCGTCTGTAAGATCTTTAAATACTTTTGGCCATAAAGCCATCAATTCTCGACTTTCATCCTTAATGTTAATTAATGTCCTTTGAGGAACAGTATGTACCATGTGGACATTAAAAACCCTTGAAAATAATATTTTTTTAATCACAAAAATTTCTCAAAAAAAATTAAATTTTTTTTGTTTGCTTTTGAGTTTTTAAATTTAAGAGTTAAAATATTTGTTTTTTTGAAATTAAATTTGAACAATAAACCTTTTATTAAAGATGGTCAACAGAAATTTTCTCATTCTTATTATTTTCACTTTAAAAAATAGTTTAATAGTTCTTTGGCATCTGTTGAATATTCTAATTTTTTCATTTATATTTCTGGGAGTAATTAAATTAAATTAATGCACACAACACTTTAACAAGGTACTAAACTTATTTTTCATGACTGACTTTCTTATATGAGAAATCCGTACTTTAAAATTGTAATAAGATTATGAAAGGTCATAATTAACAACTTTGTCACAAGAAGTTCAATGCTTTAATGTAGTTACAAAGTTATAATTAACAGGCATTTGCATGATTTATGTAACGCCTATTTGCAAAAAAAAATTTTTAATTTAATAAACAAATGTAAAAAAAATATGTCTCACTGTATTGCCATAGAATAATCTGAACAGTCATAAAAATTTTTGCTTAAAGGACCATATTTCAGAAATAATATTTGGAATTCAATCAATTTTTAATTGATAAAGTTCACATCTTTATTTATCATTTTTTTACAATATTTTCCAATACAAAATGCTTAATTGAATTTTGTATAAAGTAGGTAGCTATTTTTTCATTTGTACATAAATTCACAATCTAGACAAGTTTCACACATTTCTGCGATGAATGTTATTCATTAAATTGTGAAATAAATCTTGGGGTAGTCCAGGAGGTATTTTTTTTATATGACTGTTAATTAATTTGTAATTATCTTCTTCGAAAATGGAATAGGTTGTTGGTAGTCCTAAATCAAGATACAATTGCTTCACTGTTGCAATTTTTTCCGGATCATTTACTCCATAACATTTCTGTAATGAAAAAGATATATTTTTTTTTTTATAAAAAGCATATTCAAAATTTTAAGTAAAATAATAAAAATTTTGCTTCTACCTCTAAAATATCTCGTTGTTTCCAATTGGATAATTCATAGGCCATAACAATTAACCAGGTACATTTTCCTTCTTGAATATCTGTACCAACTTTTCCTATTAATTCAGGATTGCCGAAACAATCTAAAAAGTCGTCTTGAACTTGAAAAATATAGCCCATCTTAATAAGTAACTCTTCGGCTAGTCTAAACAATTCACTATCTTTAATTCCAGCCTGAAAAGTGCAAAAATTTAAGAAAATTAGTATTTTATTAAAACAAAAGAAATTATTTTTGATTTTATAAGGAGAAATATATTTACAAGATGCATAGCTAAAATAACTGGCATAGCTAATGTGTAATGACAACATTTGTATTTTACTATAGCATTGTATCGGTCTATCGTAAAAAGATTCAAATTAGGTTTCTTCCCATGATTCGTTGACAACAAGTCTAACGATTGACCTAATGCCACCTTATAAATATTCTGAAATTTTTTTTTGTATTATTCATTAAATTAAATTATATTCTTAAAAATGATATTTAATGTTACGAGTAATAATTACATCTTGAAATGTTTCAATAAGATCTAAATAGTAAGATTTTTCCCTGAAGTGCTTTTGAAGAAGTTGAAAAATCATTTGTTCTAAATGAAGTGCATCATTAATAGCTGTTAGTCCAACATCCTCATGAAGATACCAGCAGGGTTGTCCTCGACGAGTCACAGAGTGATCCATAATATCATCCTCCATCAATATAAATGTTTGCAGCTAAAAATAGATTTAAATAAAAAAATTTTTTAAATTAATTTAATTCCGAAAGAAATTTATCAAAATTTTATTTTATTGATTTCTAATCATTTTATTTTGTTTTCCATAAAAGTATTTATTTTTTTACGATTTCAATGCACCATCCTAAAATTAGTGCCAATCGAATATTTTCATCAGTTAATTGATCAGGATGAGCAAGTTGTTTATATGCATAGATGAAATGTGAAGCACGTGTAAATTTACCCTTTGGAACATTATATTGCAATACCTGGAAAAAATTATTTAATTTAATTATAAATTATATTAAAATAAAAATAATTGAATAGCTTTAAAAACTATTTGCCCTAGTTTTCTGTTTCATACCTTTTTTGACCATTTTGGAACATCAAAAATATCTGAATAACGTCCAGACTCTGTGAGATCTTTTATTACATTTGGCCATAAAGCCATTAATTCTTGATTTTCATTCTTACTGATAACCAGATTTTTTGGAGGTACAGTATGTATCATGTGAACATTAAATGCCCTTGAAAATATTGTTTTTGTTAGACACATAAGTAGAAAATTTTTTTTTTTCAATTACAAATTATAATATTAGCTGGAATATATTTTTTTAATATTAAATTTGGGCAATAAACCTTTTGTAGCAGATGTTCATCAAAAACTTTCTCATTGTCATTGTGACTATTTTAAATCTATATCACAAAAAAATATCACTATCTAAAATAGTTCAAAAATTCTTTGGCATTTATCAGTTGAATATTATATTTTTCTCATTTAAATTTTTTTGTATTATGTTTAAAAAATATCAACCTATTCAAATTAAAGACTTAATAGTTTTATTTGATATTTTGACAATATTTGTTTATCCTAATCAGAACTATATAAACAATTTTATTTACATTTATAGTAATATACAAAGAAAAAATTTTAAAAAATAATTGTAACATACAAAATATTAACACTTATCGTAAAAAACATATTTTAATAAATAAACTTATTAAATCTGTTTAACACTGTTTCTTTTCATTAACTGAAGAATTATCTGTAATCGAACATTTTTTACTACAAATTAGTGAGTCTCATTGGACTTTTTGCATTATAAAATCATTGACCCTCGTTATTTGTATATTAATTGATTGATATTTTTCACCACATTAATACGAAATAAATATAATTTTTGTAATAAAATCATACTGATCCCGCTTTTTTATCGAAAAAATTGTACTGTTCAACAAACGATGTCAAAAAGCTACTAAATTTATTTTTCTGCTAAAATTACTTATATTATTCAGGTGAACTACTTTTTTCAATGATTACCGCATTAAAGTAGCTTCAAAGATATGTAGATATATTAGCATGTTTATGTTTTATGCAAGATCTATGCATACAAAATTAAACTAAACTGTCCAAATTTTTGCAGTCATTCGGATGTCATGAAAATTTTAAAAATTTGTAATAGTAATTATTCTTTAAAAATATTTTTTATTTGATGTACTGTACAATTATATTATTCTTTGTTTTTTCAAATTTTTCAATTTTATGATCAATCGCAGACAGTTTTACATATTTCTGCGATAAATTTTATTCAGTATTTTGAAAAATATATCGTGAGGTAGTCCGCACGAAATTTGTTGTATATGAGTGTTAATTAAATTATAATTCTCTTCCTCATAAACGGAGTAAGTTGTTTGTAATCCTAAGTCACGATACAATTGCTTTACCCTTGCAACTTTTTCCATATCATTTGTTCCATAACATTCCTAAAATTAGCAAGATTTTTTTTACAAAACTTATTAAAATTTTCGTTTTAATTTTTATTTATTATTTCTACTTTTTCTATTTCGACAAAAATAAATTTTTAATTTTAGAAAGCTTAGGAGATCAAATAATTACTCTTACCTCTAGAATCTTTCGTTGTTCTGAAGTGACTCGTTGCAAGGCAACAACAACTAACCATGAGCATTTTCCTTGTTCAATATCTGTACCAACTTTTCCTGTTACCTGAGGATCACCGAAACAATCTAAATAGTCATCTTGAACTTGAAATAAATTTCCTATCTCAAGTAATATATTTGTAGCTTGTCTAAACATTTCCTTATCTTTAATACCAGCCTGTAAATGTAAACAAATTTAAACTAATCGAAAAAAATAATTATCAATCCTGTAATTAAATGAGAAAAACTTACTAAGTGCATAGCTAACGTAACTGGCATTACGAAGGAATAATAAGCAGTTTTGTAATTTACTATAGCATTGTATCGGTCCATGGTAAATAAATTTAATTTAGGCTTTTTTGCATGATTCGACGACAACAAGTCTAACGTTTGTCCCACCATCGACTTATAAATAATCTAAAAACATTTTATTCATATTCACTATTAGTTAATTCATGATAATAATAATAATGATAAAATTCTTATTGAATATTAATTTAAATATTAACAATTAATCTGCTTGAAATAAACAAAAGTTTAATGTTTAAAGCAAAAATTACATCCAGAAATGTGTTAACAAAATCTAGATAGTATGGTTTGTCGCCAAAATGCATTCGAAGTAGTTGATAGATCATTTGCTCTATTAAAATTCCATCATTAACGGCTGTGGTTCCAATATTATCGTGAAGATACCAACAGGGTTGTCCTCGACGAGTCTTCGAGCGATCCACAATGTCATCTTCTATCAAGAAGAATGCCTGCAGCTATAAATAGATTTCCATAAAATACAACATTATTTAAGAATTTTTATATGATTTTCTCACCATTTCATTGCACCATCCTAAAATACGTGCCAATCGAATATTTCCATCTGTTAATTGATTCGGATGAGCAAATTGTTTATATGCATAGACTAGAATTAGAGATCGATTCTTCTTGCCACCAGGAACATTGTATTGTAAAAGCTTGAAAAAAAAATGGTTTAATTAGGTAATTAATGAAAAAAAATTTTTTGATTCGCAATAATTTTATAGTTTTTTAAAATTGTAAATTGAGGAAATTTTTAAACTATAACTTTTTCTCATTTATAAATTTTACCTTTGACAGCCATCTGGTTACATCAGGTAAATCTGTATGACGGCCGACTGTAAGATCTTTAAATACTCTTGGCCATAAAGCCATTAATTCTTGATTTTCATCTTTAATGTTAATTAATTTTCTTTGAGGTACAGTATGTACCATACGAACATTAAAAACCCTTCAAAATATTATTTTTCTTAGTCATACAGGTAGAAAAATATATGTTTTTCAATAGAACTCAAAATTTTAATTTTTTGGTTTACTTTTGTATTTCTAAAGTTAATAGCTAAATTATTTGTTTTTTAAAATGAATTTGAACAATAAACCTTTTGTTGAAGACGGTCATCAGAAACTTTCTCATTCTTATTATTATATATTTTAAATGAACTTCACTTCAAAAAATTCTTTAGTAGTTCTTTGTCATCTGTTGAATATTACAATTTAATCATATTAATCGTTCTTTTTAATTGAAAAAATTGTAATGATCAATTGATGATGCGAAAAAGCCACTAAACTTATTTTTCATTTCTGAGTTTCTTATATGATAAATCCGCACTTTGAAATTATAATAAGATTATAAAAGGTTATAATTAACGACCCTGCCAAAAAAGTTCATTGCTTTAATGCAGTTACAAAGTTATATATAACATGCATTTGCATGATTTATACAACGCCTAAGTGCAAAATAAATTTTTCATTAATTAAACAAATTTTAAAAAGTATATTTTTGTTCAGTATATTTCTGTAGAACAATCTGTGTTAACGTTCCTGCTATATATAAGGTTTACAGCATTAATGTACCTAAAAATGTATGTAGATATTTTAGCATTTATATGTTTTATGCAAGATTTATACACAAAAAAGTCTAAATTTTTGCAGTCATTCGAATGTCATGATATGTAATTTAAAAAATGTGTTATAGTAAATATTCTTTAAAAATATTTTTTATTTGATGTACTATCTAATTTTACAATGATGATATTTGTCGTTTTTCATATTATTTTTCAATATTTAAATAATTCGATTTTATATAAATTTCCCTGGTTTAATTTACATTATCAACTAATTAAATATTAATAAAAATTTCTTTAAAAATATAAAAATTCAAAATTAAATTCATTTAATCAACATTCAACGAAATTTATCCCACTATTAAATACGACAAAAATATTCATTCGATTTATGATATATCTTTTAGAAAGATTTAAAAAAAAAACATTTGGATCAGTCCCACTTATAAATTCCCATTTGATCAAAAAACTTGTATACTTTTAAATTTTTTGTATCAAAATAAACTTTGATATTTCATGTATATAAATTTAAACTATATGAAAATAGTATTAAGATTTTATAATAGTAACAGTCAAATTGCGTAGAAAATAGTAAATATAATAGGAATGACAGACTTAGTTAATTCCTATGTAGTATATGAGTAGCGGATAACCGCAATAAATGCCTATTTTTTCATTTTTGGACAAAAATTTTCAATCGCAGACAGTTTTACATATTTCTGCGATAAATTTTATTCAGTATTTTGAAAAATAAATCGTGAGGTAGACCGCGTGAAATTTGTTGTATATGGGTGTTAATTAAATTATAATTCTCTTCCTCGTAAACAGAGTAAGTTGTTTGTAATCCTAAGTCATGATATAATTGCTTTACCCTTGCAACTTTTTCCGGATCATTTACTCCATAACATTCCTAGAATAAGAAAAATATTATTGACAAAGCTTATTAAAAATTTTGTTTTTATAAAAACAAGCCAAGGAGATAAAATATGACCCTTACCTCTAGAATTTTTCGTTGTGCCGGAGTGACTCGCTGCAAGGCAACAACAACTAACCATGAGCATTTACCTTCTTCAATATCAGTACCAACTTTTCCTGTCACCTGAGGATCACCGAAACAATCTAAATAGTCATCTTGAACTTGAAAGAAATTCCCTATCTCAAGTAATATAGTTGTAGCTTGTCTAAACATTTCACTATCTTTAATACCAGCCTGTAAAGTAGAAAAATTTAAACAAATAAAAATTTTATTTAATCGAAAAAAAGAATTATCAATCTTGCAATTATGTAAATAAGAAAAACTTACGAAATGCATAGCTAACGTAACTGGCATAACGAACGTATAATAACCAGTTTTATATTTTACTATAGCATTGTATCGGTCCATGGTAAACAAATTTAAATTAGGCTTTTTCCCATGATTTGTAGACAACAAGTCTAACGATTGTCCCACTGTCGTTTTATAAATATTCTAAAACATTAATTATATAATAAAATTGTTATTGAATATTAATCTAAATATTAATAACTAATCTACTTGAAATGAATGAAAATTTGTAATGGTTGGAGCAATAATTACTTCGTGAAACGTATTAACAAAATCTAGATAGTATGGTTTGTCGCCAAAATGCATTCGAAGTAGTTGATAAATCATTTGCTCTATTAAAATTCCATCATTAACGGCTGCAAGTCCAATATCATTGTGAAGATACCAACAGGGTTGTCCTCGACGAGTCTTCGAGCGATCCACAATGTCATCTTCCATCAAGAAAAATGCCTGCAGCTATAGATTTCAATATAAGATAATGTTATTATTTTTTATGGTATAACATTACTCTCTTAAATATTAACATATTTTAAGGGTATATATATTAAGAATTTTTAAGTGATTTTCTCACCATTTCATTGCACCATCCTAAAATTCGTGCCAATCGAATATTTTCATCTGTTAATTGATCTGGATGAGCAAGTTGTTTATATGCATAGACTAGAACTAAAGCACGATTCTTCTTGCCACCGGGAACATTGTATTGCAAAACCTTGAGAAAAAAATGGTTTTTATCTGATTACAAATAATATATTATATTTTTTCAATTAACTCTTATAAAAATATTGTTTTAAAAAATTCAGAAATTTCAATTTTAGAAATGTTTTATTTCAATGAAATATTGAAAACTTACTTGTCAAGAAATCAAATGGAATCTAAAAACGGAAAATTTAATGTAAGTTTATACTCACATTAAGTTTTTGTTATTTTATATTAATCCGTTATTTATTTTTCTTTTAATTTCGCTATTACATCAAAAAGTATTTTTTAATTTTCATTAATTTTCTACTTTGGAAGAATTGTAGATTGATGAAATTTTAGAACTATAATTTTTCCTCGTTTATTTTTTTTACCTTTGACAACCATCTGGTTACATCAGGCATATCTGTATGACGACCAACTGTAAGATCTCTAACTACATCTGGCCATAAAGCCATCATTTCTCGACTTTCATCTTTACTGGTAACCCAATTTGTTTGAGGAGCAGTATGTACCATGTGAACATTATTATGCCTGTAAAATATTTGCAGAATTATATTTAGTGACACTTTGTTTTTGTTGTTGGTGAAAGATAAGATAATACAGTGAACACTGATGCGCTATATTGCAAGTAAAATCATGTTTGTCTTTTATTTTTAGAAACTATTATTTTTTATTTTAATATTTTAGAATTAATTACATTATTTTTAATAGTTATTTTTTTAATAAATAAAATAAAAATTTTAATAATTTTGTCAAGTTGTTGTTAAAAAATAAAAACATTATTTATTTAGATAATCAAAACTTAAGTTTTAAATAGTATACAAAAAGTCATTGATAGATATTACAAATATTTTGTTGCAAACTGAAGACAGCCATGAATTTTAATTTAACAGTTTCACAGGTTATATTTAATTTTTCGATTCAAGTTAAAATTCCGGATGCTTAGGTACTATGCAGCCTATTAAAAATACTAAATCTAATGAGAACTTTCACAAGGATTCTGTCAAGGTAAAAAATATTTTCTAATCTTTCGTAAGATTGGGAGAAAAGTGTGCCTTTTAAATATTGTATATGTTAATTAGAAACTGTCTATTTTGACCCTTAAAAATAAGTTTTAATATTAAAGTCCCAAATTTGATTATTGTATATAACAATATATTTGGAATATTATACATCATATGATATTCGGAATATTTTACATAATAATTTATACATTATAAATATATAACAAAAATAGGAAAACATTTTTTTTTTTAAGAATTCAATGGATTTACAAAATGACATTAGTGCTACTCAAGAGGTTGTGATATTAAAAGCATTTCACAGAGGAACTCAAACTGAAATACATTGTGAACCTTTTCGCACAAAACAACAGTTTATTGATATGATTGTAAAGTCAAGATTTTAAATTATTTATATAATTAACTTGTAAACAATTTAAATTGTTTTTGTAATATCAGGAATGTTTAATACTAAAAGAAAACTATTTGGATGAAATGATTATGATTCATAACTGAAATATTAATAAAAATAACTATAATCTGAGAATGATAAATAATTTATAATATATGAAAATATAAGTATATAATTAAGATAGCTGTATAATATTTTCTTTGGCAAAATTAATTAAATTATAATTCGTTCCACTCATTTATTTTTAAAATAAAAAAAACAATAATCCATAATCATAATAAAAACAAGAATTAATAACACAATAAAAATACTTACACTGACAAGGGATATAAAAAACATCTTTTATCACTTGATTGACTTCTAACTAAATTTGAGGTTATCTTCGAGATTCCATTTTTCACTAATTTTTGAGGAAATCCATTCCTCAAAAGAGAAGTACAGTTTTGGATACAGGATGACATATTTATTATATAAATACTGTTATTCTTCTATACGCACGTATCATGTATACCTCCTGTATACTTAATAAATTAACCTTACTTCCTTATTAAAATGAAATATTCAGTTTGAAGGTTTACATCAATAATCTATACGGAAAATTTATGCTTTCATTTGAATAGATTGTGTTATAAATTCAAAAAAAAAACAATTAATTTACAATTATAATTTAATATTTTTCACAAGAATTAGAAACGTCAGGTGCGTCAGAAAACATTCACAACAATGATTTATATAGGAATTTGCTATATGATTTTTATAAAAGTGTGACCTGTTGATAACAAAATAATTCCCTAGGTGGTATTTAAAAAAAAGTATATTTTCCTTAATAAAACAATAAAAAAAATATAAAATAATTTTGTGCTGTCAAAAATTAATAACATTTATAGGATAGGTTTTTAAGAATATAATAAAAAGAACATTAATATTAAAAATTAAAATCATTGTTAGAGCTACCTGTCATTATAGAAGTTAATAAATAATTAAAACCTTTAAATTGTTACAAAATAAAATCGAAATTCCCAGAATTCTGTCATATAGGGAATTTAATCTCACAATGAAAATTTGACATTTAAAATGACATGCATGTGGGTACGAATAAAAGCTGCTTTACAGGCGTTTGAAGTATCGGAGCAATCTGACCATTAGCATTTTGCGGTGTTCACGTAAGATTTAAATTTAATTAAAATACATTGTAAAAAAGTGAATTTTTACATGATTGGCACTTATTTTCAAATATAAAGTTCGTGTGGCAAAATCTTGCAACCATGGAAGAGGAAATGGTACAGGAAATGCTACAAATCCTTCAGGATTTTGGGTAAGTTTTGAGGTTATGTTTCTAAATTAAAATTATTAAAGTATGTAATGATATGTTTAAAGTAAAATATGAAAATATAAATAACTTTAATTACAATTGTAACTAATTAATTTATTAGTGAATTTTTTTGTTATATAATTGTATTTTGTTCCTAAAATTTTATTATTTTTCTTTTCGATTTCAAACAATAACGTATTAGTAATGTTTTTGTTTTAGATATACGGGACCACTACTTAATTATGGGAAATTTAGCGAAGCCGTTGATATTGGACCAAAATCTGTTCAATTTACTGAACTTGTTGCATGGTTAGCGGAAAAAATTGTATTACTCAGTAAACTTGATGAAAGTGTTCATCCTACTACATCACCAGACGATGCTAGTTCATTTCTCTTAGAATTAAGCTCCTTTCTCAAAGAAATTGGATGCATTAATCAACAATTAATGACGGGAAATGTTAATCAACGATTAGCAAACAAAGAGCAAAGACTGTTTCTTCTAGATTATTTGCTATCAGAGCTTATGACGGCAACTTTATTGGAATCCAAAAAGCCCGTCGAAGAACACATGGAAGTTACTATTGTAAGTATGAAAATCTCCCAATGTACAAATTGATAATTTGATATTTATTATATTAAATTTTAATTAATTCGACGAAATTTGAAATTATATATTTTTCTCCAGAGTGAAACTTCAACTGCGAAAAATTTAAAGAATATTCTGGTGATGTTAAGATTTCAAAAACCACCGGATAATATATCGGCGGAAATTCTTTTCAATAAAGTAGCTACAAAATTACAGGAAGTAAAAGCACAAGTACCGCCTCAACTTCTAAGTAAACCGATATTTGTTGGAAAATTATCTAATAATCAGTGGCAAAAATTAAAAGAACTTCAGAGCGAATTACAGTCGGAATACACGATAAGACGTGAACTTTTACTAAAACGATTGGATGTCACAGTTCAGTCCTTTTTGGTAAGAATTCAATTTAATTTATTTAAATTGATTGTTTAATAATGATAATTTTTTCCCCAGTGGTCGGATAGATTAAAAAGCAAGGAGAATGAAGTGATGACATGTTTCAAAAGTAAAAGAGATGCTATGTTACGAGAGCCAGGCGTTTCCATTGCTCAGTTATTAGCGGCTCGCGAAGATATTGCGATATTGGAAAAGACAAGTAATGCCTCGGTGCGTAAAAATACTCGAAGTCAAGTGAATAAAGTAATAATAGGCGCTGTTCCTGATCGCGGAGGAAGACCATATGAACAGGAACCACCGCCACCGGAAATGCCACCATGGCAAAAAGATCGTGCCGGAGGCCAAAACTTTGGGTAAATTCATAAATATCGATTTACTTCAAATAAAATAATTAATTATTATTTATTTTTTTAGGGGTGGCAGAGGCGGACAATCAGCCAGAGGTGGTGGAAATTTCAGTGGAGGAGGTGGTTATGGAGGCAGAGGTGGCAGAGGCGGAGGCGGAGGAGGTGGAAATTATGGTGGAGGAGGCGGTGGTTACGGCGGTAGAGGTGGCCATCATGATCACAAAGATGCGTCAAATAATTTTGGTCAAAATCGATCAGCTCCTGAAAGAAGTTATCGAGCAGAGGATTACTTCAGTAGTAGTCAAAAACCAAGAGCAGAAGATTATTTTCAATCTTCGTCACAAAATCCATCTGGTTATGGAAAGCGTGGAGGTTATGCCGATCATAGAGACGAAGGTAAACGTGGTCGAGTTCAAGGTGGATGGAACCAAGGCGATTCACATTATCAACGTGGTGGTTATAATCGTGGTGGAAGAGGACGTAATTATTAATTTATGCTTTCTTTTCAATCGAGTGAATTTTTTTTTCTAATTTTTCTATAAAATTAAGTCATAATCGTATAAATATTCTGTTATGAACAGTAATAAGTGAGATAATTTTGAAATGATATTGTTCTTTTTCTTAAGTAAAAAAAACATTGCAGTACAATATCATTTTGAAGTGATTTAAATTATACGAACAAAAAAGCATAAAAACTGATTTTTAATTTTATTTTTAAAATTAAGCTAATAGTAGAAAATACAAATTTTACAATTTATATAAAAATAAGTTTGTTTCATAAGTTACAATATTTACAACTTTGCTTTAAATTTTCAAATAAATGTTTACGAAAAGTATGAGGCTATTGATTTACTTTTGGTATTATTTTTCTGTGTTTTTGTACCTCGTTTTTTAGAATTTTCACCATTTGAATCGAAGTTATATTTTCTTTTCATACAGTTATTATTGTCTTGTATTAATGTGGAATTGTTGTCTATTTTATTCATTTCTCGCTGTAACTCATGTGCAATGTGATAATCATTGTGTTCGATTAATTTTTCGACTTGTACTAATTGATGGCATTTGTCGCATTTTTTAAAAGAATCATCAGTCTCACTACTTGTGCTTGGTTTAATTAAAAAATTTTGTATTGTATTTTCGTTTTTACTGGATCTGGGTTCTTGACACTTTTTATTATTATTATTGCTCTTTTTCATTTTAATATGTTTCGCCAGAATTTCAGCTTTCTTATTTGTCTTTGTAGTATTTTTTAAAAGTTCAGAAGCTTCCTTTTGTAATTCTTGTGGTAAAAGTGAAATAACACCTGGATCAATGTCACTTAAATCTGGAAAGATTTCTCTTAATTTGACACTTACATTTCCATTATTATTTACAAAAGGTTCCATATTGTCCATTTTTGCTGCCGACCAATTACTATTTAATATTTGTGAATTTGAATATTTTGATCCGGCTTCCATTTTTTCTTGATTTTTTTGGTGTTCTGTTTTGGAAGAATTTTCTATTGAGATGAAAGAATCACAAGAAGGAATTTGTTCCAGATTTTCCGAATCATTTAGATGATTTTCTTCTGAATCACTCACATTTAAATCATTAATGTTTCCATCGGGAATTTCATCATGTTTTTCTTTATTTACTTGAGAATCGTTTTTTCCATTTCCAGGACTTTCGTGGTTCCTTTTTAGAATATTCATAAAAAATGATTGTTTAAAGTGATCAGAATTTAGAGCTCTATCAAAACTGTCCCGAGAAGTCCTTTTATAATTATTTAATAAATTTTCATGTTCTATATCAGAATTTTCTATCGTTTTACACTCATTTTTGACTTGTCTAAAATCATTTTCATCTTTTCTAACAGTACTTTCTTCTGTTGTGCAATTATTTTCCTTTGAATTTAAAACCGACTTGACTTCATGATCGTTTATATGTTCAACACTTGTGTTTAATTCCTTTTTCACATCGATTGATTCCGATGAATTTGTTTCATTGTCATGTTTATTTGTATTTGTTTTAAAAAAATTTCGAAAAAAATCACTACCTTTTGCTGCTATAAATTTTCCAGCCGAAAGTCCAATAAAAGAAATTGGATGTTGCACTGATTTGGTAATAACATTGAAACATGAAGCTGCGACTTTTTCTGGTTTATATGAGTTCAAAGGACAGGAACGTGACTGAGAAGTTTCAACTTGGTTTTGATAATAATGGAAACTGACAGTCAAGAGTGTTGCGCGTCTCTCGTTTTCTTCCAGATCCTGATCGAGACGCTCACAAACTTCCGCTGTAAGATCTCTAAGCCAGTTTTTCAACTGTTGAATAAAAAAGAAAAATATTGTTTAGTTTTAATTAAATATTTATTCAATTAATTTTGAGTACTTTTAAATTTCCTATGTATATTTAATTAATTTGAAATTCCTTTTTTTAAAACTTACTACATCAGCATTAGAGATGGCTTGTTTTCCAGGAAATTTTTTACAAACACCAATTGATTTGGAAACTAATCGTGTTGTCACTGGTTCGTTGTCAATACCGCGAGCAATATTATACAGCCAAAATCTTAAAAAAAGGCACAAATAATAATAAAATAATATTATTATTACAATTAGGTAATATTTCAATAATATTTACCCAGTTTTTTCGTCAAATAATTTTTGAAGGTCCATCAAGGAATATCGTAAGAGATCTGACATGACATTACACTTAAGAGAATCGATGACAACATCTCCAAGTTTTCCTCCAAGATTTCTCACTTTTTTCACTGGTAATGTTTTAAATAATGTAGGAACGCCATTTGATGGCAATATTGTTTGTCTATTGGGTTTATGTAAGCCACACGCAAGTTTTGCCAATATCTGAAAAATATCAATATCAATTATTAATTTATAATTATGAAATTTAAATAAGTAAATTACACTAAGATGTACATACTTTATTATAAGAAATTCCTGCTGAACATCTAAATTTTGTTGTTTCATAAACGTCATTTCTGATTTCTTCAACAATAGTTCCGGCGATAGCAAGTTTTTGAGCTTGTAAATCACTAAGTTCATCGAACGATGCGGTTAACCAATTCTTGAGACCTTCACTTCTCTTTTCTAGAAAAAATGATTAAAATATTATTGAACGAAATATTAATTATATTAAAAATTTTTTTTGTATTTTCAATTTGTACCTTCATCATTATTATCAGATTCTGAATAACCAACGACGAAAGTATTTGACAATTGTTTAAGCAATTCACTCGAAGAAGGAGGATTTGCAGCTAATCGATTTTCAACTACTTGAGTGACATCCAAATAAGCTTCATCAATACTTGCTCTTTCAATTTTATTGCAATGCTTTTTTAAAACATCAATAACTTCTCTTCCAGCACTTCTATATCTGAAATTTTCATAATTATTTTAGTTATACTAATCTTTGTATTTAATTAACATATTATTATTTGATCAATTAGTCATTATATAATTAAAAATTACCTAGATGTATCTGATTTTCCACGAAGTGCTGGAACACTGGCCAAAATTATATCTGGACATTTTTCTTTAGCCTCTTCACCACGCATATGACGGGTTACGCCAAATCCTCTGGCTTCATAATTTACGGCAATTATTCTGTAAATAAATTAAATGTAAAATTTAATTATTAATAATTAAAAAAAAATAATAGATAATAGTAAACCTACCCTCCTAATTTCCATTGATTATATTGAACAACAGCAAGTGGTTTTCCTTGATATTCTGGTTGAAGTCTAGCTTCAACTTGACAGAAAAAACAATCCATATCTATTAACACTACAATTCTTTCACCAAAATTTGCCATTGTAATTAATTCTTTCTCAAAATTTTGAATATTTATATTTTTTACTTTTTGAGGTTATGTTATCCTAATGTTTATTTACATTCTTTCACTTCTTTTATTATATAAATCAAAATGTAGCACACACCTTGTATGTTAAAAACAAAAAATGATAAATTTATTTACTATTACTAATTATTAAAAAAATACATATAAAACATAGCGATAAAAACATTTTGTTTGTTTTTCTTTGACTGATCGCCATGTTGTATACAATATATTATGGTCATAACAAATACGTTCATTGGTTATTTGAAATTATACATTCATTGGTTGCTTATCGCGCGTAAATTTGAAATAACCAATAAACGCGATTTATACAAACATTTATTAATTAATTAAAATCTTTTTATTATAAAAAATATAGATGTTTTTAAAAATAAGTAAAATTTTGTAAATAGAATATGTTTTTAATTTTGAATGAAAATAGAATTATTGAATGAAAATTGATTTATTATATTTTCTGTGTAGAGTCGATACATTTTTCCACACAATCGAGTATCAAATAGCAGCAATATTATATAAATCATCCAAAATTAACTTATCACTATCAAAAAAAAATTATCAGCCACTCCTTTTGTCTTTATCTTTCTCCTTCTCTTTTTCCTTTTCCTTATCTTTATTTTGTTGCAATGATCCAACGGCTTCACGTACAGCTTCCGAATGTGGATCCACACCCGGAAGGCTTTCGAGAACTGATTGTAAAAATGCTGGATCTGACATTACCGCTGCATAATCTTCTTCCACGTCCATTGCTTCTTCTTTTGGTGGATCTGCATCTGCTATAAAAATAATACGAAACATTTTTTTAATAAATAAAAATTGCAAAAACTTTAAAATACGAAATTGAGTACTTTTAAATCAATAAAAATTGAAAATTTCGACTTACGTTGATCTTGCATGGACATTTTCATAGCGAAGGCGATTTGTTCCTCTTCAGTCATACGAGCAAAATCGGGCATTGCTCCAGTGCTAGAAGTTGTATTATCAGATGCTGGTACCGATTCTTCGGGTCCTTCCATGGACATTTCAAGTGCACGCTTTAACATTGCTTCTTCGTTTGGTGATTCCTTGATTGTCTCTGGTTTCTTATCGGCAGACGCGTCTTTAGCTTGAGCTCGTCGGGCTTCATCCTCTTGTCTTTGTCGTTGTTCTTCCATGGAAACACGAAGAGCCTGGAGGAATTTAAATAAAATTACAAATATATTTGTTAAGACAATTAAATCATGAGAATGAATATTTCTTAAATACCAATGCAAGTTCAGGATCTTCATTTGGATCGACACCGAATTCGAAGGCAGCTCCTCCCATTCCGGCACCACCCATTCCATCCTCGCCTTGAATAATTGGTGATGAAATCAAAGCATCAGATAAATGTGGACCCGGTGGAACTGTCACGAGATGACTTCCAGTTCCATCCTTTCCATTCAGAGCGTTAATAAATGCCGTCAAAACATCATTATTAACAGTTTCTTCGCCAAAACTTATGATGTCAACATTGACCTTCTCTTTTTTCAAACGTTTAGCTAATTTCACTAATTCTTTATCATCAATCAACACTGGACTTCCAACAAATGCAACAATACGCATCTTGTGATTCTTTCCCTGACGATGCTTCAAAGCCAACTAAAAGAAAAAAAATAATTACATTGTAAAATCTCTCATTAAAGATTTTTAAAACGAGACGTATAGTGTATTTTCTATATTTACGTGTGCAATTTTAATTCCCGTTATTAGGCAGAGATTTCCATGCGGCTGGACTTTGTGAAGTTTTGAAATAATTCGCCCAACATCACTGGTCAATGTTGCTAGAACTTCGGCACTGCAAAAATGTAACAAATTAAATATTAATAAAAAATATTTAAGAGTATAGTTTATACCTATACTACATAAACGTTATCATTAATAAAATACAAGAAATTTTATATAAAAAAATTGTTTACTTAGCAAGAGTTAATAATCCAACGTTGTTTTCAGGATTTGAACGAGTTTTTGAAAGACAAACTAAATTAACCGCATCTTGTTGAGCTTGCAATCTTGTTGGTAAAAAATCTCCATTTCTCATGTAGTCGCTGTTGTCGACACTGTTGAATAAAAAAAAATACATTAAAACTATAATAAACAAATCAAATTTTACAAACTCCACTGCACTTATTTTCAGAGGTTATGTTTACTATAATATTTATTTTCTCACAACTAGTTTTGAAAATTTATCAAAAATTAATACAATTACTAATTTAAAACATACTTTTTCATTTCTAATGCTCTATATTAACGAATTTTACATTTTTTGAGTGTACCATGATATTCAACTTTGCATTGTCACTCTAAATAGACGGGATAACATTATTATTTTTTTCAGTAACTTTACGTCGTATTCGTTTACAAGAAAAACAAATATAAAAAGAAAAAAATCATTTATCCTTTTAAAATTGAAAAATATTTAAAGTGCATGTTAAAATTAAAAATAATTTAAAAAATTATTGACAGCTCACCATATCATAGTACTTTCGAGCACCATCTTGCATTTACTAATGGTTCAAGTTCCATTTTCCTCCTCTCATTTCTTCGAAAATTCCAGTTTCATTTCATTTCCATTTCATTCCGACAGTCACTGAGAATTTTTGTGTTCAATTTCCACGTGATTTTTGACACTATTTTTTTAATTTAAAAAATATTTAAATAATTTATATATTTCGTTTAAAATTGTTTGACTGGTGTAAAAATTAAATATTAATATTTCTCTAATCAATAGTTTACTTGTGAATTTAATTAGCACACATCTATAAAAGGTACTTCAAAAATATGAGTCACTTTTTTAGGTTATGTATAAATTTTAAAATTCAAAAAATAATAGAAAAATAATAAATAACAATTATAATTTAATAAATAATTATATAAATAAAACTTAAGAGATTATGTATATATTTTGATTAAGTTTAATTACTAATTTTAATGATTACAATTGTTTAACAATTAACAGATTGTGTATTAATTGATATATGTAAATTTATCATCTTCTCTAATTAGCTATTCACTTTTTTACTGGTTATTTATACAATAAACTGTAATAATAAGCGTAACAAATTAATTCTTGTATTAAATTTTTAATTCTGAAAAGTGATTTTGCAAAAATGTTATATTAATCAACTTAAAAAATGATTTTGTATTAAAGATATGGCGGATGTAAAAGATGAAGACATTGCAGCAATAGGTCGTGTATTAAATGACGAAAATCGACCATTAAAAGAACGATTTCGTGCTCTTTTCACCTTGAAAAATATTGGAGGAAAATTAGCAATCGACCAAATAGAAAAAGGATTTAATGATCCGTCTGCATTATTAAAGCATGAACTTGCTTATTGTCTGGGACAAATGCAAGATACTCAAGCATTATCTGTACTCATTAAAGTTTTGAAAGATACGACACAAGAGCCGATGGTCCGTCACGAAGCAGGTGATTCTTTTAAAGTATTTTGAAATTTTGTCTTTTTTTAAAGGAAAGATAAATAAAAATATTAAATTATAAAATTAAAGAATCACATTTTTTTAAATAAATATATTTCTTTCTTGAAAAAAAGGTGAAGCTCTTGGAGCAATTGGTGACAGTAAAGTGATTCCCATCCTTGAAGAATATTCGAAAGATCCCCTTCCCGAGGTTGCTGAAACTTGCGAATTGGCTTTAAGACGATTGCAATGGTTAGACGATCCTAAATCAACAATAGAAAAATTGTCAAAAAATCCTTATGCTTCTGTTGATCCTGCACCTCCATGCGAAATGAAAAGCGTCGACGAATTAAAAACTATTCTTCTAGATGAAAATGAATCGCTCTTTAATAGATATCGTGCCATGTTTGCACTCAGAAATATTCGGACAAATGAAAGTACACTTGCCATTGCAGAGGGTAAATTTATATTTTAATTATCATTCTGTCAATTAATTTTTTTCTACTCATTACTTTTTATTTATATTTAATTGTTATAGGTTTAAAGGCTGGGACCGCGCTTTTTCGTCATGAGATTGCATTTGTTCTTGGTCAACTACAAGAGGAAATTTCTGTTCCATATCTCAAGGAATCTCTTATAGATGAGAAGGAAAACGAAATGGTTCGTCACGAGTGCGCTGAAGCATTGGGTGCAATTGCTACGGAAGATTGCTTGGACATTTTGAATAAGTATCTTAAAGATGAGAAGCGTGTAGTTCGCGAAAGTTGCGTTATTGCTTTGGACATGTGTGAATATGAAAATAGTTCTGAGTTTCAGTATGCTGACACTTTGTCAGAAATTGTCTCGTAACAGTAAAAGATGCAGTACTTTAAAAAAAAAGCCTATGTTGCTGCTTTTCAAATTTAGAAATTTTATACAGATTCGCTTTTAAAAAACTTGATAAATTAAACATTTGTACAGTTTTAAATATTTTTACTCAAATAAAATAATTATCATAATATTTGTGACTTCAAAAAAGGGTTAAAAAATTTAAGAAATATAAATTTAAAAAATAAATAAAGAGGGGAAAAAACTACTTTCAAAGTTCAGCGATCAAATGTTTCTGAATATTTTGACGTTTTGTGAAAATTAAATAAATTAGAATATTTCTCAATATTATTAATTATTTAAAGCCAACGAGACGAAATTCCAACCTGGATATTTGTAAGTATTTTGAAAATATAAATATAAAGTTTTTTTTTACAATTAATTGCAATAAAATTAAAGTCTTATCAGTTCTTTCTCTTAAGTTTCAAGTTCAACAAATGATATAAGAAAAACGATGAAAACAGCACGAGAACGTAGAAGACAACAAGTTAGAGATATAGCATTCAAATATGATAATCAGATACAAAAATATGATAATTAAAAAAATCATCCATCTGGCAAGTATTTTTTTAACTTAATTAATCAATTTATTTTCGTTAGTAATATTATTTTCTACACTATGCTACTGAATATCAGTTTTAATTCAAAATAATTTTTAAAAACATTTTTTTCTCTGCTTCTGAATACAATAATAAATTTTTATTTCAGTAAGAATTAAAAAACAAATAATTTTGTGAAAAATAAAGTGAAAAAAAAGAAAAATTTATATAAATTTAAGTTTTATTTTTAATCAGTGAGATTCATTTGTATATAACTTTTGTATAACAATTTGGATGCGCGGCGCACAAAAATAGTTTGTCAAGTACACAATACGAGAAAAGAGACTCGAGATCGAAAGCGCATCTCTACCACGCTTCGAGTCACGGAAATGTATACGTATAGATGTGGACGAGTCACAGGTTGTTTAACAGTTCTCGACAAAACTCCGAGAGGTTTAGTGCTCCAAAAAGAAACCGTTATTGAAGTGAACTTTTATCAATTATTTTCATTATTACATCACAGTGTAAAATTGTTTACTACTGAAATTTTTCTTTTTTTAATTTCATTTTTTATTCTATAAATTCTAATTTGCAAAATCATCAACTTTAAAAGGAAATTTAGATAGAAATATTCTTAAAAAGATTTTTTACATTAAAAAATTATTAATTTTCTAAGAGTAAATAAATAATTTTAATAATAATATAATTGAAATATAAATAATTAATAATATTAATAAGAAAATATTTGGAAAAATTTTTGAAATAAGTTCCTTTTTTATAAAAATTAGTTTTTTCATTTCGTTGATTGTTATACTAATTTGTCTTGTATTTTATTAATTTTTTAACAGACAATGGGTTCTTCACTTAGCATGTTATGGAATTCATCGAATGATAATGTTATCGATCCTGTAACCAATCTGTCCGGAAAGCAGAAAAAACTTGTTCAGAACACGTGGAGTATTTTAAAGAAGGATCCCGTTGGCACCGGTGTCGCGATAATGATTGCGTGAGTACTTGTATAAAATTCTTCTGCTTTCTAAATATGTAAAAATTTCCTTCCAGCATATGTTCATAAACATCGATTAAATTATATTACGAAATATTAATTTTTTTTATAGTTTACTTTTATCCTCGTCACGTGTAATAACGGAATATGCGTCATTTAATTTCAAATATTCAAATTAATTTATTAATTAATTTTACTATTTAAGTTAATTTACAATTTTTTTTCGCATTAAAGTGAAAAAATTTTCTAGTCCTTTTTCCCGGACATTAAGTCATTATTAATATGAAGATATTAAATAGTTTTAACGCTCAATTCGATATTTCATTTTGTGCGGTCCTTTACCGGAAATGTGGCTTTTCAGCATTATTATACAGCTATTTATTTATAATAGAATATTGAAATAATGTATATGAGAAGTATTGATTTTCTAGTTTGCCTTTCAAACAGTTACCACAAGCTAATCCTATACTTTGTTATAGTGTGTTATAAAATTAATTGCTCCTGTTTCTTGTCACACGTGCTACTGACATTACTATTCAACGCGCGATGCACTATTTTCTGCATACCTTGTAATATTAGTAAACTATGCACGTATTTTACTTTGAAATTAATTAAGCGTATATCTTCATTCATATAATATGAAGAAACTATTTTACTATTTAAAAAGTGATGAAACTATTTATTCATTCTATTATTTTGCGTTATTTATTTGCAATATATTCTTTACATCTTATTTATAAGAAAAAATAATTTTTTAGAATACAAAATTGAAGATAAATGCAAGGCCACATTATTTACCCGCAATCGTATTTGTATAATCTTTTGAAATGGCAAAAATTTGATAATTATTTAATTATTATCTCATCGAGAAATATAAAGATAAATATGAAAGTAAGAAATTAAAATTGCGTTTAATTCGATTTATTATGAAGTTTTCAATCGAAATATTTTTCAATCTGAAGATTTTCAAATTTTTAATTTCAATGAAAAAATTTTTTTTATAATAATTTTAGAATTCCTTAAAATAATTTTATAGGAACACATTTGAAATTTTTACAGATATTTCAAAAAGTATCCGGAATATCAAAAGTTATTCGCCTCGTTCAAAGACGTTCCATTGGAGGAACTTCCAAATAATAAAAAATATCAAGCACATTGTTTAAATATAGTCACGGCCTTAGGCAGTGTGATCGACGCCATTAATGATCCTCCTTTAATGGAAGCAAGCCTGATTAGCTTGGGTGAGAGGCACAGAAAACGTGGACAAACCAAGGAGCAGTTTGACGTGAGTAGCTTCCTTAACTTTTTTTTCGAGTTTTGCATGACTAATGTGTTTTTTTCTCTCTCTCTCTCTCCATAGCTTGACAAGCGATGAGAGAGCCTTTACAAGTTAAGAGTCGTAAATTCATACATAAAACTCCAGTCTTTAAACTTGGTCAGTGTGAATGTAACGATAATTGAATTTTTTTTTGTACGTGAGTTAAAACTTCTTTCAAACTAAATAGAGGTCAATTAGCCGATGACATAATCTCGCGAATTTTAGAATGATTTAAATTTGTTTTGCTCAAATTTTAAATACTAATCTTAATTTATTTTTAGTTGAAAAATATTTTGGAAAGAATCCAAATTTTTTTCTTTATTTATTTGAAAAAAATCGATATATGTTTATAAAGATAGTAAAAATAAATCTTGAGTTAAATTATAAAAAGTAGATAATTAAATTTTTTTGAAATACGAGAAATCAACAGTATAATAAACCAATTATGAAAATGAGATTCCTATTTAAGGATCTAAATAATCTTGAGAAGAAAATTATATATCAATTATTTAACACTCGAAGAAAATGATGACATTGTAGCATAATAAGCGGGAATTTGCTTTTATTAGTTGAGAATTTAATTAGTCAAATATGTTGTTTGAAGGATGCGAGGCGGAATAATGATTTTGAGTCTCTAGTTAACAGGGATAGTCACGTACTTGAAAGAGTAACAATTTTACGACAATATTCTCCATGTATAGGGGAAAACAATATTTGAATATTCAATGTTTTCTGATTCGTGTGAAACAATACACACTCTGCGTTAATGCGTATATACATTGTCAGACTCGTTAAACCCACAAAGTCGTTAAATCGGTTCGCTTCATTGATTTGAGTAACGATATATTTTTGCACAAAGCCGTATATATATGTACATATATATTTTATTCATTTGAATTCAATATCACACACGAAGGGACAAAAAGATATCACACAATAATTTATCAATTGGTATTTAGTTCAACTCCAATCATTTAATTTGGATAATATATCAAGGAGAAATGAATAAAAGGCATTACTTGGTTTATACATCTCTAGTAGAAAATTACCGGCGTCACAATACTTTATCGAGTATCATTAAATTAAATCAATTTATTTCTTCTTGGCGTTTAAAAAAAAAATTATCTTTTGAAACTACTTGCAAAAAAGTCTCATTTGATAATTAATTAATAATAATAGAAAAAAACAGAACAAAAGACTAATAAAAAATTTTGTTTACATATTTCAGCAATTAAAAGCAGTGATTATGGAAATTCTAGGCGTAAGTTTGGGCTCAAAATTCACACCAGAAACACGAGACGCTTGGAATAAAACCCTTGACGTTGCTTTTGAATGTCTTTATAAAGCATACTCTTAGTAATCAAAAGTTTCGTTATAATTTTGAAAATAATTAAAAAAAATGTTTTCGCTGATGATGAAAAAAAATGAATTCGCAAAACAACAATACCGGCCTATCACAAATTTTACTGTGGCTATGTTATATTATAATCTCTAGGACAATATTTCAATCCTAGAAAAAAAATTCATCAAAAAGTTAAAATTGAAAATAATTAAAATCGATAAACAATTTTATCAATAGATATTTTTCTTAAAACAAAATTTTATCTCAAAAAAAAGTTTAAAAACTTTGTCAATATGTTTTACAACACGACGATAAATAGAAAATATAGTCTTAAAATATTACTAATTTTCATAATAATTGTATTATTTTTATTATTATTATTATTATTACTCTACTAATAAGGCACGTTGTTTTTAATAGGGTTGACTACTTGTTTTATATGAAACTTAATTAAATGGTCTAAATAATGTTTACATTTTACATATAATATGTGATTGTACTTTAAATTATATTATCCCTTCTTATTTGCATAGAGAGGCTTGAAGAAAATTGATAATTTTCATATATAAAATTTACGATTAGTAATTTATGTAAATAAATGCTTTTAAAGAAGAAAAAAAATACTGGCAGGTGATTATAGATTGGATAAAAATATCCAATATTAAGAATAACTATCAACATGTTTAAAATGTTGCTCTAAGCATTAATAATTATCAATAAAAAATGTAATTAATTAATTAACTAAGAAAATGGCAAATTTCAATGCATTTTAGTAGGAAAAAATGTTTGTAAAATAAAGCGAGTTTAATACATGAATTATTCAATTTTAATAATATGTATTCGGATAACTATTACTTATTTAAAAGTGACTAAATAGATTTTTTATTTTTTTCTGACAAATAAAAAAATTTCAAAATTGACTAATTTTTCAAAATAATTTTTATTTTCTTAATAAAATTATTAATTAAATGAAAACAAATTTTTTATTTTCAAATTTCATGTGAAAATTGGTGTGGAACTTGAAGTTATTTGATTTTTATCGTCTTTTATATTTGAATTCTAAAATTCAGAAATGAAGAAAAAGAGAAAGAAAGAAAAGAAGATGAGAATTGTATGATTTCCGGTACGTCTATGCGACCGGACATTGTAGGAATAGTATTATGAGCCAACGACCGGCAATTTGTTCCATTGCGATGCAACGCGGAACGTCAATGTATGTATATATACGGATCTGGACAAAAGAAAGTATAGGTATGCGAAAAATTTCATTTCCCCCTTGTTTGTTCAAAGAGCTTCCGTATAAATAAACCAATAGTAGAACTATATATATATACACTATTTGCCGTGAACATGAGTTGAAGCTAAAATAAAACACGTCATATAACGAGTACAATAATTAAAATTAATTATCGCGCGCGCACAATAATTCCTCGCTTTCATTTTCAATTCATATAGGTACCATATAGTGAGCTTGTTCTTGCCGTGTTCTTTTTTTAATTGAAAAAAATCTAGGCTATTATTCTTTTTTGTCAAGGTCTCACAGGAGCTTATCCATTGTTTTCCCCTGTGTGTTACATTTTTTTCCGAGAAAACCTCACATGAAAACAACTCAATTTATTTTCAATAGCCCTTTGAAGATTTTCGACTTAAATTTCTTTGTGGGGATCATGTTCAATTTTTTTAAAAATCAACGCAATTTATCATTTTATTTTTTTTATAATTTTAATCTCAAATTTCAAAATCTTCACTTTCGTAATTATTTTCAGTAGATTCTACAGTACTTATTCTTTGTATTTCTTCACCATATTTTTTAGGTTTTGTATTTTCTCTGTTGATTTAACAAGTATTTAAATAATAATAAAAAGATAAAAAATTAAAAATTTTTAATTAAATAATTAATAATGTAAAATACGCACGTGATTTCGATTTGTTCCTCGTCAAATTCACCAAACGGATGGTCAAGAGCTCTTCCAAGATCTTTTCCAAGTTGTTTAAACGTTTCTTTTCCCAACCATTCGGCAAGATCATTTCTATTCATTTGTCGTAGGCGACGTTCGAGTTCCTCGTGCGTTTTACCTTTTCCTTCGTTCGTTGACATATTCCAATGAAGCAATTGTCGAAGGCAAGGAATTTCTTCATTTACTTTACGTTCTGTAAATAACATTTCAAATTCAGAAAAATTCAATTGAATTAAAGTAAATAAATGAAGTAAATAATATATAAGATATAAAGAAACTATTTTTTAAATTTAAACTTATAATCAATAATAATAGTAAAAATAAATAAAATATAATTTTTTTTAAATAAACTAAGTGTACCAGCTCCTGATAAACTTTTTGGCAAATCCTGAGAGGAATAGTGTAGAGCAGCAACGAGTCGTCGGCACTCAAAAGGATCAAGATGTGAAGCTATATACTCTAGTTCAGATAAATTAATATCTATAGTACAGGAAATCATAAACGGATATGTAATTAAGAAATAATTAATTAAACTCAAATAATTTGTTATTGTCATTGGTATTATTTCGATAATAAATACTTTGAGGTTTCTTCTGTAACTTTAATGTGACAGACAAGATAATTATAATTTACCGAAAAAGTTATCTTTATTCATTTTTTTTCTATTTACTAATTGAAATGTTCTTTTTTTAATATTTTTATGTATAGATAACTTCACTTATTTTCTTTTCTTAACATACGTAAAATAAATAGAACATTTAAAATTAAAAATATTTAAAAGTACTTACCATCATCACTTTTTGCGTTTTGTACTTTTCTTCCGTTTTTTCTTCTTTTTCTTACAACATTGACAGCAACCTGAAGGAGGCGAATCATCATCTACTCTTCGAACCGAAGGATTACTATCTTGAGTTGCAGTATTTATTAAAACTTTTGAAGACTCGTCATTTCTCTCCTCTGGTTTTGAAGAAAATGACATTTTCTTCTTTCGCGGTGACTTTCTCCCTTTTTCAGCGTCTATTGGAGAATATTTTCTGTAATAGAAAAATAAATTAATATTTTTTAACATTTTATCTAATTTAATAATTATATTTTTTAAGAATATAATTTTTAGTTTAATTATTAATTAATCGTTTTCTAAAATTATTTTTTAAAAAATCCCGGAAGTAAAACAAAAAATGAAGATGTAAATTAAAAAATAGTATTTAAATAAAACAAAAGTACCCAGATGATTTTTTCGACTCCTTCTTCTTTCTTTTACAGCAGGATTTAAAGCAGTTAGCCAATTTTCTTCTTATAACAAGAGTACTACAGCAAACACACAAAACAATGAAACCAACTATTCCCAAAATTACATATGGATTTAATTTCAAGCATGGATAATCTAAAGATAAAAAAAAATAATATTAAAGTTGTTAACAATTTCTATATTGAAAGAGAAAAATAAGTAATATACCACTCGAAGTTGAATTGAGGGAACTAAAAATAGATCTTGACCGAAGAGAATTAGAAAATTTGCCTTCCTTTTGTCCTTCCTCTTTTTCTTCATTTTCTCCTTTTGTAAAACTTTCTTCCAAATTGCTTTTTTCTCCATCCTCCCTAGGAACGGGATAAAAGCTAAAATGAGATTTGTACTTGAAATGATAATAAAAAAGCTGTTAGTGAAATAAATAAATTACGATTTAATTACTTAACGAAACAAGTAAAAAATCAGGATAGAAAAAGTGACGGATCAATTGAAATAAACTAAATAAAAAAATCAACTGAACAGTAATTCTAAAATAATGGATAGAAATAATTGAAAAACAATAAATAAAAAATGGTCAATAGGAAAAACGTGATGAATGTAAAAAAAACAATCTATATCGAGTGAAATGTAGTAAGGCCACAAAAATGAATAACTATTAGCCATAAAAAAAGAAAACAAAAAATTGTCAATTTTATTCGTACTGCTTTTTTTCTATTAATAAAGTATGATTTGATTCCTTTTTGAAGCATTCATCAGAAGTTTCAATCTAGATTCCACGACCGATTGCAACTTCAAATATCTTTTGCATTCGTTGATGAACCAGGGATCGATTCCAATCATGGAACACCGAAAAGAAGATTATTGATTTTCGATAAGGTCTCTCTAGTCTATATACACTCGGGGTATCGACAAGAGAACTTTCTGATGGTCTCTTTCTTGTCACCATTCAACCTAGAAAGAGACCAACAAAACACAGTTAGAATCGAATTGCTGCAAATCTTTTCTCAGTTGTATTTGGAATCTTATCCAAGGTTATCCATCAAGCACAAGATCTTTAATTATCGGTTTCTTTTTTAAATTTTAATTTAATATTTAAATAATTTTCTGCAATCTAATTTTTTGTTCTCAATTTGAAAAAATTTCAGAAAAAAAATTACATTCACTAAAGTTAATTAATTAAATTTAATGAATTACATTTTAATGAATTTACTATATTTATTGTTTTATAGTTAGCAGCTTACCCCCAATCATCAATTGTCTCGTCCACAATCTCTCTGCGAAAACGAGTGAAACAATTGTGAATTAACGAGACCAAATTCGTCCTTCCTCCAATTTGACGAAATCGATTTTTGAGCATCGCATATGTATCCTTTTGTTTCCATTTCAAATGTAGAGTCCAATTGGCAAGCCTTTGAAAACATTCGGTTGAATTGTTATAATTTGTCGCTTTCAGAGAATCTGCTTCCGAAATAATATTTTTTATAATATAGTATATTTGAAAGGTTAACAAATATATTAATAATATTATTATAAATATAGAATATATGAATATTAAATTTATCAAGAAATTTTTTAAAGTAGTTTTTTAATTTATAAAAGTTTTAATTATACGAAAATTGAAAAATATAAAGCAGTGTTTTTTTTAACAAAAGTTTTTAAACATAAATACTTTACCAAAAAATCCCAATAATTTTTCACATTCTTCAGGTTTGAGGAAATCTGCTAAACATTGAATTTCTCGATTATAAACAGGGTTGACCTAAAATGAGAAAATAAGTGATTAATATAAAGAAATGAAATATCATTTTAGTTTTTAATAATCATTAAATAAGTTTTATTTTCTAATTAAATTTTGCATTTAATTTAAATTTTGCAAATACCTAAATAGTTACAATTAATTTAACCCACTTAATTTAGTTTGAATTTAATTAAAATTTCCATACCTGGTTAATAGGCACAAGAAGTAGGAAAATAGTTACAAAAGCTGCTTTAATTTTCAAAATGTTAATTAAAATCCCATTACTTTCGAATCCGTATTTCATAGCAAATGCAGCGTTTTAATAAAAAAAAAGTCCATAAGGTTCAAGAAATCTGATAAAAATTGATTTTTTTAAAAGTTGGTTAAGATTCATAAAAACATTTACCGAGCAATTGTCACTATTGACAGATACCTGTCAGATTGATAATCGAAATGAGGGTAATTTCTTATCAGAATTTATAATATACACTATTTTTGAGATGAAATTTATACATTATTTTTATATGTATATATCAATTTTTATTTTAATAAGGGTAAGTTCTTTTATATTTTATTGTTGCTAATTAGAAACAAAAGTTTCAATATAACCACTTTGCAAAATGTTTTAAAAAAATATATAATTTTTCAATTTAGAAAAAATCGCTCATTCAATGTACATCTGATTTCGAATTTCGCGAATTGAAATATTTATCCGAAAAATTAGATCCCATGGAATGTTTTAAACTTCTTCATGGTATTTGTGAGAAAATTGGTGTCGCGGAAAAATCCATACAAATTGAAAAACTTCAGAAGGAGATGCAAAAAATTTTGAAAAAATCATGGTCTACAGAAAAAAGTTGCTTTTCACATTTGTTAAATTGGCAAAACAATTTTCCTAGTAAATTAATTTAACATAAATTATTTTCTCTATTATGAAAAATTAATTTTTACATTGTTCTAAAATAATTTGAATTATTTTTGTCATTTAAAAAAAAAGAAAATACAAACATAGAAGAACGTAAATTAATGGAAGATGTTTTATTATCCTTGGGAAGATCCGATTTAGTAAAATATTTGAGAAAAAATCAAAGAGGTCATTTTATAAATCATTTAAAAAAAGTTGAACGATATGAAGCAGTAAATGATGAAGACATGAATCAAAGTCAATATCCGAACGAAAATGGTCACGAGAAAAATAATCTATACCAGAAATTCGATTTAGATGAGATTGATAATGGCAATGTTCCTCCAACTCAGGCCATTATGTAAGAAAACTTTTCAAATTAATTTATCAAAATAAGATTGATAAAATACAAAAATATAATAAAAATTAAATTAAAATAAAGCTGAAATTAAAATTAATAAAAATAAATAAAACAAAAATTTTGCAATAGTTGAGATAATTTCCAGTAAAAAAATTTAAAGTCTTTCTGACAAATCTTTTTACGAATGTATAATATAGTTTTTTAAAGAGAACAATTCTCAATAATGAAGTGCTTTCAATGATCGTTGACATTGAAGATTCTTTAGGAATGAAGAACTGATAATGTAAAATGTTATTATGTCAATATTGCAAATATAAAATCTGATCGTACCTTCTAAAATCATATTCAATAAGGGAGTATAGAACGCAATGAGAACTAGATAATGATAGTCAGGGCCAGAGACAATTACTGTCCCTTTGTTTCGTTTGTTCCTTGAAACTTGTTTGATAAGACAACGTCACGCTTTTACCACAATTATTATATTTTGTCCTGATTTCCTCGCGACTATATTCACCGATCCTAAAAATATCTTCTTACTAAATGCTCTTTGTTAAGAAACATTTAAAAAACCATTAATCTGCAATTGAGAATTGAGCCTTGAATGAAATAATATGAAAATAAAGTCTTGTGATTCAAGAACAAAAAAAAATTAGGTCAAAAATTCTGAAGAAATAAAATACAATTGAATAAAAAGTTCTTATTAATTTTTTTTGTAAATATTTCCTCTTTATTTTTTCTACTTGTTTTTTTTATTACTTTGATTCTTGATTTTCATAATTTTTTTTTTTTTTTTTGCAGAAATGGAGAGACTTTTAATGAAAATGATTACGAAAATAAAAATAAAGATGTAATTAAAAGGAAAATAAGAGAGAAGAACTTTGACGTTTACTGGATTATTCTTATCACTGTTATTGCTTTAGTAATCATGTCCATTTGTGGAAGTGGAGTTTTTTTTATTTACAGAAAAAAATGCGATCGATTTATCAAGGGACGTTTATGGTAATAATTAATTCTATTAAAAGAGCGTTTTTTAACAAAAAAAAAAAAAAAAATTGTTCTTAATTTCTTTTTTTTTTTTTTTTTGAAGTCAAGAATGGGCCTTAAGCAAAGAAAAACAGAAAATTAACGTCTGTTGCTGTGTTAAGCGAAGAGAAACAAGTAGAAATGCTTGTTCAGATGTAGTAGACCACATGGAAAGTGGATGGTCCAGAAGATGTTCCAAGTGCTGTTTGGATTCAAAGGGAGACGATAAAAAGTCACGTTTGATGCAAAAAACGGCGTGCGTGCAAAAATGCAAAAAATTGAGAAAGAAAAAAACACATTCGAAAACGAGAGAGAAATGCAAAAAGAAAGAGGCAAAAAAAGTCACGAGAAACAAGTGTAACTGCACCAGTGAAGGTTGGAAACATTTTTTTTTCAATATGAAGAAAAAAAAGTACCAGTAGTTGCAAAATTCTAATTTAATTCCTTTTACGTAATTTTCGTTTTTTAAATAATTTTTTTCTGTTCAGGTAAGAAAATACAATAATTCCTTTTTTTCCCAAAATTGATGATTTTTTTCTTTTTCTCAGAAACAGAGTTTATTATAGCGACCAAAAAAGAAAAGAAAAAAAAGAAAAGTGGCTGGACTTCGCCACAAATGAGGGAAAAGAGAATAAAGGAATCGAAAAACACAGAAAAATTGTTCCAATACGACTCAAGCAGTCCTTGCTCTAGAAAAACCTGTGAGTGGAGAAAAATAGCCAAGGGAAAGAGACACGGGAAAAATAGCGTGTAAATTTAATTACTACTTGGGAATTGCGCAATTTTGTTATCCTCCGGTAAATAGTTTTCTGTTTTTTCTATTTAGCTCATTATTTTAAAAATAGCTTATACAGCAAAGATAATTTAAAAACTAGATTTTAATTCAATATTTAAAAATAATATCTTAATTCATAATTAATTAAACTGAATTTTACTCTAATAATCAATTTAACAAGATTTGAATATGAAAAAATAGTTTTCAATTAAAAGTTATTTTATTGAAAAAAATTATAATATTGAAAAATTCTTTCTGAAAATTCTAAGACTATAATCGTTGCACTCAAAAAGATGAGAATGCTCGGTCAAGGTTGAGGGTCAAAAGATTCGTCGCAAGAAAGGGTTGAGAAAGAACAGAAATGAAAAGACAAGTCTCGGGACTCGTGGTATTGATTATACACTTTACAAGCCGTTCAACTGTTTCGAAGAAAAAAAAAATAAAAAAAATAAATGAATCATTACACTTGAAATATCTCCCTTAATACATTTTGAAAATGTCATGAAGATATTCGTCTAACCATGAAATTTCTATACATACATCTTTTTATAATTATCATTGAGGTAAACGATTTTATATTTGAATTTAAATTAAAAATTCTATTTTTGTAATTTAAATTCTATTATTTCTGGCAAATAGAATTAAATTTTTTTAAAATAAATAAAATTAAGATAGATTTGTGAATTTTTTCCTGTGAAAAAGGTGCCGGTTTCTTTGGCAACATCTGTTTAGGGAAGTTTGCGAAGAAGCAGACACTTGGATTATGGTAAATTGAAATACATCGCTGATAAACTTGATCCAACAGAATGTCTCTATCTTATTGTCTATTTGACAAAACGAGATGTTCATCGAGTATTACGACAACAACTCGGAAACGAGAATTTCACGGGAAATTGGGACGAAATATCGAATTCACATTGTTTGAAAAGTCTTGTCAATTGGAACAAGAGAATACCTGAGTCGTTGTCTCGAAACTTGTTAAAAAAGGCTCTTTATAAATTAGGAAAATTGGATCTCGTTGCACATTTCAATGAAAGATTGTCGTCTCCAAGTTCTGTAAGAAAAATAAAACAAAATGAATTTCATAGGTAAGATTTTTTTTTAATTTATAAATTATAAAATTATTTATATTTTTAATGTTTAAAAAATATATTTAAGTCTTTCTTTTTTAAAGAAATGTCAACTCCAGGAGAAATTCTAATAAGAATAAAGAAGCTGAAATCATCAAATACAGTGATAGCAATTTAATTATTTATATGGTTGCTGGAAGTCTAATAATTTTAATATTTTTTGGATTTTTGATGCTAGCTGTTTACATTCGAGCGATTCATTCTAATTTCTATATAAGGAATTTTGAGTAAAGATACTTATATTTTCTGTTTACTAAAAAAAATAGATCTCAATACATTTTTTTATTTTAAAAAATTGAAAAATAATTAAAAATACTTTTGTTAAAACAGATTTAGAGACAAAAATAGTAATAATTGTTGTCAAAATGAAGTTTGTGACGGAGTGAAATTAAACATTGATTCATCCGAGATTGAAAGTGAAGATTCTCCAATGCAATCGATGGATATTAAACAAATAAAAAATACAGAAAAACAAAAGACGAGTAATTGTCATAAGTATTCTAAAAAAAGAATGAAATTATTATCATCTCTTTTAAAGATAAAAAAATTATTTACTCATAATAAAAATGAAGAAAAAAAAAGACAAAGTAGAGACAAAAATAAGAAAGTTTGTGTGACAAAAGAAATTAAAAGGAAAGCGAGAAAATGTAAAGAGAAAATAAAATCACAAAATTCAGACGCAAAGAAAGTCGCTTTCCACAAATTCAATGAAATTTGCATTTGTGAAATGTGTCAACTATTTAATATTGGAGAAGATAAATTTGCTGAAATTCGGGGAGTAGATTATATTCGATCACGCGAAAGACTGAGAAGAAAAATTAGAAAGAAGTGTAAAGAAAATACTGAGAGGTAAAAAAATATAATTTTCTTTTTTATAAAACATTTCCGGTCAAATTGTAATGCAGCTTATAAACTTTAATAAAAATGTTTGTAATTAATTAATAATTTTTTATTAATCTAAATTAAACTCAAATTTTTCTAATTAATCCAATTAAAAAGCAAAATAATTAAACTAATAATAATAATTCATGTTACCTACAAACGAGAATATATTTAAAGAAAAACGATAATGAATAACGTTAATAAATGTATCTATTTAATAATTATCATACATATTTTTAATATACAGTCGTGTAAATGTGTTATCCGTGAGAATTTTCAACTATTATAGATATAATGTATACAATCAATCATTTACTTTTTCAAGAAGATACTTTAAGTATGTATGTAGTCGACTCTGCATGATAAAACATTCTTATATCAATTTGTAAATTTTTACTAAAAAAAATATTTTAAAAAATAACATTTTTCAAAAGAAAAATGTCTTAATCAATCATGCAAAAAAAGGCCAACCACCCTTATATGAAAGACATGAGTGAGTTAATGTGCTGAAGTATTCAAACAAACACATATAATCTATTGCAAAATTAATTACATAACTGAATCGAGAGCTAATTATATATAAATTTAATTATTTTCCATTAAAATAATTTAAGATATTATTTACATATACAATACATTTACAAAATTTATGTAATATATAACTTTTTTCTCATACTCGTTTTTTCATTATTGCACACATTTTGCAAATTAGAAGATGTTTAATAAAAAATATAAACATCACAATCGAATCTACTAAAAAATGAAAATGAAATAAAATATTTATAAATTTTCACTAAAATACAAAAACCTTACTCTTTTTTAAAAATTAGTAGACAAAAATATAAATTTTCTATTTTCTGACATGAACAAGTGATGCGAAAATAAATTTTGTCTACTGTATGCGTAGTTAAATTTCTTAAAAAATTCAGTCAGTTTATAAAATAAACGTTATTTTAATTGGCATTTATACAAATTATTATCGGACATATATAATAATATTTATCGTGTATTATAAATACTATCTACAGTCATTCACAGGAATTATTATTATGTCCGATTTCTTAATTGTCTCAAATTTAAATACTTTTTTCCCCTGTACAATACATTTTCTTAAAATTACTTTTTATTTTAAAAAATTTAATTTTAAATACTTTTCTTTTAACGAAAAACAATAGTTATGTTATTATAACATAACTTGTATGAAAAATCATACAAAGTTTTAAATGAAAAAAACTAGTTTCTAATTTCAATCCAGAAAAACTAAAAATTGTTTAATTTTTTCTTCATTTTTTCTATCTAATCGTATTTTTTTGTTTTTAAAGGCAATGGTTTAGAATACAGTACACCTAGAAATATTTAAATATAAAGAGATATCTTTTTAAATAATGAATAACAAATATTTTATACTGAAAAACTAAGTTCTTTGAATTCAAATAAATTGTGCTTTGAGACAGAAAGAAGATAAATTAATTGCTTTAAATGGGAAGTAAATTTTTTGTCAGATTTATAAGGTTGCTAGAATTCTTGTGAAGCCAACGCAAGCAGCCACGACAGTCTGCCCAATACCCCAGAATAAGGCATATAAAGATGGCATTTGGTAGTTTGATGCTTTATAGACAAAAGCCACTGCAGCAGAACTGAGAACTCCTGATGTTAGCGGTAGAACAAAGCCCATTATTATAATCAGAAGGGGGAAGAACCTTGGGACAAAATTATTTTTCTTTTATTTACCTTCTTTAAGTGTTACACTATACGCAAGGATGGTCAAATTCTTTGGAATTTATACGATAATAATTATTTACCCATCCGTACGAAATATTGCAAAACCCATCTTTTACTTTTCATAAGAAAAAAAATAAAGAAAAAAATATAAAAACCAAATTAGTATACATACTTTCCATATTTGTGTTTTCTTAAGGTTGCAAAGCATATTGCACCAGCAATTGTATGGACAAAAATCGAGGAGAAGAGTGCCGATAAAAATATTTGGTACCACATCTCTGTAATTCAGTAGAATATTACAAAAAAAATTCGAGATTTGCGTACTGTGCAATAGAATAATTAATAAATTAATTTTGCTTATAATTATACTTTTTAAATAAACTTACCAGCGAATGATGTTAATGGTGTGTCAAAGATATTACCAGCATTATTAATTGATTTACTGCCCGATTGAGATTGAAGTGCAACATTTTGTAAATTATCATCAGGCATTTCTAAGTCTTGGACAGTGTATCAAAATACAATAAACACTAATTAATTTTTCAAGTTTCGTCGGATTCAAGTCTCATTGCGATGCGATATCCCGAAATGTCATCTGAAAAATATTATTTTATTTTTAAAACTTGAATATATTAATTAATTAGAAAACGTATAATAAGTATAGTTTTAATAATTCCTTGAATCTTATTGGAATATCTAATATAAATACAATATATACCTACATATATATATATATATATATATATATATATATATATAGGAAAAACATGTACATAAAGTGAGGTTATGATGCGCTCTTAAAATTCACGATTTAAAAATGAACTTTTATAACTAGTTAATTAGTAAAATAAAAAATAAAATTTAGAAAAGAAAACCATTAGAGCGTAAATATAAAAAGGAAGATTAATTGTTACAAAAGAACTACAAACCTTGAATGAAATTCTCATTTTTCGACTGTCAATAATGGAAACAATGCAATGATTCTTGAGACTTGTTGAACACATTACATTCTATTTATTGATATTTACATACTGTTGCTTAACGATATTTAAGACAATGTAATTTATTTAATGAGAATTAACAAATATTCATTTAATTTTCCTAAAATCGTTGGAAAACACACGATCACATTTTGTTGGTATTTATTTGACGTCTTGAGTCATGACGCAATGTATTATATCTTTTGCCGGGAAAATTTGAAACACATTTAAAGAGAATTTTACAAACACATAAAGATTGCGCAAATTTTATCATATCAAATACTAAAAAACTTCTTTAAAGTACTTTCTGAAAAACTACAATTAATTATAATATTTTAATAATTAAATATGTATTAAAATAGCCAACATACGAGTGCATTGGCTATTTCAAATTTGTGTGGGGATAAACAGCCAATGAGCAAGATCATTTTTAAAAAAGCATCCACAAACAAGATTGGCTGTTTATCTTCGCGCAAATTTGAAATATCCAATGAATGTGATCGTTGAAATATTCAAAATTTAAATTTTAACGAGACCGTCGTATTACAAATTGTATCATTTATAACTACATATTTGTTAATCAATTAATTATTTTAAATAAATTATAATAAAAATAAAAATGGTTTATTTTTGAAATAAATAAAATGAATAAATAAATATTTACAGATGACTAGATTCTATATCATTTTCTTCAATGTGTGGTTTAATATTTGATGAAAGATAATTATCTGTTGCAATATCACTATTTTCTTCTTGAATTATCGTTTTACTAATCAGTGGTATCGATACACTTAATTCTGATATTTTCTCTGAAATATTGTTTATAAATTAAAAAATATAAATTCAACTAATTAAAAAGTGAATTAATAATTAAATTTGATGTCTTACGTTTGTTCTGGAAGCATTCAACGATATTTTCTTCGCTCTGAATTACGTGAAAAGATTCAATTTCACCAAAATATCCAATTGCTTTCATAATAGATGCATTGACATTTAAAAACCACAATTGTTGATTTAATGTTTTAAACTCCCGTAAAAGTCTCTCCATTCCCTAGGAGGGAAGAAAGAAATTATAATTCTTGAGTTTTCTTTAAAATCTTTTAATATCTCTAAATTCTAAGTAAAATTTTCATTTTTAAATAAATAAATAAAATAAATATTTTAATAATTGATTTACCTTAACTGATGTGTAATCAAATCCTTTTAATCTGTGGCAATCAATAATAAATGGAATTCCATTGTTTGATTGATTTTCTCTGAGTTCAGATATTTTCGTCGTCAAAAAATCAACTGCAGGATAAAAGAGGCCAGCCTCAGGTTTTATCAACAGATATTTGTCTCCTAAATTCGTCTAAATTTTTTTTTTGTAAAATATGAAATTTAAATAATAATAAATTTAATAAATATAAATTACTAAATAAATTATTTAAAAATTAAGTAAATCATTAATATTTTAGCATTAATTTTTGACACCTTACACTCCGTGACGGTAATTTTTGGTCTTGCTGATAAGTAAAGAAGATAAATCATATTGCAAAGAGATCCAAGAATTAATCCAGTTTCTACATTGAAAATAATGCTGATTATAAAAGTGCCAATTGTTGCGTAAGCATCGCGTCCTAAAAATAGTATATTTTTTTATATTTGTTTAATTATTTCCAATTTGATGGAAGAAAAATAAATTTTTTTGAATTGAAAATACTTACTGTTTCCTTTCCAAAGCACGATAACAATTTGATAATCAATCAGGAAAACAATAGCAGCAATGAGTACCGCAGCAAGTGTTGATTGAGGAATAAAATAAAAATATGGAGTTAAAAAACTAAGTGCCATAAGACACATTGCACCTATAAATAAAATTTTATTAATATTAATTTTTAAATATATTCTTTAAGAATTATATAAATTTTACTGTCATTTTTAAATATTACCTGAATAAAGACCAGCCATTGGAGTTTGAACTCCACTGGCATTGCTAACAGCACTTCGAGTAAAAGCACCACAAGTTGGCATTGAAGATACAAAACTGCCCAGAATATTGCAAACGCCCAAAGTTCTCATTTCATGGGAAGCGTCCACTGCTTCACCACAAGCTTTTTTTAAAAATAATTAATAATAATTAAAATTATTGTTATAATATTAAATAAAAATTTAAAATAAATCTATTACCATATGATTTTGCTATTGCAACATTTGTCAAAACTGCAATAAGTGGAACAAAAATAATTCCCAGTCCTAAATGAGAACACATATCCACAAATGAATAAGTTTGATTTCCCACTTGGGCACTGAAAGGAGGCAATTGAATAGGAGGCAATCCTGATTTAACGGTACCTACAAAACGTAAAAAATATTAAAATAAAAATGTACAAAAAAAACTTTAAATTCATTATATTTGGTTATTATTCACTAATTACACAAACCTGAGAGAATGAACGGTTGATATCCTGCAGCGTGCAAATGGTACGTGATAAATGTTGTTATTAAAACTATTAAAGCATTTCTACTTATAGCGAAAAACCAAAATGCCTTTTTGAAAAATTTGTTTTTGCCAGAATCCTTGGTTTTAAATTCGATATCTTTCATTTTCTGAAATTCAGTTTACAGTGAACAATAAACTGTATATATATTAATTAATTCTGAAAAATGATACTTACCCTGATCATTAAAAGAATTATAATAGAGCTTAAGCCAAGGAGTGTATCGTTCAGACGTATTTGATGAATATTTTGAAACAATTTAATCATGTTATCGAGAATATTTTTCGATTTGTATTTAATACCCAGTAAACGTTGAATTTGTCCTATTATTATAATAACGGATGTGGCTGATGTAAATCCTGAAGTAACCGGTATCGATATGAAATCCACAAGAAAACCTGGAAAAAGAATTAAATTTTATTTTTTTAATTGTCAATTTTAATTTATTTACTGAGATTTAATTCCCACTTGAAAATAGAAAATTATGAGAAAGAAGATAGAGAAGAAGCAAAAGTGAAAAGATGTCAAATTTTATTTATATTTTAAATATATTATAATCTTACCTAAATTAAGTAAACCCATTGCCAATTCCACGCATCCTGCTAAAAATCCAAGAAGTATCGCAAAATTCGCTGGCATTTCTCTTGTAAATTCCAAAATTAAAAGTGACATTAAAGAAGTTGGTCCAATAGATACTTCTTTAATATTTCCCAGGAAAATGTAAATGAAACCTCCCAAAAAGGAGGAATACAGTCCATACTGGAAATTTTTTTTAATTTATTCATGATAAAAAAAAGTAAAATAATTTTTTTCGGAAATATTTTGAAAAAATTACCTGTGCAGATAATCCGGCAAGTGCGGCATAAGCAATACTTTGTGGTATCACAGTAAGACCAATTGTCGATCCAGCAATGACATCAGAAAATGCTTGAAATTTTGTATATTTTGGAAACCAATTTGTAATTGGAATATATTTTTTGCAAAAATTTTTCCTATTTCTCGAGCAATCATCTTCTTTTGAAGATTTTTTACTATACTTGAACATTTAAAAAAAATATATCTATATTGGAAATGGTTACAATGGGTGCCGAAAAGATTAAGACTTTTTCCAGTACGCTTGACAATTTGAGACTAGGTCTTGTTACTTTAATCAAATGTAATTATCTTTTAACGTTATCGCTACCTGGAGGTATGTATATAAATCTTACACAAATAAACTCTTTACACGAAAAAAATACTTCCAATTGTTCACCACAAACAAAAATTAATTTTTTTCCCGCCTTACTCCAAATTGTTAACTTTGTTCTAACTGTTATTAAATGCAAAGTTTACAACTTTTTTTTCCTTATACTAAATTGTAAATAAAATATTTTAAATCAAAAAATGTAATCGAATAATTAAACACGTGTAATTATAGAAATTTTGTCTTATATAGAGAATATGTGTTTAGGGTTTCACATTGTCTTGATTAAGAATTAATTAAGATGTATGATCCATTAAGATCATTGTAAACAATGAGAATGAGTGGAAAAGTAATACGATTTTAGCCACTGTGATAATTTAAAATAAAAAATATTTTTAAGTTTTTTAATGTCTTAATTCTTTGAAAGACTAAAGGGGACCAAAAAGGAATTGTTTTTCTATTTTTTGGTAAATTTTACATTACTCCTTTTTTGTTTCGCAAAAAAAGAAATAACAATTTTCTGTGCATTTGAAATAATTGTAACCTTCTTATAAGCTGCCGTGACATTGAAAATTATCTAATCAGGAAAAATTATTACAAATAAATAATATTGCAAGAAAAAGAAAAACGTATTTCTTTTTCAGTTCTTAATAATATATTTATTGCACGTGTAATTTGTATTTTTACAATTTATATATATTTCATTATTTTTAATCTTTTGTAAATTTTTTTTTTTTAAATTTATAATATTGCTAATTACAATAACGTACTATTAATTAATTAATAACTTTGTACAAACTCTAAGAAATGTAACAAAAAAAAATGTTCACTTATTGAGCAAGCAATAAACAGTTGATTATACCCCTTTTAAAATGCAATTTTATTAAAATTTTCAACAATTTTGCTACTTTCAATTCGCTTTAATTTAAAAGAAACCAAAATATATTTTTAGTTACTAAAAATTAATTCTTGTTACTAATTAAATATTTGTTTTAATCCATTCAATATTTGTATAAATAAAATTATAAAAATCTATGTATATTAAAAATTAGCTTTAAAATTTTAATAAATTAGGATTTCATTATATCTTTTTGCAAGACTATTCGGTATCGACTTTGTTTACCGAAATTCTGAAAAAAATGCTAAATAAAAATAACGAATATTATTAAAAAATAATTACAATTGTTAATAAATACTTATAAAAAAAATTATGTTTTAAATAAAAACAATTCGGATCTTCTTTGGTGTATTCGATTTAACGTAATTTTTTATTGATTTGATCAATCAATAGATCCACCCTTTGTGAGGCACCACGAAATTTATTTGGTTCTGGACCAATCATTTGTATCAGTTGTGGCACTTCCTGACCGCTAATTTGCGTAAAACGAGAGAGTGCCTTCATGCAGGCATAAAGTTGCTCCTCGTTTGGATTGCCATTGAAAAATTGAAGAAGAGCCATTGTTAACTCGACGGCAACGTCATCAAATACCTAATGATTATGTTTTATTATAATTTTTTTATTATGTTTCAAATGGCATAAATTTTCACTCTATGACAAAAACATGCGAATAGCAAAAGAAGGACGTTTTTTTCACCAGAGAATTGGCGATTGAATAACGACTTACCCCGCAAATGTCTTTTTTAAAACGTATTTACGATTTTTTTTTTTTTATAAATACCTTCGAAATGCTGCCTTTTGGTAAAAGTTGCCGGAGTGTTTTGTTTTTGTGCATTTTCTGAAAAAATAGTACCGAATCCCTGAAAAAGTATTCGCTCACTACTCGTGTGATTTTCATTTACAAACTGACACAGTAGTTTTATAATTTCTTAAATGTTATAAATCCTTCAGTCATTATAATAAATAAATAATTAATATGTACAATACGTACACTTTTTTTAGTTATTATTTTTTTTAAATTCAAATATTTTTAAAGAATATTATACAAATTATAGATATATTTACTTCAAAATAAAGCTCTTTATTTTTAGAGAATATCTAATTAATTAATTTAATCTAACTAATTTTTGGAATTAAATTTGATTAATTTTTATAACATTCGAGTATAGGAAGCAAAATATTTTTTTATATTAAAATTAAATAAATAAATGCATTACGAACAAGATCACGACTAAAAAGTGAAATAAAAGCCCCTCGAAAGACGGATATGACAGAGCTAATATTTACTCTTTAAAAAAAAATTGAAAAATCACTGTGTATATATTGACTGAATGATTGTTGAAAACAATTGCCACCGAAAGCAGTCTAAATCATGCCTGATAGTGTTGTCAGTGTAAGATTTCAAGTGAAAGCTGGTTTAATCAATGAAAATAAGGCAGCACTTCTTAAAAAAAAAAAACTCTGGAGACTTTCTTATCTAAAGAGTTATCCGAAATTTATAAAGTATATAGGCCATAAATCGTTATTCACGTAAGCAGGCGATATAAAAAAATGACATAGCTGTTAATTTTATAGGGATACAGACCACAGTTTTTACCTCCTTGCAGGCTAAATTGTGAATAATTGCCGTTCCCCTTGCTTGCATTTCCAGAGACTCTGAGAGTAACGAATGCACTGCTACTTTCGTTGTTACCCTGATGTTGCTGATATTTTGATTCTGGTGCTGCCATTCAGATATATAAAGAAGCCATTCCGAACTGCTCAGATTTTCAAACATGTTTGCTAACTGAAAGTTTATTTTAAGCAATTTTTCAATATATTTAAAAATATTAACAAAATTATAATAAATAAATTCAAAAATACTAACAAATTGTGCAAGTGGTAATTGCTCTTCCGCTGGATGACGATCAATATCAAATGCATAATTCATAATAGTGTGCTCTCTTCGGTCCTGATGCAAAAGTAAAATCACATCATCCTTTAAAGCAGCAACAGACAAAATATTGAGAAGTTTAGTTCTCGCTGCAGTTTCCAATGATTTGTCATAAAGAATTCGACCTATAAAAAACAATATTAATTAATTTTATTTTATTATAGTCTTTATTGTTTGGTTATTAGTTTTGAGTGAAAAATATACTAACCAACAAAATTGAGAAAATTATCACCCAACGCCCAAGAGCCTTCATTTTCCATTACATATTGATGTAACTCTTTAAGATTTGTTTTCTCATTGTCATTCAATTTTCCATCGAGAATTTTCTCTAATAATTCAAATTCTTCTTCAACATTTATGAGATCTTTAAAGACAATTGGTGGTTCACGATGTTTTTTCACTTCTTCTTGTTCGCGTTTTTCTTCCTCCTCCATTTGAAGAACACGATCTGACGGGAGCATTTCTGCTCCCATTACACAATCCATATTTCCATTTCGAGGTTGTACCTCACTCATTGCACTTGCTGAAATTTTTTAATTTATTAATTAATTAAAAAATTCTGAAAAGGATTAAAAACTGTTACATTAGCAATTTAAAAAAAGATAAAATTTACCCTCACTATCTGCCATGCTTGTGCAACAGTTGCTTGGTCCTGTACTGTTGCTTTCACTACCACTTTCTCTGCTTCCTTTTTCCTTCTTTTCCTTCTTCTTCTTTTTCTTCTTTCGCTCCTTTTTTGCAAGCTTCTCGTTTATTACGTTCCTCTTTTCTTCCAAGGCAATTGAGTTTAATCTAAAGTAAATAAAACTCATAAAATTTTAATTTTAAAATTAATAAATTAAAAACAAACCTGGCTTCTTCGATAGCCGTATTTAAAAGTTGATACTCTGGAGAAGGCTCTCTTTGAAATCTCGGTTCAACGAATCTTTGACCAACTGTAAAACCAGCACTTGCACCACTGCTCAAAGCGCCTATTAAGGGTCCCAAAGTTTGTCCAATGGGTCTTAAAAGTAAAAAAAATTTTTAATTTCACGTTTCTATTCTATTCAATATTTTTAAACATTTTTTTTTATTACTTACGTTTGTAAGATGGCTTCTGGAAGATCCAAAATATACTTCGGAATGCCAGTGCCCACCAAAAAATTGCTCACCTCGTCCGTGAAAGAATTACAGTTATGTTTAAATATATGATAAGTGCCTGGTCTGCAAAAGAAGCACAAAAATAACATTTTGAATCATCAGTCTAATAAACAATTTATCATACCTTGATTCTACTTTTTATAGCATCCCACGCAGAAAAAAGTAAAATCATTTTTAATACATTATATTTATTTAATACATTTATTAGTATCTAATTTTTAACGAATTTATAAAAATTATTTCACTTACGCAAAATTTGACGTTCCTAAACCGTTGATATATTCCAGAAATACAGAATACGGAAGATATGTTTCACCAACTTTTTCGACTTTTTGTGGATCTTCAAGTTCCGTACCACCCTAAAAAACATAAATTTAACACAAAATTAGACACCTAAGTATAATTTACACTTACAATTAAATAATATAAATTTTTGTTAAAAAATTCGAACACGCGTCACTTGTATTCAGAAAAAAAAGATGAGACAAATTTAATGGATCCGTTGTCACTAATGCGATGTGAAGTATTTTACTTCAGCGTAAAATCTAAAATTAGAGCCTTCTGAAAGTTCTCGTGAAACGCTATAGTTTTCCTAGTGTGAAACCGAGAATAAATTATACATGAAACTGAGAGAAATGAAGAAAATAAAATGGATATTAATCTTGAAATACTAGAATAAAGATTTTTTTCCATCTCAAAAATTAAATTTCCTTAACAAATACTTTAATTAACTAATAATAATAATATTTCTAATCTAATATGGGACAAATAATAATTAATTTCTAATAAAATAAAAAATTAGTTTATATTAATTGCTATTTATCACTTCACTTTTTTTTTATCAATGATTGTGTAAAAAATTAAACTTTTAGTGTAAATAAAAAAAAAATTCAGAAATAGAAGCAAAAAAATAAGAATCGTACCCGAGTAACTTGTTTCTATATCACAAAATTTGATCACTGTTCATCACAATTAAAAATTTCAAAGCATTATGTCGTGAAAATTTGCACAATATTTTTTGAAGAAATAAAGAAAAAATTCAAAAAACACTATTTGCACTTTTGGATGGAATTTTCTTGTTATGATGTGTGACGTCACATTTGAATAACATTGCCAGTTGGTAATAGTGCTGTTTGTGATAATAGTAGACATGCACCAGAAACGATGGTGGAGGTCTTGGAAAGTCGCGATTTCCGGTAGGCGGTGAAAATGTTGTGTAGTGGTGGAGAGCGGCCGCGGACACCCCCGGGGTCAGGATAGAAGAAGAGATGAAGAAACACAATTCGTGATTATACCACGCAATGTTGAACTTACCGGCAGCAGCTTTCGCCTTCAGGGAGAAGTCTATATGTCAGGAAAGTATATGAGATAGAAAAGAGAGTCGTGAGAGTAGCTAGAAACGGAGTAGTTTTATTTTTAGTAATCCTCCAAACCAAATTTAGTACCCACTATGCTTCGGAGTATCGTATAGCCAGAGAACTGATGATGACTAGATTCCTCAATGTAGGAACTTCTTTTCAGACTATTTATTTCATTTTGGAATATTTTTATTTTATTTTTAATATTCATTTACCGATAGATTAATTTCAATTTCTTCTTCAAGACATAGTGATAATAAAATGAAAAGAATTAAATTTCTCCGTATAATTTTTCTTCAATGGGAAAAAAATTTCTTTAATATTAAAAACAATATCCCCTTAATTTTAGACAAATTTGTCTCGATATCAGGAGAATTCTTTTCGATAATAAAATAAGCAAAATAAAATTCCTCCCATTAGTAAAAAGAAATTTCAACTGATCCTAAATAAATTCCTTTCTACAGTAGAAAATATTTGTTGTCGATAATAGAATTCCTTTCAAATAAAGAATCCTAAAATAAAAAGTTAGAAAATTATTTATATTATTCAAAATATAAATTTTACTTACGGGTCTAACACTTTGTATTCCACTAGGTCCAAAAAAATATTCCCGACCATATGCAACTATTGCTGTGTGCCAAATTCCATCTATATGTTGACCTGCAACAAATAAATTTAATTAATTTTCAAATAAGTAACCATTTTTTTTGTAAATATGCAATTAGATAAAAAAATAAATAAAATTAAAAAAAAAACTCTCAGTAATTATTAAAAATCAAAATATTTTTGGAAAAAAATAATTTAATAAAAACGAAAAAATATTTGAAAAACATTTTTAAAAAGATTCTAATAAATAATTGAATTTAATCAATAATTATTAATTCATTGATTTTAAATTGTATTTAATAAGTAAAAAGCAATTTAAAATTATTTGGTACAATTGTACCAAAAGTTATTTCTAAATTCTACAATTATTTTGTTCATTTTGCTGTATTATTGTCAACATGATGACCTTACTAATTTACAAAACTAGTTTTCTAGGACTACACATGCAACAAATGTCTAACCCACTTTTCTTGTAAATGAATAAAATAGGATTCCAAATTTAAGTCCCGTTATAAATTAAGATGTAATTCATCACATATGTTCTCATAATTACATAATACCATCAGTAAGTTTAGCTTCAAAATTCGTTGTATTCTCATGAATCGTTCAACTTCAACCTAGATTGAAACTAGTGTATCGAGTTCATATTTCAAAATCATGCGGTTATTTTCAAAGCTATGTGCATTATTAAGAAGTATAGTTAATTTTTCAATTCTATTGTTCATTTTTCATATTTTTATAAAATTTAAAAAAATATTTTTATTATCATATTTAAAAGAAAAATTATTATCCAATTGGGATAGCGTCCAGGTGGTAATGTTTTACTAAACGCGCCAAGAGCTTGCAAATATAATCCAAAGTACTTATGTATATTACAAATTTGATATGTTAGAATGTCAAAACTGTCACAACAATTATATCTCATCAGACGAATAAATTGATTCGTAAAATAAAAAATTAGTAAAATGATATAACTATCATAGAATTAAAAATAAATTTTTTAATTTCTGTTTTGTAAAAAAAATAAAATTTAAATTCTGATCACTGAGAGTGAAATAATTCAGTTTCGGGAGATTTTTTTTATCAAAAAGTTCTTTTTCTTTGAAATTTTCTTTTTCTTTCTTTGTCCAGAAATGTTGACGTTGTGAACAATTTTCAAACGTATTGAATTTTGGATTCTTGCCCGCATTATGTAGACAAAATAAAATCTATTCGTTTTGGGTATTTTGATGAGTTTCTTTTCATATTATTAATTAATATCCACGAGGTGTGATTTTTCGCTGATGATATAGTTTTCGACCCACTTTTCATCGCGGAAATAGCGAATCCAAGTGGATTCATGTATGCTACGTTTTTATTGCTACAGTTCTCCTGGGCTCGTTGACTTTCGTCTCGCGAGAAATAACTTTCGTCATTTTGGTACTCTCACTTCCAGAGAGAAAGAGAGAGACAGATAGAGACTATCATACAGATATATTTATCTTCTTTGGCTGAGAGCAGGGGGTCACGAACCTCCCTTTTGTATGCCGAATGTTCTCTATTAGAAATTTTCGTAAAATAGGCTCTATTTTTGAAATAAAAATTCACTCTAAAATCTTCATGTGTCGCCTACCGACAAAAAGTCATTTCTCAATCTGTCTCTATATATGTAAGTTTACTTTTTTACGATAAAAATAGCCGAAGAATTTTGAAATAAAAACAGACAGCAATTTCAACCTATAAAAAAAAATAATTTTAATAAAACAAAATACATATTATTATACCTATTAATATTCTAATATTTAAGATTTTCTTTACAATTGGGTAAAAATAATTTTTATTTAATACTTAAATTATTAAAAGGTTTTCTTTTTTTTTAAGAAAAGAAAAAAAAATGTTCTTGAAAAAGAGTCTTTTTATAGAAGACTATTAAAAATTGATTAAAATAGAATTCATGAAATATTGTTTGATTCGGAGAAGAAAAAGTTAAATTGTCAATTTTTGTTGAAAGAGAGGGTGTGGATGTAATCATGGGAAATAAATTGGCTTTTCTAAAATAACATTTGTGGCGAACGAACCTTGGATGAAGCGTGCACAATGTACATTCTACCCTAGTTTTGCGCAATGCAATTTTCATCGCTTCCGTGATATTCGCAAATGCCAAGAGTATATAAATTAGACCAACTGTCGCGTAAATATCGGAATTTGCACCTTCGTTCCGCTTGTTAACGATAGAACATATACATCATTGATATCAATGGGACAAAAGTATCATTCCAAAACCAGAAAAATATTTGACTGAATGAAAATTATTTTTTTAATTTTATTTTATTTTATTGAATTTAATTTCATTAATTAATCCTTTAAGGGAAAATTTTTTAAGTAAATGGTTTTTTTCATTATTATTGTTAAAAAAAACATTTAATCAAATATAAATGAAGTAAAAATGAGAAAAAGATTTTAAAGTATTTCCGAAGATTATTACTTGTTTCATTTATGAATTCTAAGGATGATGCGATAATCATTTAATTATTCAAAGAGAATATCATCAGTGAGTCATTGAAACCGTACGTGTAATACACAATGACTCGTAATTATAATTAAATAATTGTTTATAGACAAAGAGTAACTAAAATTGTCTCAGAATTTGGCAACAATATTCTTCTACATTTGAGCTTTAATCATTTTGGCAGTATCATGAAATGTCGTCGAATAGTAAAAGTACATTTAAGTACTTTTTATATATGTGAAAAAATGATTCAGCAAAATCAAAGGGCGTAAAATTAATGTAAAACGTTACTCCTATATCAAAAGCAACATTTTTTACTAAAAAAATTTTTAAATAATATTTAAATACTTTTTTTTCAATTATTTCCTAAATTTGAGAAATATTATTAAAAATTTGATTATTAAAATTTCTATTTTTAAAAATAAAAAATTATTTTCTTGTCTCTTTGTACAGTTTACCTATTAAAAGTTGAGACATGAGTGCTGCAGCTCCTTTTGTTAAATCGTAAACATAAAGTTCCACTGTTGTTCCCATTTCGTCCAAATCATCCATATTTTCCGCCTACAAAAAAAGGAGCAATAAATAAGAATAATTAAAAAATAAAAAAAAGATTTTTTTTACAAAAAAATTTAAATAAGTAATAAATTAAATAAATGTCTGAATTTTTTTCTTTCAACAAAATATTAATTGGCTGAACTCCAGAGAGAAATGCCGCGTAAATTTGTACGCCCACGAAAACATGATAGGATTGCGCAAACAATTATTCCAAAAAACAATATTGTCAAGAATAAACATTTTTGATTATCAAAAGAAAGAAAATCAAAATTGTACATATTTGATACATTTTAATTAAATATTTTCAAATTTAAAAAAAAATTGAATTAACAAAATGTTCCTTTTTTCAGAAAAGAGGAAAGAAAGTTTCTTCTTTTCATCAAAAATATAAAAAAGTGCTAAAATTTTGAATAAAGATTTCTTTTTTCATTTTAAATCATTTTTAAAAACCAGCGTTAATTAATACTTAATTATTGATGTTTAATTGAAATAATTAAAGTTGACGAGAAAAAAAAATTATGAGAAACGTATAATTAGCAATTAGCCCATATTCTAAACTAAATTCTAATGTGGAAACTTGCCAGTCTCTTCAGCATAAGGATATTTACAGAATATTGTCTGAATCACTTAAAACTTACATATTACAATAAATGTAAAATAATAATTAAATACAAAAATAAAATAATGTAATTAATAAAAATTAAATAGTGATTGGTACATTATGAATCATAATTGATAATAATAATTAAAAAATTAAATTAATTTTAAATAATTAAATAATTTGATAATTAAATACCAATTAATTGATTATTAAAACTGAAAATAAAATTCTGATTGTATTAGAAAATTTTAATTAAATAAATTACTTCTTTCGCAGTTATTTCTTCAAAATAAAAAATAGTTTTAAAATAATTTTCAGATCACGTCATTAAGATGAAGAGTGGAGGAATTTAAACCAGGAAGGAATATGAAAGAGATATATTTTTCTTGAAGAGGTGTGTGAAGTTTTCGCGTCATCCGGAAGTAATGGATTTGATTTGCAGTTTGAATGATGTGAAGATACCGGAAGTAGTACGTACCTATTTGTTTCCCTCCTTATCTTTAACTCACAATGATTTTATCAGCGGGCAAAAAAGTTTACAAAAAAAGGCAATCGAGTAAAATTTAAATAATTAAATTTTTAATTAAATTAAATTAAGTTAAAACTTGTGTTCTCACGAATGGTACACGTTTGCGATGCTGTGTGCTTCGCTAGATGGCCACTGGCAAATGCAACTGATCACAAAATTTCTTACAAGAAGAAGAGACTTCAAAACAGAGAAATGGCGTGGTGATCGTTCTTGGCAAGAAGAAATGGTTGCAAAGGTAAGAATTGTACAAAAAAAATTTATTTCATATGGAAAGAAAAATTATAAAAAAAAGAAATAAACGAAAAATGTTTTTTTATGTATTGAACAATTTTAATTAAATAAAACAAAAATTATAAATTAATAAATAAAACAATGAATTGATTTAAACAATTAATCAATTTAAGTATACATCTGAAATTAATTTTTATAATAATTAATTTAAATAATTTAAATTTAATAATCTTCAATTTCAAAATGTAAAAAAATGAAGTAAATATTTAAGTTTCTAAAAGGCAAGCTAAAAAGAATAAATTAAACAATTATAATTACCAAACAGACAATAAAATTTCTTGTATTTTCAAAATTAATTATATTTTAAAAATTAAATAAATTGAAATTAGCTTCTTTTACAATTTTAAACTATTATGAAAACAAATTTAATGGGAAAGAATTAAAAATACTAATCAAATAAAAAATAAACGTAAAAATATTTAATGTAATGTGTTAAATGAATTAGAATTTAAAAAATTAAAATAAAATCTTTTTAATGCAATGCCAATAAATACTTGATCCAAGCCGGAAAATACTGAATCATGCGTGTAGGGTTGTATGACCGATTGCCGGAGTAAGGGGTTCAATTACCTGACACTATTTTCTAAAATTTGAAATAACATTAGGATTTCATTGAATAAGTTATTATTTAAGTGAACTCAGGTAGTAAAATTTTAAGGATATGATCAACAATGATTCATTTGGGTGCATTGTAGTTATTCACTTTGTTACCTTTGTTCTATGAGCGTTATTTGCCAGTTGTTCCTTCGAGTTTGTCAAGGACTTGTGTGTAAGCGAAGGGAACATTTCATAATCGATTTTTAATAAAAATTTACGAATTAATAGTTTTTGCTTACAAGAAAAGTTGACAGTTCATATAAAGGTAGTGAATACGTAAAAAATTAATGGAATATTGATGAAAATTTGATTGCTACTTACCATTTTTCGTAAAACGTAGAGGTTAGGTTTTCTGACAAGTTGACTCGACAATTTTCACGCGCTCGTCTAGGGACTTTTGTGACATTACAGTTTATAACAGGGCAAGAGAAGAACAACTTGAACAGCTGATGCTCCACGAACACCGGCAAAATGTCAAAAACCAAGCAAATTGTAAGTTAAACAAATTGTTATTTCTATAATTCTAAATTATCATCAAACATCACGTTTGTCAAGTCAAAATACTCTTTTTGATTTTTAGATTATTCTTTTTGTAAAGATTGTCGATCAAATATTGTTTTTATAGAAAGCGTCGGTTTGCGTACAAGCATGGTTGCTGTAGAAACGATGCTTGCAAAAATTACTATACGTACGCTTTGTTTTGACATCGTGACTTCTCAATATTTTTTCTAAATAAAAAATAAATTTTCTTATTTTCTTATAAGAAAACATGTATGTATGTATGCTTTTTTTACAGACTCTACGTGTACAATCACCAGAGGGAACGAAACGAATTCAAGTGAATGCTGCTGACACAGTATCATCTCTTTTTGAAAAGGTTTATATTTTACAAAATACTTTGTTTTTTTTTTTAATATCAAATTTGTCAAATCATTGAAGAATCTAGTGTATTAACATTTATTTTTTTGCAAGAAATAATTTTAAATGTTTTAATCTCATACTTACAGGAACATTTCCTTTGTTCTTTGATGTCTGTAATTTAAACTTTCTTCTACAATCTTTTTCTCATGGAGAAATTATTTTATATGTATTAATAGAGATTCGTAAAGTTATTCACAAACAAATAGAAATTTTTATTTATTTTTTTGGTTGAATCTACAATTTTTTTAATGACATTTTTAAGTAACTGGGAATTAATTTTTAGTAAATTGTTTATTTTTTTTAGATATACGATGCCTTTGATCTCAATAGTTTTGGATTTGGTCTATACAAACAACGAAATTATAAAGATGAAATTATATCTTCACGTAGTAAAAGTGTTTCGGATGTGGGTTTATCTCATGGAGATATGCTTTATTTTGCGTCAGTTAATGGAAGGGTACCATGGGATGGTCCATCAACTAGTAGTTCCTCTAATAATATAACAGGTATGTTTAAAATGAATTATTATTTACAAAATTTAAAAAAAATGTTTTTTTTAATCTAACGATTCACTGAAAAAATACTCATTGTCAACAGAAATGAGTCAAATGGACGTAACTCCGAGTACAAGTCGTACTTCTCAGGTTCAACCTGTGATAAATTCTTCACGTTCGTCTACAAATGTTGTTGAGGACGAAGTCGATTTGCAATTGTGGAAATTGGATGGAAAGATACAGAGAAAACGGGATGAGAAATTGTTAGTACTATAAAAAATTTTCCATCAAAAGGAATTCGTTATTTTTTTTAATAAAAATTTTGGCTAACTTAAGAATTTATTGTTTCAGCTGTCGACATGGATTGAATGCTTGCTGTGTACATTGTTCGTCTCTTGAACCATTCGATGAAGTATATCTCAAAGAGCAAAATGTTAAACATCTTTCGTTTCATGCGTATCTGAGAAAATTGACTGCTGGAGTTGACAGGTATATTTTTATTTTACAAAAGAAATTTTTATAAAATTCTTGTCATTAAAACTCACCCTTTTTGAATTTGAAAATAAAATTAAAAAGGTCATTTTAAATAATTACCGTAATTTTTTAGAGGAAAATTTGTGCAACTTGAAGACATAAGTTGTCGTATTAAATCGGGTTGCAAGGATCATCCACCATGGCCTCGAGGATTTTGTAGTAAATGTCAACCAAATGCAATCACATTGAATCGACAACAATATAGACACGTGGATAATGTCATGTTTGAAAATGCAAGTTTAGTTGAACGTTTCTTGAATTATTGGCGTAGCACAGGACATCAACGTGTTGGGTACCTTTACGGAAGGTACGAAATTCACACAGATGTTCCTTTAGGTATCAGAGCAGTTGTATCCGCTATCTACGAACCTCCACAGGTAAACTGTCACTTTTTTTCTAAATAATTAAATAAAATTTAAATTAGAACCTAAACTTGGTTTTTAATTATTCAAAAATTATGACAAAATTAATTATAAATAATTTTACCTGGATAAATATTAATTATTAACAAAAATAAAATATTTTCCCAAAATTCAGGAAAGTTCTCGAGATAATGTAGTGCTTCTGCCAGATGGAAAAGAATCATTAGTGAATGAGCTAGCTCACTCGTTAAATCTTCGAAGAGTCGGTTGGATATTTACTGATTTAATCGCTGATGATGTCAAAAAGGGAACTGTAAGTATAAGTGATAAATAAAATTTTAATTAATAAATAATAATAATAAGACAATTAAAACGAGAGATTTTGCTAACCAATCCCATCTGTAATTTTGCTCATAGATTTACAACAATAATTACATGGTCATGCACGAGTAATTCTTTTTTTTTTCTTTTTGAAATCAGAATTCTCATTTTTATCGGATATTCTTTACACAAAAATTAAATGCACTCATACAATATTGTTTCGTGGCCGATATTACAAAATATCGAACGGTTTGCGAAGTCGTGATAATTTTTCCAAGTTTCATGTACATAGCTTTTGCGCTTTATCTCTCAAGAAAAATGCACACCCATAAATTATTTATTTCTTTTTTTTTTGTTCTTAATACAATATAGGTCGGTACAACATTATTGTTGCATATACATATTTATTGTTGTATTGCACACTCGTTGGTGCCATTTAAAATTTACAATTTTATAAAGCTAAGAGGTGGCCATAACAATTGTCTTCCATTTACGACGTTGGCAATCGAGTTTTTTTTCAAGAGAAAGTGGTAAAGTGCTGTTCAAGAATACTCACGTATAACTTTGAGTTTTTTTTTCAAAACTGTTTTAATTTAATCCAATTTCTTAAAATTGAATTACTTATTAAAATGTAATTTTTTAATGAATTTTTTGTAACAATTTCTTGAACTATCTTTATTATTTTTCAACCAATTCGATTGGATTTTCTTCTATTTCTTGAATATTAACGATAAAATTTTACCACTTTCTCTATAGATCATTCTATTTAGAGACTTATGAACTGACAGTTAAAAGATATTTCGTCGTATTGGAAAAAATAATTTCTATATATCCACATATAATATATATTTACGATTTTTTTCTCGTTTCTTATATTTCCAGGTAAAGCATGTGAGAAACATAGAAAGTCACTTTTTGTCTGCGCAAGAATGCATTATGGCTGGCTACTTTCAAAATCAACATCCTAATCCATGTCGGTTTTCAGCTAGTGGTAACTTTGGCTCGAAATTTGTTACAGTTTGCGTTACTGGTAAGTCTACATTTCTGTTTATATTGAAAACCAAAAATTTGTTTTTTTTAATATTAAGTTTTCTTTCTTTTTTCTTTATATTTTTCAATTTATTCTTTCTCTTTTGTTTGATAATATTCCCTTCTCATTCTATTCGATTTATACTTCTAATGATATTCAAAATTTTGGATTCGAAATAATGTGAGAGAAAAATATTGGCACCTCTGAACAATTTATTCTCATAATTATTAACTTACCTGCAATAGCAATAAATTGTTATTGTAAAATTTTCTCACAATTACCATTTATTTTATATTTTTACCAAATTATTCAAACATTTTATAATTTCCAAAGTTTTAATGCAAAATTTTATTAATTAATTATAATATTAACAAAAATAATAGATTGGGAAGAGAATATTGTAACGTAAGTGATAACATTAATGCTAACGATAGTTTGTGTTTTAATTTGGGCCCATTCTTAAGACTTAAGAATACTTGAATCTTGACATTAAATATTTTATTTTTCATTTTCGGATGAAAAGTTCTTTTCATTTTTTCTATTTTCGATTAAAGGCCTTTATTTTTATTTTATAATTCAACTGTTCTAATCAAGAAGAAATAAATTGCAAGAAAATTATCCTTTCATAAATAATTACAATTTAGAAATTAATAAAGAATGTCGTATATCTTTTTAAAATGAAACTTAGAATGATACATTTTTTTATAAAGAAAACAAAATTTTTATTTAAATAGATATGTATCATTTAATAAAGAAAATTATAAGAATCTGCATCATTTGATAAGGGAAATGATGAGAACGACAATTCTTATAATATTTCTGACAAACATTCGCTTTCTTTATTCGTAGTTTGAAAATTCTAGTATATTTTGTTCAAAGTTTTTTATTTTAACAAAACTTCAAAAAAGATAAGTAACTATGATTTTTTTTGTTTAACTCAACATTAAATATTTATTTTCTCAAAGTTTAATTCGAATATAAAAGAATTAAGATAATTAAAAATTTTTTACTGAATATAACATAAATAAAAATTCTTAAACTCAATTTTTTTTTTGCATTTTTAGAACTATTGATCAAATAAAAATAAAGTGAAAAGAAAATTCTAGAATTTTCAATAGCCTTGGGTCGACATTCTAAAATTCTAACGACTATTGTATTTTTTTTTTTTTTAAATAAAAGAATGATATTGAGTGCACTTTTACAAAAACTAATAACCTTTGAATATTTTCTATTCTTTGCTTTATTCGAGCTCACATTTTTTTTTCGTTTTCGTGAGTACTATATTATGTACGCTTTTTTTCTGCAATTGCATACATCAAATTTTCCTTAAACGTATAACAATGATCTTACATTCTAAATCGTCTCAACTCTGCGACATAGCTTTAATTCCAGTCTACGGAAAATGGAAGATTTGTGTGTGATTGGAAAATGTGAATTTGCGAATCGTAAACATTATAATTATAAGTGTTTTTTTTATTTAATTTTGTTTCTTTTTTTCATTTTTCAGGAGATAATAAAAATCAGGTTCACATGGAGGGTTACCAAGTTTCAAACCAATGTATGGCGCTGGTACGCGATGGTTGTTTGGTGCCTACAAAAGATGCACCCGAGCTTGGCTATGTGATTGAATCCTCGGATAAACAATATGTTCCTGACGTTTATTATAAGGTAAGTGTGCGACGCTTTTTAAACCGCATTTATCACAGTTGACAAACGTACGCGTTTGTGATTTTTAAATTTATTTTTTTAAAAACAAAATTTTTCTTAAATTCTTTAAAAGAAAAAAAACATTACGTGTCGTTTGTCACAAAAATAGAACGTTCATAATATATTCGTGTATAATGTGTACAAATTAAGGTAATTGGATAGAATTAAGCTAAAGAATGTTGAAAAAATTAAGTTTGAAAAGATCCGGAATTTTTTAAATTATTTTAATAATAGCTTTTTTATTACTTGGACCCATAGTTTAAAATTAATATATAGAATATTTTCAAAATAATTCTTTAGAATTTTAATTTTTGTTTCTTTTAAAAATATTACATTCTCATTCTTTTTGTATTATAATATTGTCGTTATAGAAAAATAATAGTTTTTTCAATTTAGTTTTTAATAATTTCACTCGTCCAATTACCTTAGAGTAAAAATCTTTGAAAAAGCAAACAACAAGTGTGAAGACGTGAGGAAAGTATAAAGAAAGACTGTTTTTTTTTGAAGGGGATAAAAATTTATAACTCAAAGTTAAATATTTAAAAAGTACATCGAGTTCGGTAACGAATTAATTATCTAGTCAAGCGATAAAAATAATTGATCAGTTTTGGACAAGGTCTAAAAACAATCGTGCTGTGTAAATTATCATTTTTGTAAACTTCAAAGGAACAAATTCGATTTTTTTTGTTTTTTTTTTTAATATTGTGCCTTAAATTAAAAAATCTAATGAAAAGAAAAATATTAAAAACAAGAATTAAAAAGAGTGTAATGATCGCTTATTTTTTTTCTTGAACACGAGGAAAAGTGATCGAGAACCGATAAATACTCGAGATCGGTTCTTTTATCAAATTTTATGCGTCGCTGATTCCTCACGTTCAATAAAAATATATGTACAGGTGGGCTGCTCGTTTCGGTAAGATGAGCGTATTCGTATATATATATATAATAGATTTTTATTTATTTTTTTGTTTGTTTTTTGTTTTTTCACGTCGAGGCTCGAAATATTGTACAAGTTTTGTCGTTACGACGACCGGAACGAGATTTTTTTTTAATCGAGCTCGTCCACCTTTTCCGAGTCTTGCATTTTCTAGCCGCATTTTTTTTTTTCGATTCGTCATGCGTTTTTCGCGCGTTTACATACTCATTAATAGATAATTAACAGCGTTAAAACTTTCAAGTTCAACATCGAATGAGGTTTTTCTTCGAAAAAGGCAATCTCGACGACGAGGACGTGCATATCTATATAATATGTATAATATAGGTGTCTTTACGTTTTACACGTTGCGAGATTCCGCGACTCGCTTTCGCAATTTATATGTATGTGTACATTTTTTTAATAGTATAATACATTCGTTACGTTGGGATTTTCATTTTTTTTTTGTTTTTGTTTCACGACAATTTACACAAGTAATATTATTAACGCATTACATAGTCGTAGTACATATTTCGATATACATTATAAAGGAATGATTCGTTAAATATTTTTTTCTGCATCATACATTATCCGCTCATGTCATTCGTTTTTCGCGTTCAGAAGCTACGAAACGTTCGTTCTATGCGGTATTTTAGGCCTTGCATACATTCGTGTACTGACAATGAGATCCAATCTTAAACATATATTTATTCAACGACAAAATCCGCTAGTCGATGGAAAGCAGAAAGGGAAGTAGAGTTCTTTTTTAAAGTCTACGTCAAAAAAGGAGGTATTTTGGAATCGCTACGCAGACTATCTTCTTCCTTTCTCTTTCTTCTTTGGAAGGATGTAACGATCGGCCATTAAAAAAAAGGGAAATAAAAAAAAGAAACGAAATGGTACCGCTTCACTGAATCTATTCGACCAAGTCGTTTTTCTTTATTTACTCTTTTTCTCTTCATCTTTTTTACTTTGTCAAGTCATGCACTTGAGCCAAAAAACACACAAGTCCCCGTCTAAAAATATATATGCTTCTTTTAATATATATATTTTTTTTGTATATTTGTTATTTATATATATATATATATATATATTTATTTATTTATATTTATGTGTACGATCGCCCCGTCTATTTTACTTATTCCCCCGTTTTACACGTATCTAACAACGACCTAAAGTTTATGCATTTGAGACACCGTTATCGTTGCGGTGCACGATGCATTTAAAACTAGACAATACGCCGATAGCGAAAATAAACGTTCAGAAAATGTTTCTGAAACAAGTACCATATAGCTAGGAGTCGTATCGATATGAAGAATCGATCTGAGGTACGTACGCGCCGATTATCGTTTTTTTTTATTTTTTTATATTTATTTGTTATAAATAGATATTGAATCGCGTAAATTCCCGATCAATAGCAAAATATGCAGTTTTCTTCTTTTTTTTCATTATTTCCTCTATATGTCCACGTTTAAAAATAGATTTAACACTTTTTTCTTCTTCTATAGTTTAGAGTAATTTAAAGTTGTGTGATTTTTTTCTTTAACGTACTGAAGCACCGTGTAAAGGTACTTCGGGAGCGATTGCGCGAACTAGCGATTTATTTCTACAAATTTTCCCCTACGGCTCTAAAACATTCTTCTCTAGGCATGTTCGCCGCGTTTTTTCCATACACACACACATACATACATATATTTCCAAAGAGAGTATACATATACTTCCGACAAAAAACGTGACTCGAGTTTAGTTTTTGAGTATGACTTTGACGATCAAGAAAATAGCGGCGAACATAGCTATTTTTTTTCTTTCTTTCTCTCGATTTCTCCCTCGCCCAAAAAGTAGTGCCGATTATATATTTGTCAACAAATTTGCCTAATCGTTTCCCCTCCCCCCTAATTTACTATATATTTCATTGCACCCCCGACTCAAACTATATGAAAACCACCCACCCAACCCCATTGATAGTAACGACGCAACTTTTTCTCTTTAAAATCACTGGAAAACACAAAGACGATGGATATCGTGGCGACTCCTCGTCGGACTCGCGCCTCATCCAATCGTTACAATTTACCGCATTTGGTGATCAATATTGTTTTCGTGGGTTTACCGGTTTGATCACCAAATGTTGATATTTTTTCAACCAATTCGAGGCCTTCGACAACATGACCGAATATTGCAGTAAAACCACGCATTTCCTGCAATATTATACGAAATTGTGAACCAACCATACCAAGATTGTCGTGACGCTTTTGCGTTCGTCTCATACCGACTGCACCACGTACCGATGGAAATTTCGTATCATCAGGCATAAAATAACCATCTTCAAATATACTTCTACCGCCGCGACCATTATTTAATTCAAAATCACCGGTTATCACGGATTCACCCTCCCAACATTGAAATATCGAGCAACCCTTGTAGCCAACACCAATTTCACCAGTGGCAAGTACACTGAAATTTTTCGCCATTTTTGGCGCTGCATCAGGTCTCACCTCAATGACAATACGACCATGCGGTGATCCATTTACTTCAATATTGAAATAATACATTGGATAGGGATTAGAGGGCCCGCGAAGATTAATATTGCTGGACGGTTGTTGAGGAGAATGGACAGTTACTAAAGGACCGCTACTAGAACCCGCATCGGATATGAATGTTGATTGTTGTTGGGGATGGATCATTGCATTTTGAGGTGCTGACGAGACCGATTTTACGGACGGTGAACCTGGTGGAATGAGAAGTTGTTGTTGCTGCTGTTGTTGTTGCTGTTGCTGCTGTTGTGGAGGAGGTCCCTGATGAACGTGTACCGAACCTGTCGGTACTTGTGATGCCATCATATTCGAATGATAGTCAATTGATCCATTTTGCAAGTGTTGTTGCTTGCTGACAATGTGCCTCGAATACAATTGTGACATACAATAATTAGCAAGAAACAAAATAGGATTTTGTGAAGCCGCTAATCGACCACCATTTCCATGTGTTTGAGGTATCACTGTTTCGCCCGAATGAATGCCAGCCAATGCTTGTTTCAATAATGCAAAATCAAAAATCACACCGGAATTACCAATCAAATCATCCAATTGACATTGCAATATCATCTCTTGATATTTTGATTGTAACCTCTGTTTCTCAACAATAAGTTGAGAATGTAAACTGTAAACATCATTTGGATTGTCAATCATTTGCAAGCTCGCCTTTGCCTTGCCCAATGTTTCGCGTGCATCAGTGATCTCAGGGAAATGACTCCAACCATTTTGCAAATCGGTTTCCACGTGCGTTTTTAATGTTACACAAGCCTCCAATACTTTTATTAAAAATTCTCGCTGTTGCATTGCCAGTCTTTGTATCTCCGATGACAATTTTCCCATTGCAACTAATTCCACCTGAACCTGTTGAGAATTTTACGTTATTTTTCATTTTTTCGGAAAATATTAAACTAAAATTTATTTTTACTTTTTTTTTTTTGGGGGGGGGGGAGTTTAAAATTTTTAAAAAATCGATTTACATCGGCTATGAGTTGATCTTTGGCATCAGTCTGTGATTTAATCTGGTGACCAGGGTGTTCCTGTGGTGTTGCACAAGCTCGACAGAGGGACGTATAACACGTTCCACACCATAACGCTAGTGGCATGCCATGCGTGTGACAATTCTCACTCTGAAATGATCAATATGTTATGACTTCTTCTGTATTGAAAATTTAAAAATAAAATAAAAAATTGTTACACAATAATCGGGAAAGTAAAAGAATTTTAAAAACAATTTAATTGATTTTTTTTAAGGAATTTGAAAGTTAATTTTTGAAATCACTTTGCATTGGGTCGAATAAAGGTATATATATGACCTTTACAACATAATCCTATTACTTTGAGAACCTTTTTGTAGTAAGGCTTCACACTTATGCCATATACTTTCTTTACTTTACATATAACAGCTTTAAAAGTTTGATTTAAAAATTAACACTTGTATTTATAGTCAACGATCCGTCAACTACAATAGTTGTGCAAATGTCGAGCAAAAGTTTGCAAGTCGCGAGTTTATCAATTTTTTTTCAGGGTTCACAATACAGTTTTAAAATAAATGTCCATATTTTTCTTTAGTGAAAAAAGGACAAAATATATATGATTTTTAGAAAATTGAGATGAATCTTCTTTTCGTTTTTTTAAAAAAGGACCTAACTTAGATTAATTTGCAATTCCTGCGTTTATAATATTGTGATACCTTTCTCTCCTTCTCAATGGGCTTTACGGACGTGTTGTTCGATGTTATCTTGAGGTGTGAAAAATTATTTGCTAACGCAAGAAGTGCAGAATGCGTTGGCAAGGCATCGGGTCCTTGATCGCCCAATTCTGTTCTCTTCCAACAATGAGCACAAAATAATTCACGACCTTTTATGAAATTGTTTTCTATGCATCGCAAACAGAAGAAATGCTTGCAGCTTAAAAACTTTGGACATTGCTCTGAATCGTTGTACTTCTGTTTGCAATAACTGCATAGTGTCAACTCCTCCAAATCCGTTAAAACACTTGGATCCAGCATCTGAAATGAAAAAATCATTAAATTATTGAAAATTAAATGACGAAAAAAATTCCAAAATTTTGGAAATTAAATTTCTCTAAATTAAATTAATTTATTTAAGGAAATTTAACAATTTTTGTTTAAAAATTTTCAATTTAATTATTTAATAATTTTTTATAAATAATTTTTTTTAATGAGAGCATCATTCGTTAAATGCGCTTTTGGTGAACAAGCCTGGAATCCGGATGGACTCGTCCTTCCGGCATCTCTCATAGGAAAGCGCACTCGATGACTTTGAGCTGGCGCGATCTTTATCTCTAAAGTCGGTGTACACCCTCCTCATCTCATCCACCGGCATCAGTAATTATGCAACCAAGTCTCGACAACAAATAAAAAAAAAAGATATTTTGATCATGTTGGCGCATGCGCCTGAAATCCCGCCAAAACTCAGATGGGCAAAGGGGGCTGGGTGTCTGGGACAGAAAAGCCGTAGGTAAAGAATAAGTGACGAGGACAGAAGGTCAGGAAGGAGAATGGATAGGGGGAAGAGGGGGGACGAAAGTAGAAATGCGTAATGAAGCGTATTTGTGAAGTCGCTTCGTACAGCACTGTGCGTATTCCGTAGGTCTGTGTTAATGCTGATAAAATGATGACCAGAGCAACGGCTTATCTGGCAGCCATGCGACGAAATGTCCCATTGGACTTAAAACTTGTATAAAACATGAATCGTGTCAATATGAGGCGACAATTAATTATCATTGATAATGACAAATAGAATTTGATTTTTTTTTTGTTTCAAAACGAGAATTGAGTCTCGCGGGAAATTGCTTCTCGCACTTGCCATCATGCTCTATTCATTCACTCAAACATGTACTTGACCCTTCGTTCTCTGTCTCTCTCTTTAATAGAACGTCTATATGTTGAGTGAGTGATCATAAAAATTGTCTGCCATACCGTTCTATTCTTGTAGTTTTGTTGACGCGTTGCAATGAAAGAGACCCGTCTAGCTGTGTGGAACGTCTTCGTCAGGATGTTTACGAAACGTTCACATTCGCGTGACTTCACATTAGGATTTAAGCTTGTGTGACTTTGGCGCTGCTCCGATCGCGGGAATCGCGGATTCTCGCGGATGTGGACTGTGTCGTTGCGTCGTCGCGGCTACTTAACTTTTGTACTATTAACACGAGCGTGTTTACGCTTATCGAACGTGAATTACGAATAACATAACGACGGCTCGCCGGTAACGCGGCGTTACTCCAACCTTAACTCGTGCAAACGTTTTGCCACATCATGATGTTTGGTTCACTAAACTAACCACTAGCATGGCGGCGAGGGACCAACCGACCAACACACACACCAACAAGGCGCGCGCTACTCGGCTATACGCTGTTGCTCTTTCCTCTTTCCACCCTCTTTCTCCTCACTCCTCTTTCACTGGGTATGTAATGCGCCTGCCACTTTTCATCCTCCTCCAACGTCAAAAACTATTCAGTCTGTCTCATTTTCTCGTTTGTATTCTTCTATAATCTTGTCTCTCTTTGACACTGGTTCGTGGTAGTCGCTGCTTTCATGGTTGACCGCTTTCATGCATGGCGGCAGCACTTACTTATTGACTATGCGCGCGCAATATTTGACTTCACTGTCATCAAACGTTTCCATTTCCTGTGAAAATTACAATTATTATTGCCGGGAAAAAAAATAAAAAGTCATTTTAAACATTTTACATGACAATTTCATTGATAAATGTTTTCTTTGGTAAATTGAGTTTTTCTTTTTATTAACAAGCGAAATAAGGAATTTTAAAAAATTTCTAAAACAAAAAAATGACATTTAAAAAGAAAAGGGAAATATATTTTTAAACTACTTTTTCAATAGAAAATTCTTTTTTCAATATAATTTATTTATTTTATTATATGTACAATATAATAATTTATATTTGAAGCTTCAAATATAAAAAATACACTAAACTACATATATTTGAAGTAAACAATTGTCACATAAAATATTGTACTGTTGACATAATTTTAAGAAAATAAAAAAATTATTTTACTTTTGTTTTTTGGTAAAAAGAATATTTTTTTTTGTTTTTATATATTGAGTAAATTAAAAAAACAATTTGTATTACTTTTAATATAATTTTTTGTTTTTTAAATTGGCTAGATTAAACTTTTAAATATTATATATAAAGCAACAAAAACTGATGATATATTCTAATTATTGAATTTTATCATTTCAGGAAAAAGATTCGTATGGAAATGAAGTTTTGAGATTAGCAAGACCACTGCCAGTGGAATATTTATTAGTCGATGTTCCAGCATCAACTCCTTTGACACCTCAATTTACTTTCTATGCTAGTGACACTATCACTCCGTTCCCTGTAGAAAACAGGTAATTAAAACTATATATTCTGTTTAATAGTTAAATTTTTATTCTTATATTATTAATTATTATTACCTATTTATTATTATTTTTATTATTACTTAATTATTAAATTACATCAATTTTTTTAGGCTGGTGGACGGTCAAGTACAAGAATTTGATTCTTTATGTACATACATGCAACAATTCAATCCTGATCAGTTTCTTGAAGCAGTATCTGATTTTCATTTACTTCTGTTTATTACAACGATGGATATGCTACCACTGAAGGTAAATAAATATTTTAATCAATTTGCAAAATTCCGTGGGAACTTTTATTCAAAAATTATTTTCGTTTTGGAATAATTTTATTTATTCTATATAAAAAAAACTATTTTAATTTTCTATCTTTTTTAATGAAAATTTCTTCTTTTGAAATTATTTTACATGAAGCTTATAATTTTCTCAATTATCAATTATTTATTAGGTTAATCAGAATTTTTTTTTTTTAAACAGGATCACATGGCACCTCTCTTGGAGGCAATTCGCACAAATGATAGACAAAAAGCCACAAAATGGGCTCATTCTGAACATTGGGCGACAGTTGAACAATTGATATCTGCCACTGCGGCCTCTTCTCATTCATCACCTGGAGTGACTTTTGGTAATACAACCCACTCGTCGTCTTCCTCAGGAATTGGAGGAATTGGAATTGGCGTTGGACCAGGTCCAGTTAATCCACCTCCAGAACAACCATTATGGACATGTCCGCACTGTACTTTCTTAAATCCTGGCGAATTGTCCTCGTGTGAAATGTGCAGTTTACCAAGGTAATTTCTTGTTTTCTCTTTCCTTCAACTTTACAATAAATATAATTTATTTACACAATTACTTTTATATCGTAATCAGTATAGAATTTTACGTAAAGAGTGTATTTATACTTTATTCACGCTCAAACTTAAATAAGAAATTACGTCCGTTCTAAATAAAAATAGAGTAGAGCAAATGTTTTATTCCTTCGCACTCAGGAAATGGAATTATTAAAATGTCTTTAACTTTATCAAAGTGTCGTCTTTTTCGTATTTAAAGATTTAATTGTATGAATGAAAAATAAAAAAGGTATTTTTATAATATATGTTTCAGGATGGCGATGTAATTTTCTTTTGAAAATAAATGGAAACTTGGAATGTGAAAAAATCGAATAAGCGAATGATGCCAGGATCAAAAACGCGTTAAATAATCATTGACTGATAGTACAGTTTCCTAACTAAGGGAAGTATCCCCGTACATTTATAAAAAAAAAAATTGCAATTTGTAAGAAAAAAAATAAGTAAACAAAAAAGTTTTAACTGTGATACAGGAATGATAAACTTTTTAAAAGAAAAATATCAGATTGTCATATTATGAAAAATATTGATATTTGAGCTTGAAACAACATGTGTAGGTGTAATATTCAAGTGTAGCACTGATTAATTGTGTGTGGGGAAATTAGATCTATTTTGTTGGTACCAAACTTTTAGAATGATTTTCTCGTTCATATTATATATATATATATTATATATTAATAATGACTTTTTAGTAATGAAGTGTATACTTATTACACAATCTATGTAGTTAACAAATAAAAAAATTAAGACATTTTCATTGATTCCTATTGAAAAAGTCAATTTCAATCAAAAGTTTTGAGTACTTATATAATTTTTCTTTTTCGCAACAAATTACCAAGTGTAGAGAGGCTTTTCCGTATTACTTTATTTAAAATCTTTTTTGTTTTTATTTATTGATATTACTTTTTTTTATATGTAACATTCACCCTTGCACTAGCAAAAGACTTTCGCGTGAAGCGAATTTTTCAAATAGAATTCATTTGACTAAAAGTTCTCTAAATATAAAATGTAATTAATGGTTGTAAAAGCTCTTTTGAGCTTTAAAATGGTATTAATCTTTTTTTGGGAAGTAAAAATTATATTTAGAGCAATTTTAAGAAAAAAAAATTTTATTTAAAAAGTGTTTGTCTTTTGATAGTGGTTTGAATAGAAATAAATATTTACAAAAATTTGAAGAAATTTCAGAGCACGATACTACAAGTAAAAACGACACATTGTTCCAATGACCACTTTCTTCCCAATGAAATAATAAAAGCTCTAATTGCATTATCTTTCTCAGATTCCAGGGAATTATCCGTTTTAATTATTTTGTCAGCCTCTTCAGCTTCCTCGACTCTATCCATGAGATATTTGGATAATTTTTCCGGCAATACAGTTGCGGAAGTTGATAGAAAAGCACCCAATTCACAAGCCACTTTACTGGGACATGAGCGAAGAAGTGCATCATCGGCAAAACTACTATAATGTTGAATATAACGTTTAAGATCACTGTGCCAACTTCCAGTACCATTGCTCTCCTCACGGCTCTCCGAATGATCATATTCATGATCAGGATGATGATCCTTGGAAAAGAATAAATTAACGAAAAATCCTTCCGATATTGCGGGATAAATGACGCGTATTATAAATGGTAAAATAATGAAGAGCTTGCACATGAATTTAATTAATTGAAGGAATTTGAATATTTTAATAGGTACAAGAATTAATTTTAGTGCAAGAATTGGTATCACAAAGGGAATGGCACTTGTTGCCGTTATTTGAATTAATTGCCAAAGATTGCCAAGTAGCAATAAAAGTGTTTGTAAAAATGTTGCACCCAAATTATCGCAAGCCTGTCTATTGCTTGCGATTTGTGATGTGGCAGTTGCTACATTTCTATAACAAGAGCAACCATACGATGCTGGACCACCGGTGGATGTTGGATAATAAGAATTGCGCCAATGTTGCGCATCTTGTTCCTCCGTGTAATCTTTCGCATCTTTGTATTCGTCAATATAAGCATTCGAGGGTATTGTACTGTAACCATCGGCATAATCGTTTGGCGATTGTTGCTGATATTGTTGCTGTTGCTGATACTGTTGTTGTTGTTGTTGATAATAATCTGGAAATCAAATTTTTATTTTTTATCGAGATAGTTTTAAAAGATTAGGAGGTAATAATTAATTATCAGTTGATTAAAAATTGCTTACCCTTATAATCCTTATAATCTTGAACATCATACTGATTTGCATCAGCAGTTGTTTTTCTTGCAGTCTCATGAGTCTCTCGTTTACCTTGAGTTACAGATTTATTGTAAATTTTCGATAAACTTTGCGGGCTTGATTTTTTATCTAAATTTTCTCGCATTGATACTTCATTTTCGAATGGTCGATTTTTTGAATCGCTATTATTTGACAATTTTTGAGGTGTTTCCTGAAAAATATACCGATTATCCTTTTTTAAAATTTAATTTTAAACTTAATTTAAAATTAAAATAAAATAATTTCAATTAGTAAAAAAAATTTATACCTTTTTTAAAGGGTACTCTAAATTATGTAATATTCGAGCTCTTCTCTCTAAATTTGGTGTATTTTCCGTTGATGAATTTGGAACCGATTTAGTAATTTCCGATGAATTTTCCATAATGTAATTAATGTCTTCATTTGGATAAACGGTGTTCTCGGCGAATATGCAATTGTCTATTAATCCCGTAATTATTAATAAAATCCAAGAAAGTGACGTTGTTTGTAAACTAATAATAAGCAACGTCAATCGAAACTTCATATTCCTGTAATTTCAAATTAATAAAATTGTTACTTTTGTAAAAAAAGTAACATTTAATAAAAGCAACAAAGTATTAGAAAAATAATTTTGTAAATTAAAATTATTTAATTAATTAATTAAATTGTAAAATTTAATTTCATTAACGATATTTCAGATTTAATGGTCCAATTGTTTATTTTTCAATTCTCGTGATAATTTGTTTTGCTTCATCGAGTATGTCCCATAAGAAAGTTACTGTTACCAATTATTACTTATTGCCATTATCTATAATTTGTATAGGTGCAACCGTCTTAATCAATGATCTATTGAATAACCAAAATTTATGAAGCATGTCATAGAACAAAAATATTCACTTTTTTATGAGCGAAAAAATAATTATTGTAAAAAAATGTCAAGATTTTTGTTTTAATTAATTATTTAATCAAAAAATTTGATTTGAATTTTTCACGCTTTTCGTTTCTATAGCTGGAGGAAAATTTTATATCCTATATTATTCTGACACTTTCCGGTAGCACTAAAATTTCATACACAATTATTCACTTTTTGCGTAAAATCAAATTTTTTTTTCACAGAGTAATGAAAAAGGGAAAAAAAATTTTTTCTATACCTTTTTTTGAAGTATCACGTACATAAAAAAACGGTTATAATAATACAGAATAATAGTCTATATAAAAATGTACAGAGCTAAAAAAATACAAATGTGACAAGAATTTTTATAAATCTTTAAAATTAATCAAAATTTATAAAAAATTTTGAAAATTGTGTTATCAATTAAGAATTTGTTTTGAAAAATAATAAATTTGATTTTATATTTTCGAGTTTTGATAAATAAATAATTGAAAATATAATATTGGAAAATTATTATTTTACAATTATTTATTAAACAAATAATTTTGTTTACAAAAAATTGTCACATTTACATTTCTAGGCAAAGCATGACGCTATCACTTCTTTTCATTCGCGATTGATTCCAGAAACTAATGAATTTCATCTTGACTGGTTTCTATTTAAACCGACTTCCATTACAGTGAAAAAGAGAGGGTATTCTTTCATCTTTCAGCGCAAACAATATACATAGATGATGAGTATATAAATTTAAGAATTTGTTTATAAATTTTATATATTTATAAATAATTTCATTTAAATATAATTATATGTATCGTAAATTCACTGTACAACTAAAATAATATTAGCTTCAATCGATGGTAGATTGAATTTTCAATCGTTGGTACTTATGTAGAATCGATAACATAATTGACAATCCGTGGTAGCTTTAATCGAATGAAATTAAATTAACAATTATCTTAATAATTAAATTCTTAATTAAATTTAAAATATCACTTTAAAATTAATTTAAACTTAGAGCTTTATAATTAAGAAAAAAATATAAACAAAAAAGTTTTTTTTCAGTTTCAAAATGATGAAATTTTTTATTTAAATTAAATATAATATTAATAATTTTTTAAAATTAAATTTATTAAAAGATTCTCTAAGGTATTTCTATAAACATAAAAATCGTTGCGATTATAAAAATGACTTTCATAACTATAATTATTTTGATTGAATACCGAAAAATTATACGTTATTACTAATAAAATTACTCTCATAACTTCGTTCGTCTTGTAGAACCATAACGGTGTGACTTTAATAGATTCATCGAATTTTATTGACAGGGAAAATCATTAAAATGAAGGGATCATTACAATGAATTTAAACCTCTTTTAATTTGCCATTATTTTTGTCAATATTATTACAGAATTGAATAATGATTATATAAGTTAAAGTTTTTGTGATAAAAATCATGTAACAGCTTCAAAAAATTGTATTATTATATAATTTACATAACTTCAATTTTTGGCAGCTTCAATATTTTATAAAACTTTTTTCTTTTATAGCTTCAATCATTAATATTTTAATTCTTGATAGCTTCAAAAATGATAAGTATAAATGAAAAAAAAATGTGTATAAAATTTTTATTTTTCTGTTTGGATTCGTAGGAACTTGAAAAGAAGAAAAAAAATTAAAAAACTGTATTATATCGACTTCACCTAATTCCCAGTCATGCTTCCACGCTGTTGACGTTCGCTTTGGACAATAAACTCTATAGTGTTGTTTATAATAATTTTTTTTTCCTCTTTTTTTTTTCATTTGTTCAAGCTGAAGTGCGGCCTGACATCATTTTGCACTCTAAATTTTGATGATGATTTCGTCATTAGCGGAATCTGCGGAAATTAAGAGAGGTCACGCGAACGCAACGGTTTATGATTCAAATGGGGCGCACTTGCGCGCCGGTCATTATTATTATTCGAGTGTGACAATTTCGCAAGTGATTGGTGAAGCTATGGATCACAAGTTTGCTACCGGTCACTATTTTTTTGTTTTTAATCTCTTTTATGGAATTTTTCATTAATCAAGAATTTCAAGAATAAAATTATATAACAATTGAAGTCAATTAGAAAAAAATGAATTCTTAAAAATATCTTTTCACAAAAACTTGACTTTTCTAAAGTCTAACCAAACATCATTACAAAATTTTTTTTTTGGCCAAATAATCATTTACATATCATGAGCGATCAGAGAAAAAGTATATTGGACAAATTATACGAATGTGGTGAGTTGATCAATTTCTCATTATCTTCACTGTTACTTAATAATTTACTGACACTGAAATTATTGTTTTTTTATATTACTTTAAATAAATGAAAAATTTATTTAAATTATTTAATTTATAAATATAAAATAATTATTATTAAAGTAAATTTAAATGAAATTCGTATTTAAAAATGCAAGTGGAATTTTTATATTTTAGTAAACAATGGTGTCGACTGGGGTATAAATTATACAAAACATCCTTGTCCTCCGAAAAAGAAATCTATGAAAAAAGGTTCAGATACATTTGAAGATGATTTGAGAAGGAAAAAAAATCGTGAATTAGAAAATAATGATAAATCAGGAAAAGATCAAGATTCTCAAGGGACAATAAGAGATTATCGAGATTTTCAAGAAAAATCACAAGATGATTCCGATTTTGAAAAGCGAAAAGATACAAAACCACCAGCGGAAGAACCACCTTGTTGTGATATTCCAATGCAGGTAAAAAAATACTATAATTATTTTTTCCAAAAAATTAATAATATTCATCTAAATATTTATTTTTCAAAAAATGTAAATGAGAAAAATGTATGTTTTTTTGAAAAATTAAAATGCGAAGCTATTTAAATTAAATAGATTTTGAAGTTAATTTTTTAGATTCAAATTTTTGAAAATAGCAATATTTTTCAGGATCCTTCTTCACCGTGCTATGAAACTCAAGACTTACATTGTCAATGTAAAAAAGTAAATTCGAATGAACCACGCGAACCTACTTCAGCCTGCGATTGTTCTCAACACGATAGACGTTACACGGGAAAAGAAACCCTTTTCGGTGAAGACATTCGATTAGAAAGAGCTTGAAGAACAAAAGGATTTTTTTTTGCAATAACTATTTTTATGAAAAAGTGTATAAAAACTGACGCTCAGCGGAGATTTTTTTGAAACAGAAAATTAAGAAAAGGTAATTATATTTGGCACAATAAACTAATTAACATTCAAGTGTCTTTTTTATATATAATTTTTTATTTATTCATTTATTAATCATAAAATAATAGTTTTAGAATTATAAAATTAAAAAGTGATTATATTATTACTATATTGTTATAAAATATTATCTAAAAATTTTAAATAATATAAAATTTAAAAATATATATTTTCCGATTTTTTAAAATTGAAATGTCTATGAAGTGCTGCCGCTTGCGTTTGAATTTCTAAACTTGTTACAATTTACTGAAACTTCTTTAGATTTAGTAGCAGATGGTAAACTATATTTATTTTATAAATGTGAAAATTTTTAACTTTTGATTCGCTTTTCTGAAAAATAACGTTTGGTATTTGAATTTTTATATTTTGTAAATTCAATACAGAAGAGTAATAGCAGTTCTCTACTAGATTTCTTAACATTTTTTTAAATTATCATCTGCTGATAACTGATTTTGTTTTAGTTTTCGACTCTTTGCCGTTTCCTTTCTTTAAAAAGTTTCCCACAATATTTATTTTAAAAAAATTTCAATTGAAATTTTTAATAATTCTAAAATTTTATTAATGTAAATAGTGACAATATTTCTCAATTTGAAAAATTGTATTTTTTTTCTATACATTATTTTTATTTAATAATTACATTTAAATTAAAAAAAATTATATTTTTACAGAAAATTATAAAACTGTTTTTGAAAATAATTTTACATTGTTTAAAATTATTATAACAGTTGTATATCTTTAAAGTAATTAGATAAAGGTGTGGAAACATTTTACTTTATTATGCATATATACATTATGAAATGTAATTCTCAAACTTTAATGTCAGTCTTTAAAATTTAACGACTTTTTCCCCACTTTAAAATTGTTTTTAATTATATTATTATAACTTTTGATTATATTTCTCAATATTTTTCGGAAAATATTTTTTAATAAAATAAAAAAAAAAGAAAATATTTTCAATGAATGTTCGAGAAACTTTTTAATGTAAATTTCCCTACGTTTTGTAGTAAAAGAAAAGTTTTTTTTTAAACATTTATTTTCACCCAGAAAACTGTACGATTTGAATGTTAAAGCTTGAAAGTAATTATCTTGAAAACTTCCATTTTTAGGAGGTCGTGATTCCTTTTCGTATATAGCAAATCTTTATCTTTTAGTTCAACATGAATATGTATGAAACTGCGTCTTGATGGGGGAAGGAAAAAAAAGGCAAAAAGGAACGGTTATATGAATATTAAAGCAAATCAATGTTTCTGCACTTTTCTTAAATCAATTTTTCCTGTCTTCTAAAATCTACATTTTCAATGATAAATTACAAAAGCAATTGGAATAATAAAAGAGGGAGAGATATCGAGGAGGAAAGTCAGACAGCGGTTTTAAATTCTTGTCATTTTTTTTCTATCAGTAGTAAAAGACAGTTTCAATCAGACAAAATATGAAATATCTATTGACTAGTGGTAAAAAAGAATTTTAATTAGAGAAAAACATTAAATTTTTGTTATTCATAGATCTCAGTAGAAAATGCGTTTTATAGTCAGACGAGTATAAATTGATTTATCAAAAAGAACTTTAAATGTTACATAAAATATGTATAAAATATTAAATAAATTTATGCTCAACGATGTGTAAAAATGAGAGAATTTAGTTTAAATTGATTCATCAAAAGGACCTGAGAGAAACGTCTAGTTTATTTGGTTTATAATCAGCTTTGAGCTCCTTTGTCCGTTTGTATCCAATTATTTTCTGATCCATGTTCTAATTAGTCTGAATGGAGCCACTATTGAAGATCATAATGGTTTGTGTAGTCCCTTTTGCTATGTCACTGACACATGCAGGTGTTAACATTTTGACAGACTTAAATTAAACTGTCATGATAATATTCTTACTATTTAGTATATATTTCTGGAATAATTTTTTTCATCATTAGAAAATAATAATTAATAGTACAAAATAATTGTATATACAATAAACAAAATAAATAAAATTAGTCGTTTAGGACTTTTTTTTGGTAATTTTTTTATTTATAAAAAATAATTGCCTTGTAAATTTTATAGTAAGAAGAAAAACGTGTATGATTCAGCAAAGAGTACTCGATCTCGTAAATAGTATAAAAGCAGGTTGTCTTACTCATAAATAGTCGTCTAATAACTCGGAAACCGAAAACTTCGATTCAACTGCAATAAAGGAAGTTTCACCAGAAAACTTTATAGCTGTAAAACTTTCTACACACATGATAGATTTTCTTTAGCATCTTTGACCTTTAATCGTTTCCTTAATCTGGAAAGAAAAATTGCCGAGGGGGAATTTACTAGTTAAAAACGTGTACACTTGACTACCGGTATTACACCTCATATTACCCTTATTACTAAGTTATTACACGTTATTACAGAGTATTACACATTATTACAGATTTTTTTGCGTTATTACAGCACCGTAATAACACATAATTACACGGTATTACACGTTATTACACAAGTATTACAGGAAGAGTGTACACTTGACTACCTGAGTATATTCCCCCTCGAAAATTGCTTGCTTTGAATCTAATTATCATTTTTCTTTAAAATTTTTTTTATCTATTTTTAATTATTAATTTTATATTATTTTTTATTTACTATATTTTGTCCTCAAAACTTAGTTTTATTTATTATTATAAAAGTGTTTTTATTATATTTTATATCAGATTATTTTTTACTACCTTCCTCCCTCATCTCTTATATAAATTCAGTTGTAAAAAAAAGTTGCAGTCAGGCAGAATGGTTTCATTATGTAATTTTAATCAGAAGTAAAACAGTAAAAATTTTCATTAATTTTTCTTTTTATTTCACATTTATATTGTGCACAGTGAACCTTTAACAATATTCAAAATGCGATTATTTGCTGGCTGAACTGGTCGGCTGTTTTCCAAATCTCCATGCATTAAATTTATCTTCCTAATTTCTGCCATCTACAAACGAGAATTATTTTTTCTTTTCTCTTTAACAGTGTATAAATATTTCACGATTTTTGTAAACTATTTAAAAATTTACAATGATAATAATTAATTATTGGCAATTTTATTATAATTAATTATTATTTAATTGTTAAAATTAATTTTTTTTTGTAATTCATTGATGAAAAATTAATTTTTATTGCAAGTGGAAAAAATTGTTGACCTGTTCATTAGTGATTTTACGAATTTTTCCCGCCAGTATCCAAGTTACTGTTTGATGACATGGAGGTGTGGTTAACGATCCTTGGTACATGATAAATTTTATTTCTTCCATTAAATTAAAAATCTTAAGGGGAAATGGCGTTATTGATGATTTTTCGTCTGCTTTTTTTATTTTCATCAAATTCTCTACTAAAGGTTTAAGTGTAGAACCATCGTTTTTATTACAAATCTATATTTAAGTATTTTATTTTAACTTGATTATTCTATTTTAAACATTAAAAAATACACTAAAAAAATTAAAGTACCGTAAAAAATATTCCAATCACCGCGAGACCATTAGGTTTATCTTGAGCATCTTGTAATGAACAGTAAAAATCATTATAATGTACCATATGCATTTCTAAAGGAAAACTAGTAAAATAATAATTTAATTAAATTTTAATTTCATAATTTAATTTTTCAATGCTAATTACAGTTAATTATAATTATGATTTTAATTGCAAATATAATTAACGATGTAATTAATTTATTATTAATTAGAAATTTATTTTTCTTCTGTTTGAAAAAAATTGTTTTGTATTTTATTATTCTGTAAAGAAAAGAAATCTTACTGTTTTCCATTAACAGTATGTTCACTTCCTCTGTTATTTCTACAGCCCCAATGGAAATGAATGCTGTCTAGAATGTATGTTCCATTAAGAGATCCACCTTCCACACTTGGCTCTTCAGATGAATATACAGGATTAATTACAACTAGATTTAGAATAAAAAATGGATTTTTATCTAAATGTAAATTCAATCTGTTTAAAAAAGGGTTCATACAAATATTATGCTTTTTTCATTAGTAAAAATCAGTTTGTTGAAAAATCAAATTTTTCATATTTTAGAATAGAAAAAGTTTTTAAATTTTTGTATTTAATTAGAAAAAGCCCGTTCTAGTCAGACATAACGATTTAATTTCATGTAATATTTTAAAATTAGTAGTAAAAGTAAGTTGAAGTCAGACTTTTTGTAATTGTGGCAAAAACAAAGTTAATATTAAATAGAAAATAATAAACATATTTTAGAAAGTTATTATTAAAAATATTTTTCGATTTACCAGTGTGGCCATTATTCTTTAAATACATTTCTCGTGGTTGTTGATCGTGACCCTTGAATCTGATTGGATTGTTGATTTCAGTTTTTATGTGGCTTGTGTTAATATCCAAAGGAGACTGAGATTTCCCAGCGCAATCTGGATACTGTTTATACCACTCATTTTTATGCTGATAGTCAAATGCTTTTGGGGTTTAGAAAAATATATATATTACATTTTACAAAAATAAAACATGATTTTCAGATTAAAAAATATGTAAATCTTTTCTTTATTTCGTATAATAAAATAGAAAAACTTTTTCTTACATTGGATTTCGAAAAGTTGACTTACGAAAGTAATAACATAAAATATATTTCCCAAGTAGATTTTCATTTGGTATTTTGGATTATGAGATTAAAAATTTTCTACAATAAAATCATTTTACTTATTTTTTAAAAGTATATATTTTACTTGTTTCATTTCCTTTCGAAAAAATATGTTTAGGTCTTTATTGTGGATCAAAATATCAAAATCAATACACAATGTTTAGATATATTTCAACTGTCATGTTCAGAGCGTGTCTTGAAGTAATTTGAAGTTGGTAAGAGAGCGGATATTAAACTAGTTTCATACTTTTTCAATGTTCAATAAGTTATTGGCGCAATAGAAAACCCGAACAAATAAAAGTTTACACACAAGAAAATTTTAAACCAATAATTTTCCTGCAAAGTGAAACTTTGTATATATATATACATGTCAATTGTTGGAAAATTTATGCCATTAGAGAATATTTTATATCTTAAATTTTTCTAAATAGAGACTTTTTTTAACTATTTCAAAATCAAAGTTGAATAATGTAATTCGAAAGTTGAAGTGGTTTTAATTTATGAAATAAATATAGAAGAGAAAATAAATATCAAACTCTCACGACGTTCAACCAGAGAAATAGTTTTTACAAATGATTTATAGTTTTGCTACCAGAAAATATTTCACATACGTCTATAAGAGCAAGTCATTCCACTGTCTGGAATGTGTGAGTTGGCTAGACTTTATTATTTCGCGGTAGAGAATGAATTTATACGAAATTGCCAATATATTTATTGATTTCTAATCAATTCTTTTCTATTTCGAAATAAAAGAAGCAAATCAATATTTTTACATTTCTGAAAAAATTGACTTTTTTATTTTCATTTAAGAAAAAGAATTTAATTTTTTTTTGAGTTAATGTCATTGATTTCTATATGTGCGAATATTTCTTTAATTAGTCGTTTTGTAGTTTTAATAGATTTAAACTTTAATTTTTGGAAAGAGGGCATTATATAGGTTGGCTCTTGTCGACTTTGCAGACACGGTAAAATTTACGGCTGCTGCAGCAAGCACTTTGATATAATTGAACAAACCCGAGGATTGATTTTCACAAAGGATCTATAGCAGGAAAGTACTTTCGCAAACTCATTTTCCTTTAAAAAAGTGTAAACAAAATTATTGTAATTTTAAACTTTATTTGTATGGGTAAAACATTATTGATCTAATTAGAAATTCTTTTTTAAATAACTTAAAAATATTTTTTCAAGATTTTCACTTGCGATATCGAAAATTTAAAAGCAGTTTTTTTAATATATTTCGAATATATTTTTATTGAAGATTTTAAATTAAAATTTTATTCTTTTTTTGCAAAAATATATTTCGGATATTAATGAAATTAAAATGTCTTTTAAAAACGGAATTTTTAAATAAATTATTTCACTTTATTATAAATATTAAAAATGTAAGTAATTTAGTTGGTTTTTTTGGTGAAAATAAAAAGTCGGAAAAATATGAAGTTTTTTTTTGTTTTTTAAAGTAGTTTTTGAAGTATAGTAACGTCAGTTTCTCTTATGTGATACATGCACCACTATATATCTATTCTGCCACAAAAACCCAAGGGACGATGCACTCAATTGTTTCACTCGAGAATGTGAAACACGAGAAACTGGCTTAGAAGAGCTTTACCCCCTTGCCTGGGAAAGAATAGTGTTGGAAAAGGCTAAAATAGAATGTGGGTTCGTTGAATGAGAGGAAGCTTCCTAAAAATCCATTCAGCGCGAGAAGGGCATTTCGCGATCCCCGTTGTTGTGGAACAGCATTTTTCTCCCCTTAACCAGAATCGATCCTTTGAGAAAACTTGGGTAAGGTAAACCACCCCCTTCTCATTTTTTTTTCTCTCTCTCTATCACCGAGAAATGGCCGTTTCGTATACAAAAAGAAAAACGTTTTTTCTTACACGTGTTATAAACCTAAAATGTTTTTTGTCGAGATAAATTGTTTTTAAAAAATTAAAAAAAAATTACTTTTTAAAAATTATATTTTGGGAAACTAATTAAGAAGAACTTTTACAAATTTTTTACTATTTTTTTTATGTAAAATTTTTTTTGAAGGAAATATTTTTCTTTTTTACAAAAAGGAAGGTATAGGGAAAAGATTGGTAGGAAATTTTGAAGGAATCCTGTCAATAATGTAATGGAACGTCGTAATTAGTGAATTAGAGTCGTTTCTCACATCGTTAAAAAAAGAAGAAGGACTTGGTTGCTAAGGTTGAGGCGTTGAAGATTGAATAGGAACTTGATTTTGATTTATATCTATTCGCATTGGGTTCACGTATTTCTCGTTCCTTTTCTCAAATTTCCATTTATGGATTTCTGATGACATCTCCAGACGAGTCTTTTCCCTTCACTTTATATATAAGGACGTCTGATATGAACCACATCTTTCAAAACTTTATATGATATGCGAGAACAATCAATTATCAACAATTGTTTTAATTTTTTAATTTTAATTTTTTTAATTTATATTTTAAAAAATATAAATATATTTTTCCTAAATCGTAGACTTTTCTAAAAGTTTTATATAATTATTTTCTTTCAGTAGATAATTGATATAAATTTCCCAATTTAATGAATTTATCTCCGATTATTCTGTCTATCTTTTTTTTTTCTTAATTATTGATTTCCAAATATAAAGAAAAAGATAAATTTGTCGGATATAAATTCTCATTAAGGAATAAATTAAATTTATTCATGTTCGATTATATCTTTTGTTTTCATTAATTGTTTCTTATTATTATAGTATTAGTATAGAAAAAGTCACTCAGTAAATTAAATTCTAATTGATGAAAATTCTTCGGATGATAATTATTTCTCGAAAACATGTCAAGACAATCTAATCCAAGAACTCTTGAAAAAAATCTAAACTGTTTAAAATTTAATTTGCGATTAATGTAAATGAAAATAGTTTTCTATTGAAAAAAAAATCGAGGAAACTCCCTTTTACACGAATTGACTGTAATTATTTGAAAAAAAAACTCGTTAGTAGATAGTTGAAAAGTATTAGGACATTTGGGATTCTTTTTTATCTATTATGGAGAAAGAGAAAGAGTATTATGGAAAAATAAAAGACTATTTATCCACGAAGTTTAACTCTGTATTTGTATTCAATCTCTTTCACGAACAACGACTATAAGGAAAAAAAGAGAAAAAAAGAGAAAAAAAGAAAGACAATAGATCGAGAGAGATGCGAGGTGTATCACCAACTCTCGGATGTTGCATGCACGTGAATAGTCTGCCAATGGAAAGTTGAAAAAGAGCGTTTAGGTCTATCGACGAGTCTATCCCCCAATCCCCTATTTTGAAACGCTGCCACTATTATATACCTTAGCGCGTTTCGCGATCGACCTGATAAACGTGAGAATTGGCTGGAACGTGACGTTAATTGGAAAGCAATCCTATCCCGCAATGCTCGATCGATGTAGAATCGACGATTTAGGATGAACCAAGGGACGACGAGAACTTCACTTGCATTTAAAAACCTCCATCGCACTAAATAGAAAATGTTTTTATTTTATATCGAGCAAACGCATAAAAGAAAAATAAAAAGCGAGAGGGAAAAATTAATTTCCATTAGAAATTTATTTTCTTTTGGAATATTTATTATTTCCACTAATTACACTTTTGTGTATCTGAAAACTGTTTGTCTGACTATAACTGACTTTTCTACTTATATATAGAATTAATCAAAATTTAGTCGTTTTTGTTTGATCCGATATTGACTATTACTACTGATTGGAGAGAAATGAAAATTTATTTGAGACTGACTAAAAATCACTTTTACTACTCATTTCAAGGATTTAAGTATTGTTTTGACTGACTAACACTGTCTTTTTCCACTGATATCTAATTAATGGAAAATTATTTTATTTTGTCATTAAATTGGATTTTGTTACTACTTCTAAAAATTCAAGAATTAAAGAACTTTTTGCCTGACTGTAACTAGGTTTTTCTACTAATATTAAAAAAAATATTTTTGTTTGACCAAAACTGACCTTTACTACTGATTTCTAATAAGTGGAAATTTATTGGTTTTTGTCTGACTATAACAACTTTTTACTACTGATTTCTATAAAATGAAAATTTATTTACGATAGTCTGACTAAAACCGACTTGCAATTCTAAGTATAAGGCTTTAAGTACTGTGAAACATTTTGTCTGACTACATCGGGCTGTATTATTAATATCTAATTAATGGAAAATTATTATTATTATTAGTCTGACTAAAAGTGGCTTTTATTTTTATTAACAAAGTGTCGAGAATAAAAAAAGGTTCTGTCTGACTAAAACTTACCGCTTCTACTTATTGTATAATTAATAAAAATTTATTTGTTTTTGTCTGACCTAAAATTGACTTTTACTACTGATTTCAAAGAAATGAGAGTTTTTTTGTTTTTATCTGGCTATAGCAAATTAAAATTAATTTAATTAATAACAATTAATTAACTAATTAAAATTATCCATTACTACTAATGTTACAATAAAAATATGATTTCTTACAAAAATAAAAGTTAAAAAATCTTAATCATGATAAATTGTGAAATAATTATAATTAGATAAATTTCCAGAAAAGTGTCAAGTAGATCTTTTTATAGCAGTTTAATTTGGAAAAAGATTGTCTCGGGTTTGGGCAACAGTTTTAGTTTGGGAAAACAAAAAGTGTCATTGGGACACTTTAATTTGATAAAAATCCGCGAATGTTGTATATATATACTGAATGTAACATATAAGGGTATAAGAAATTCTTGAAAATGGTGCAAGGAACGAGCCGTCTGGACGAAAGAATGGTAGCGCAATTCCATTTGTCCCATTTCAAAGTAAAATAGCTTATATATAAGAAATAAAATGTCTCCCAACAGCCCAGCTTGTGGTATTTCACGAGCAGCTAAAGTCACGGATAAGGAGATCTTCTTGCACAGAAGATAGGTTGATATGGAAATCTTCAACAAGGGCTCCCAGGGTTTTCCAAGAGACGCTCTAGTAATTCGATTTTGAGCCATGAATACTTTTATGGATCTTGCTTTCGATTTCATATCAACTTGCCAAAAATTTCAGGAACATAACATATCGCTTCATCAAATTCAAATTGGAAAAAAGAACCATTCACATTTGAATTTTTTCACACTTTAAAATTTATTAGAAAAATTAATTTTTGAAATTAATAAAAATTAAAAATTCATTTATTTTAATTTATTGTATTCAAATTAAGTTA